AGAACAGAGCTCTAGGGGAGGGGGACAGCGTGGGTCTGTGACAGCCCCCCCACCCCCACCCGGCACGCAGCTCCCAGGGAGAGTGCAGGCCCACGGAGCTCACAGGTGCCCCGAGAATGCTCGGCAGAGGTGGCTACACAAGCCCAGGGAAAACGGTTGGCTCCTCTGACACGCGGGGGCGATCACCAGCCACACGCCTGTCACGCCATCGCCTGCATGTTGGGGGCTGGGAGTGGGGCTGTCGCCTCTCACAGCGGCACCCTTGGGGGCTCAGAGGGGCTTCTGGCTTCTTGACTCAGGTTTGGGGCTGTGTGCAGCCCACAGTCTCACTGTGGAGCTCTGTGTGTGTGCGTGTGTGTGTGTGTGTGTGTGTTTGGATGTGTATGTATGGATATGCATATATGTATATGTGTGTATATATGTATATGTGTGTATTGTGTACATGCATGTGTATATGTGCATTGTGTGTAAACATGCATATGTGCATACATGTGTGTGTGAGGCGTGGGCGGCGGTCAGGGTGCATGCCTTCAGAAGAGGCAAGTCTGGGACCTTCAATCTTCATTGAAAACCACCCCCCTGGGGGTGCACGAGACAGGAAGAGAGCTGGCGGCCTTCCCTTCCCGGGCTCAGAGCTGTTCTCAGCCGCTGGCTTCCCCGGCAGAGCAGCAGGCGGAGGGTGGAAGCTGTCAGTCACGTCCTTGTGAGCAAGGCCCACGAGGGGTGGCTGGGTCCTGGCCCTCTCCGCCCAGGCAGAGGTGCCGGTGGAGGCACGGTTCCTGCAGCAGCCCGTCGTGCCTGCTGGCGTGTGTGGCCGGGGCTGTCATCACCGCACTCCGAGCAGAGAAGGTGGGGTGCCCGCAGACCGGGTGGGGGAGAAGAGGGCTCCAGGGGGAGAGCCCGCCTCCCGCAGGCAGCAGCCCGGGCGCGGCCGAGAAGACGCTCACTCACCTTTCTCTTGGCTTCTAGGAACCATGCCATTTAGGGAGCCCTCTGCGCCATCTCCGCCTGGACCTGGGTGGAAATGCCTCTCCTTGGTTCATTGGAACCAGCCCTGGGGGCCCACAGGGCCACAGAGCCAGGCTGGTCCTAGCAACTCTTAGCATTTCCAGAGCCTCGCCGGGCACGGGTTAGTCTGTGCACACGGGAGAACCTTGGCTGCCGCCCCCCATGGGAGCAGCTCCACGCTGACACCCTTCCAGCAGCAGTACTGAGCCCTAACAAACACTTATGGAGCACTTACTGTATGCCGGACGCTTGTCTAAGTGCTTGACATGCATTAACATATTTAATCCTTCCAACAAGCCTATGAAATGGACACCATGACTGTGCTCATTTTATAGACGAGGAAACTGAGGCATAGAGAGGTTATGTAGCTTGCCTGAGGTGACATGGCCAGAAAGTGGCACAGCAGGGGTTGTGATAATCTACTTCTTAGCACTTGCGCAACGTCACCCTGCAGAGCCGTGCCACCTTCCACTCTGGGTAAAATCCAGCTTCCGCTCCAAGGGATCTCGGAATGGCTTCGGGAGTGGACTCAGCAGCAGCCTTGGGAGCAGAGTGGCAGGAACTCGGCTCTGGTGGTGGGACAGACAAAGTCTACTTCTCAGGAGAGCCCTCAGATGCCACCCTGCCCCCTCCCCATGTGCAGGCGGTGGAATGTTCCCATCAGGGGCAGTGCCGGCCAAAGCGGCCTTCTCTGCCCCGCTCCTGCCTCCTTTGCAGATACTGCCCACCTTGCCCTGGCCCCAGGTGCCCTCCCGCCAGGCTTGCTCCTGCCCAGCCCTCCTTGACCACCTCTTCCCCCAGGGACCCCGCCCCTCAGAGTAAAAAGGGGTGTCATAGCCAGCAGCCTGGCTTCTTCCTCTTCTCTTGCCGGAAGGGACCCTACTAATTCCTAACTCACCCTAAGAAGGGTGGAAGCTGAGCCCTCGGGGCTCTGCCCATTTCTATGGGAGCTCCACCCCTGCCTTCCTCATTTCGGCATTATCCACCCTGGAGTCCCTTAAGCCGGATCTCCTGCGACCTGGCCCTGTTGTAGTCAGATGTTTTAGCCCTAAGCCTGAGGTTTAATGTTTATTCAGGAAAAATGCAGCGTGGCCTTGGGCCCAGAGTATTTTGCCTGTTACTATTTTCTGGAATCCTGAGGCTGATGTCCATCGCCGCCCCCCTCCCAATATATCGATGCTAAATTTATCCCTCTGAAGTCTTCAGGGGCCTTGTGGGGCAGCGCAGGACCTCACTGTGAGAAAATGCTGCCCCCCACACTGCCCATGCTGTGCAAATTAGGGGTGGGACGACAAGCCCACCCAAGCCCACACAGCAGTGTCAGAGCTGCTCAAGGCTCCCTGGAAGGGGGCGATCAGGACAGAAAGGGGGACAGGGGACAGAGGAAGGAAGAAGCCCAGGGGCAGAGCTTGGCTGCAGAGCCCATCATTTCCCACGGGGCCCGTCACAAACAAGGTTCCAGAAAGCATCTCTGAGCACCTACGTAACTGGGCTTGTCAGTGCGTAGCGTGGGGCATGCTGAGTCAGAGCAAAACCAGGCAGGCTTCCTGGAGGACCCTGCAGAACCTCTGGGAATCTCGAGGCAGAGGGTGGAGGAAGGCCTGCCCCAGCCGGCCGGCCCCAAGAGCCCGTGATGGTTTCATGGGAAGATGTCTGGCCAGGACATGGCAGTAATGGGTGGAGGTCCCCGCCCCACCACAAACCATCTGGGGGTCCTTGAGCAAGTCAGAGCCCTCTCTAAGCCTCAGTTTCCCCATGAAATGAATCTCCTAATCCAGGCCTAGCTCTTCAGGGGACCACTGTGTGAAAAGACAAGGAAATCTGTGTGACCGAGAGCACTTTGCACAGAGCACGACACACCATGGGAGGAAGAGTGGGTTTGCGTCTTGCATTTCTAGAAGAAGCCACAGTGGCCGGGCTTGACCCCCAGCATGAGTGGCACTTGGGTTTCTTCATGTGTTTTGTGAGCTACTTCCGCTGCAAGAGCAAAGGGAACAGTTGGTAAATGGGCTTGAGCTCGGGGTGTGGTCTCTGAGTAGGCCTGGTAGTCCACCGGTGGAAGTACTGCTAACCACTCACAGGCCTCCCTCCCCTCAACTAACTCCGTCAGGGCTTTATCCCATAGCCATCAAACTGGTCACCAAGTACCAGCCCTTCTCACGATGGCTTTGGGGACGCTCTGGGGACACTTGAGAAGGCAGAAGCAATCAATGCCTGGGCTCTTGACAACAGCATAGATGTTCAGCTAAGCACTCAGCTCAGCCCCGGCACTCCTGGGGACATGGGAGGTCCTTGAGCTACAGCCCATGGGGGTCAGATCCACCCAAGAGCCTGCAGTGTTGTTGCCTGGGATTGGGCGACACAGTGTACAGCCCAGACCTGGAGGATGTAGACACTCGGGCTGGGGGCTTGAGCCCTCCTGCCTGACTTGAGGGAGGAAATGGGATTTGAGCCAGGCCAAAAAGAGGCACTGTGATTCTAGGACCTCAGCAAGTAAGCAAGAGCCTTCTCAAAGCCACCCTCCCAACCCTCCCGATCCCCTGTATGAACAGGAAGAGTGGTTCTTGGGGTTCCGTGGCCTCTGGAATGAGCTTCAAATGGCTTACTGTGAAGTGTTCAAGAACCACTGATGTGTGCTGATTTAGTCTGGACATTCACCACCATTACCATCACACCATCACCATTACCCTCACTATCATCACCACTCCACCACCTCTACCACCACCACTGCCATCATCACCATCACCATCATCACTACCATCACCACCACCACCATTACTATCATCACCACCACTGTCATTATCACCACCACCATTACTATCACCACCCAATCACTGTCATCACTACCATCACCATCACTACCACCATTACCACTACCATCACTATCATCGCTACCATCACCATCATCACCACTATCATCATCATCACCATCATCACCATCACCACTATTATCACCATCACCATCATCACTACCATGACCCACTATCATCACCATCATCACCACTATCATCATCATCACCATCATCACCATCACCACTATTATCACCATCACCATCATCACTACCATCACCACCACCACCATTACTATCATCACCACCACTGTCATTATCACCACCACCATTACTATCACCACCACCATCACTGTCATCACTACCATCACCATTACTACCACCATCACCACTACCATCACCATCATCACTACCATGACCCACTATCATCACCATCATCACCACTATCATCATCGTCACCACCATCACCATCATGATGATCACCACTATTATCACCATCACCATCATCACCATCACCACTACCATGACCATCATCACCACTATCAACGTCATCATCACCATCATCACCATCACCACTATTATCACCACCATCACCACTACCATGACCATCATCACCATCACCATCATCACCACCACCATCACCATCACCACCATCACCACCACCATTACCATCATCACCACCACCAATACCATCATCACCACCCCACCACCACCACCACCACCACCACCACCACCACTACCGTCACCATTACCACCAACCCCTTCATCAGTTTCCATTTGCCTTTGACCACACAGAGGCAAGATTGCAAAATCCAACTGTCTGCACTCCCAAATATTCATATCTCTCTGCTCATAACCAAAAAGTTCAATCAGAGGCTGACCATACATCCCAATACAGTCCCAATTTTCAGTACAGTCCCAATTCATGCCTGTTGTCCGTGCCTTGTTATTGTAAGTTCTTTTTCACTCTCAACCTGGTTTTCATGACAAATTAAATGGGCGTCCTGGCTAAGGCCACATCCAGCTTCTGACTGACTCCACAGGGACTAGTAGCACAAGGATGCTAACCCAGAACAGAGCCTGGTGGCTTCCTGGGACTCACAGAGCACAGACGCTAGCTGGGAGGTCACAGCCCTGACAGTCGCTGTTAACTAACCATGCCCCTGCCTCCCCCCCCCCTCCCTGCCTCCTCCCGCCTTCCAGGAAACCACTGAGAAAGGACGAAAACGGCACCAGCGTTGCTGAGTATCCCATGAGCTCTTCGCAGAGCAGCAAAGGGGTGGATGTGAACAACGCGGTGGTGTGAGTCTGCGAGCCTTGGACCTGCCAGCCAGAGGGACACCTTGGTGGCGTAGCGGACATGGGAAAGCAGGTGGACACGAGCTGACACTGGGCTTGTCCAGGACTTCATTGCCTTGCAGGCCTGGAGCCTCCCAAAGGAGAAACAATCCTCTTCCCAGGCTCGCCTCTGGTCTGCCCGGGCAGGGGCAGCTCGGACCAGGCTGAGCCTGGCTGACCCTGCATGCGGCACCGGGGCAGCCTCCCCACCCGAGACCCTGCGCACCCCTCCTTGTCTGGCGTCTGACCTGCCACCCGCCCGCGGCTGCTGTCTAGAGCACGCGCACTGATGAAGGCGGGGCCGCTATTTGCTGGGGCGGGAGGCCTCCCCCTTTGCCAAAAAGACAGGTGGTCCAGGGCCCACTCCCCTTCCTGAAACCCTCTCCTCCTCCCAGGAAGCCCACCTGCTTCTCTGTTGACGTTCCCAGCAGAAGCCATCGGCATAGCCAGGAGACAGACGTCCCCTTTCAAAGGTGCTTCCCATCCATCTGTCTGCCACCCCGTCTGTGATTGTCTTCAGTCTTCAGGGCCTGCCTTCTCCCTTCTGTCCCCACTGATGCAGGGGCCCTCGGCTCCCGACTGCTCGCCATGGAGAGCTACGAGCCCGGCCGGCGAATCCCCTCCCGAGCAGACAAAGGGGCTCGTGTACACTGCAGGGTGGTGTCTGGCCTTCCATGGGCAAAATGACTCCCTGCAGTCTAAGCCGGGAGCCCCCAGGCAAGGGCAGAGGCCACTCACCTGTTCTCAGACTCATTCCCACACCTGACCCCATAGGAACTGAAGCATCCGTGTGAGCCAGGCCTTGCCTTAGTTGGGCAGAGGCCACCACTGTGCCAAACCCACTGCGGGCACCCTGTACTAGGCTGGCGCCGAGTCTGCCTGACCCCATGGTACTCAGACCCAATCCCCGCCTCACCTAGAAGGAGGTGATCTAAATGTCTCTTCCCGCGGTCGTATGCTGTGAAAGTGCTGAGCCCTCCAGGGCGGTTGGAGGATGAGGGAATGAACGGGATGGCAGGAGAGGAACCCTCGAGGCTTGGTAAACCCAACGGACCCGCCCTCGCCCACCTGGCCTGTCTCCCAGGTGGCCACCTGCCCCGTGGGACACATCAGAGGGTCCATGGAGACAGCAGCCTTGTGATCTTGCATGCCCTGGCAGATTAGGAGGACACTCCTGACCCTGTGGCTCCCCCACCACCCACGCTTGCTCGAAAGGAACCAGCGCACTGAATGGTTCCACCCTCAAGCCGCGTAGGGATGTAGCTGGGTGGACTTGGTCTGCCTCCTAAACCCCCTGTCCTTCTCTGGCAGGTGTTTGGGCTATAGGTAAGGCTTTCAAACCCAGGGAAGACTGACAGACGTGAAAACCAGTCCCCATTTGGGCAGAACCTTTAAATATCCTAGCACACACAGATATGTCTGTGTGTCATTGTGTCTGTGTGTCATTGTCCCGCCCCCGGGTCAGTGGGTACAGGCTGCGGACAGGCCAGGGGCACACCCTCCCACAGAGGGTTCTTTTCTTTTCTTCTTTGCCTTCTGTTTGAGGATTTCTTAGAGGTTTGGAGTTGGATCTGGCTTTCCCAGTGCGCCTTGGCATGGGCACAGTGCTGGCGATGGCTTTCTCTGTTGCCACCCCTGCCCCCAGCCAGGTGAGCACTTTACAGAGCTCTTGGAATGCAGAGCCAGGTGACAAACAAACCAGAGGATGTGGGTCAGTGGCAGGGCAGGGGTAGGAAACCCCGCAGACCTGGCCCCAGGGCACACTCTACCCCACTGGAGGCCCAGAGTTTGCGATTAGCCTAATCCTAATCTGCAACCTCCTGGCGCCTGCAGAACCCCGTGCCTGCACCCCAAGCAACACCTGGGCAGGACCTCGGCCCTGAACACACACGCTGTGGGCTTCACCAGGAGAAAATGCCTGTGCCTTGGCTGGTCGGAAGCTCGGGAGTGATCAGAGGGCCACTTCGGCCAGAGGGGAGACTTCAGTCTAAGGAACCATGGAGTGCCGGCAGCTTGCGCGCTCACCCACTGGGTCCCACCCACACGACCTTGGCTTAAATTGAGGAGGCTCCAATTTTGTCATTAGCCTAATCCTCAGCCCCAGGCGAGGCTCCCTGGTGGGGAACCACAGCTGAGCCATCATCATGCTTTGGGGCCTGTGCCCCTTCCCTGAGCCACTGGCACACCCGGCTCCAGTTTGCGCATAAATGTACACTCAGTTGGGTTTGTGAAACCTCTTCTCACCTGGTGGGTGAAAACCGGTTTTTAAAAAGGATTCGCTGAGGACCAACCCCTGAGACCCAGAACCAGATACTCGCAAGATGCATCTCGTGGGCAGCAAGAGTCCCGCCAGATTTTTAGCGTAGGAGACTGAATCGCACTGAAGACCACGCCCGCCTAGCATCTGAGCTTAGACCTTTGACTTAAAATGAATCCCCAACCCCTGAACGCAGACCGAGATCCTCAGGCCGGTTGGAGCTCAGAGGCTGCGAATGAAGTGCACATTCCTCCCCGTTCTCTCGAATAGATCTTTCCCAGCCTTCTCGTAGTTGAGCCCAAGTTTGGAACTCGGTGAGACGTAGGGTCTCCCAGAGGTTTCAGGTGTTCCCGAGAAGCTTCTAAGGGAAGTGTTTGGAAGAAAGACAAATAGGTGTAAAAATATAAACATATATATTATAAATAGTTACATATATATTTAAAGAGATATCTATATGTGTAATCACCGTACTCTCTGCATCCGTACCGCGTGTGAGTCCAGCCGCCCCGGTAGTGCAAGACGTGCAATGCATGAGTGTAAATACCCGACGTCTGCCTTCTTGGCCGTGTGCCGTGTGCCATGTGCCGTGTGCCGTGTGCGGGGGGATGACGCTTGTCCCTGGGAGTTCTCTCAACGGGCAAGTGCACAAGTCGACGCGGTCTCGTCCGCCAGCTAGCCGTGAATGTGGACTTTGTGCTGGGACTTTGGTACCGGCAGCGTCGGGGTGCGCTGTATGCTACTTACGAGGAAGACAGCACCATGACTTTTTTATTTTCAATAAAACTATACTTATAAAGACGGCTGTCGGCTGTTGCGTGTGGGCGCTGGGCGCGGGGCGCGGGCGGGAAGCAGAGGGCAGGCCGAGGTTAGCAGGGAGGTCCCTGGGCGGGCTGGGTACCTTGTGTGGGCTATTTCTGCATTGGTTCGTCCCAGCACCTCAAGGTCAGGATTTACCGGGATTTCTAAGGCCAGTGCTGGCCCTCATCACCCCACCCACCACTTTGACCCTTGACTTAACTGAAAATAGGGCAAACAACCTTCCCCGTTTGCCTGGGACTGAGAATTTTCCCGAACCTGGGACTTTCAGAGATAAAACCAGAAATGTCCCGGGCAAACGGGACAAGCAGGTCACCTTAATGTGGAACGTGCTCATAGGAATCCTGGGAAGCAAGAGTCAGCAGGCCAGGCTGGAGGGGAGAGGATGGCCAGGGTCCGGCCTCCTACAATGTCCGTCCCTATGCGTAGCGTCAGCACCCACAGGTTGGTGGGTGCGCCCCCCGCACCTGGCCAGCTGCGTGGAGTTGAGGCTGCCCTGAACCCACAAGGGGGGGCCCAGAAGGCACAGCCCCCCCGCCCCAGGCTCACCTGCTTGCTGAAGGCAGTGACACCTGGGTCACCTGCGAGGCCATTCTCCCCTTCCGGCCTCGCCCTCAGGTAAGCTCCACCGAGGCAACCACCCCCAGCACTTCTGGGGCAAAAGCTTCCCGGCCGGTAGGCAGGGCGGGTGGAGGAAGAGAGGGACGGTTGCCTTTGAAGGATTGCCATCCTCATCTTTGGAGTGAGGAGACAGGCCAGGGCTGGACTGTGATGGCCAAGGTCAAGCAGGTACCAGGAGACGGGGGTGGGGCTGAGGTGTGAACCCAGACCTGGGGCCTTCGGCGCCCAGTCACTGGTCACGATTGAGGGGATCCCGGCCCAGGTGACCCCACTGTTGGCGCTGCCGGGCCCACCGCCCCTGCCTGGGCCCCTGTGGCTTCAGAGTTAACCCAGTGAGGGACGACTAAGAGGGCCCTGTGTGCCCGGAGCTAGGGCAGGTGTTGCCCCAGCCTAGCCCACAGCCCAGGGGAGGCTCAGCTCGGCGCAGGGCTCAGGGAAGGGCCTGTGTCCCAGGCATCAGGGAAGTGGAGAAGAACCATGGAAGTTCCCGCCGAGAGCCAAGAGACCCCCCTCTAATCCCCCCCCCACCGGATGCTATGAGCGGCCATTTATGGAGAACCGCCATTTTCGAGCATAAGGTAGGCACTCAGTAGAAGGCGGCGGTCATTATAGTCACTGCCATCATTAAGGAAAGCAGCCTGTGCCATCTGGGTGACAGTGAGGGCTCCTCTGCCCACTGGCCACCCACCTGGGTCCTGCCTTGGAGCTGGTGAGGAATCGTAGGGACCCCTCTGACCTCCTACACAGCCCTGTGCACCCCAGCCCGGGCGTCCTCAGCAGCAAGCCCAGAGGTCAGCAGGGGACAGCAGGGGTCAGCTAGGCTCTGCCAGTTTGCGCAGGCGCCCAGCCTGGGAGAGGGAGGAGGGGCCCAGCCAACCATAGGGGTGCTGGGGAGCTGTCGTCCGGAGCTGCAGGGCCGGAGTCCTCCTAGTTGCCTCCTGCATCTCCCCCAGCCAACACAACAAACTGCGCTGCGGCCACCTGAGAGCCCCGCGTCCTGCTCTGGGGGCCCGCTGCTGCCATCAAGGCGTGAGACACAGTGGGACCCACAGGGCACCCCCGCCTGGCACCCAGAGGGGTGGCAGAATTACTGTCTTGCACCCACGGGAGCGGCGGTGGCAGCAACGCTTTCCCTCCTTCCTTCCCGAAAACATGGCGTGAGGCGCACTGAGGCGCCACATCAGGGGGGACGGTCCTGTGAGGCTGAGCCAGCTGCCGCGCTGGCTCCCAGTGGCAGCTGGCTCACTCATGTGGCCTCGCTGCGGCCTCACCCTTGGGAACGCACCCCACCCACCCGGCTAGGGACGCCCCCCTGGACCCCCACCTCCCCCTCCTCTGCCACCGCGCCCCGCCTCCACCTTAGTAATATGTTGGACTCCCCCAGGCCCGTCCTCCCCTCCCCCCTGGGCTGTCCTGGATATGTGACCTCAGGCTCCTGGCTCCAGCTCTCCATCATTTGTTCATTCTCTGATCAGTCAGTCCCCAGGGGCTTACAGAGGTTCCGCTAGCTGCCAGGTCCCACGCCGAACACTGGGGCTCGGCTTCCCCCACCTAAGGGTAACGTCCCCCTTTTCCGGGCAGCACAGACAGCCCTGCACTCGTAACTCTTACTTCCGGCCTCTCCTGGGGATATTTCCAGCCGGGCATCCTCCGCTGCCCAAGCCTGGGAGTCCTTAGAGCCTTTGCCCACCCCTCCCCTGAGTGCTAACTGGGGACTCGTGCTCCGTCGGGGATACGGAAAGAAACAAGTCGGGGCCCCTGCCCTCTAGGGTGACAATGGGCCCACAGTGTGCACAGAGGTGGTGACACCAGTGTGGAGACGAAGGGACTTCAGGTACCTTACCACCTTTAACCCTTCCCTCAACCTAGGAGGCACAGAGATCACCCCCAGTTTACAGATAAGTAAACTGAGGTTCAGAGAGGTCAAGGAGGTTGCCAAAGGTCAAAAATGCATTAAGAGCTGCAATTCAGCTGTAGCCACCCAGGTGTGTGGCTACAAGTTCTAGGTCTTTCCAACCTGAGATAGGCCCTCAGATTTCAAACGATCCATCCCAGCCAGATTTAATCCAACTATCTTCCCAGCCCCTAGGGTTGGGTTGCGGTCAGGGATTCACGGATCTAACATGGATCACTTAATATGCAACTTCTGGCAAGGGTCTTCCCCACTCAGAGCCTCAGTTTTCTCATCTGTAAAATGGGAGATAATTGCCGGAGGCTCTTTCCCCGATTACCTCCTTGTGGCTTTCTTTGAGCACACCTCATCATTGTCTATCACCTTAGTTTATTTTCCACAGAGCACTTTTCTCCACCTAAGAACAATCACTGACCTGCGCACACGCCTACTGTCTTTCTCCGGGTACCACACAATTCTCCTCCCATCAGGGCACAAGGGGTGTGCGTGCAGAGACCTTCTCTGGTTCGTGGTGGTCTTATTCATGACCAAATCTCCAGCCCTCCGAACATCCAAACTTGCTTGGTACAGGAAATATTTGCTGAATTAATTAACAGTGGGTGAGAAATTTAACACAATACACAGAAGCATAAAGAAAAGAATATAGCATTTTATTTCATATAACTGTTTGGAGTCCTCACCCCATTGGGTGAGGGGGGGAGGGCAAAAACCCTGAATTTGCAAGTTGATGGCATTTCGGCCTCTTCCAGTTTCGCTAGTGTCCTCCGGCTGGCTCAGCTCCTTGTGGATAGGTGCTTGGCCTTTGCCGCATCTCCCCCGCGCCTGCTCCCCCTAGAATTCACCTACGAGAGCACCCTGAGCAGATGTCTGTGGTCTGGGGCAGGAGAGCTGGGCTCAGGCCACCCGGCGTCTTCTAGGTTCTCACAGATCTCCGCTGCAGAGGGGCTGCCCTGGGCTGCTTCCTGGACAGGTGACTGTGCCCTTCTCGCCTTTTAGGGTGACCACCTGGCCGCCACCACTCCAGGTGCAAATGTCCAGGCCGTAGCAGTCCCATCCTCCTGACTGCAGCCCCTGCCCACGTTCCTGCTCTCTCGGCACCAGACCCGTGGGGACTTCTGAACTCTGCACCCTCACACGGGCGCGGGGAGGGCTGCAGACGCTTCTGGAGGTTTGTGTGCCGCCATCTCCCGGGGCTCCCTAATGCATTTCCAACTGGGCATCTCTAGACGTCCTCACCCCTAGAGGGAGGGAGAAGACATGACCCCCTTGTCTCCCAACCCCACGCTACGTTTGTCTCTCTTTTTCTTTTGCCAGTAATCCCCTGGGGTCCAAAAGAGGTGGGTTCTCAGCTCGCCCATCCTGTCTGACCAGAACTTTCCCTACACGCTAACCTCCTCCTGCCCCATGCCGTCCATGGAACTAGACCAGGGCACGTGGTTTCCTGGAGAAGAATAAAGAACATATCCATTTATTATTTTCAAAATATTACCCCCTCCTAAACCCAACGGTGTGCTCACACCACGCGCAGTCCCAGCGCCGGCGGAGCGCGCACCAGGAGGAGGATTCCCCAGTCGCTCATTCACACTCGGGAACGCAGGGAGCCTTGAGTCACCCACGGCGCACGGCAGCGTGGGAATGCCACGCTCGAGAGAGTCGGAGCCAAATGCCCAGCGCAAGCTGCGATTTCCTTGCAGCAAAACACCAGCTGTCACGGGGCGTCACAGTCTGCAGAGTCCCTGGCGGTGCAAACGCAAGGTGCGCGACGCAGCGCAGGGAGCGCCGCAGCCTGGCTCTCGCTCCTGTCTGGGACTCCCTGTCTGTGCCAAGTCCCAGACAGACGTCCTTTCCTTTAGTCTTTACAGGAGAGAGGAGCTACTGTCTCCATTCTGCAGTTGATGAAACCGAGGCTTAGTGGGGTCAAGTGACTTGCCCATGGTCAGACAGCAGGTCAGCGAGAAAGCCCCGAACCCACCCCGGAGAACCCACCGGGCTGTGAAGCCTGTCCCATTCCCCCCTCCACCTGCCTCCCCTGCCCCCGCCCAGCCCCAGGGCAGGAGCCGTCTGCAGACACCCTGCCAGTCTGCCAGGCCTCCCTCCTCGCCACACCCGCTGGGCAGTGTGATTGTCCTCACCTGGAGAGTGTTTCTGTCCTTCACGCTTGATTACTTGCCGGTTCCTTTCTTCTCCAAGTGGCCACTTCAAGGAGCGGAAATCAGGACGTCTGCCAGGCAGCCCTGGGAGGGAAGCTCCCTTCTCCACCGGCCTGCGGGGGCCTGTCTGGGCTGTGTAATTAAAAAGCCAGCTCTTTGTTCCCAAAACAGCCAAATCCCTGGCTTCCACAAAGGTCCTGTGCACCCTGCAGGGAAGAGCTGGTTCCAAGGGCTCATCCTGCCCCACCCTGACCTCAGCTTCCCTGAGTGGGAAGAATCCAGTGGTCAGGTGGCTGGGGGGTCGAGGGCTGGAGAGAACAGCCCTGGCTTGCCACAGTGGTGGGGCGGATGGGTGGCGTGTGGAGGGGCAGGTGGGGCAGAGGAGTGAAGCCAGGGAAAGGAGGGCCCATGTGGGGCTGAGAGCACGGCCCCATGTCCTGCTTTGCCAGTAGCTTGCTTGCTGAGTGTCGCTGTGCAAATCCCACCCCCTCTTGGCCCATAAAATGAGAGGGTCAGCCTAACCGGAGGAGCAAGACCACAGGCCTGCAGGGCCGGCCAGCAGAGTGAGCAAAGCACACCAGGCCTTGTAAACCAGCCCAGGATTTCTAGCCCGGGGTTGTTAAATTGGTTCTTCTTTATTCGGAGGCTGAGGTCAGTGGCAGGAACTGAACAAAACTGGAGCCCAGCATGCTCCACTAGAGATATTCAAACCAAAAGAATTTAAGAACTCAAGCTCCTCAAATCAAATATGCTGTGGACCATGTTCAGCCAGCAGGCTGCCAGCTGGTCACTTCTGGAGTAAATGGTTCTAGGTTACCTTGTTGGCCAGATGAGTGGCAAAGGACTCCTGTCATTGAACCACCAATGTTAGGTAACAGAGACACACGTACCCACATTCAAATTTTGCTCTATCATCTAGCAAGTCACTCCTGCAAATGTTCGATCTCTCTGAACATCTCCAGCATGGGGTTAATAATAGAAGTATGTACCTTACACCGTTGTTGTGAAAATTAAATGAGATTATTTATATCGAAAGTTCCTTGACATGCAGTAAGCCCTTGTGTACAAGTAGCTAGGACTCTAATTACTTAGGGTCAAGTCTCTCTAGAGTGGAGTGAACTCTCAATAGCATTCACCATCCCAATCTTCAATTCATACCATTCTATTCTTGTTTCCTAAAACTATTATATTAAGTGGGAAACTACATGTGATTTAATTTGTGACCCAAAATTTGTTTCATATAAATGAATTCCCAAGGCAAGGGGAAAACACCTTTGTCAGGTGAAGTGTCTCTGGCTTGATAGATAATCAATAAACAGAGATGTCAATGAGATGGAGGCACTTCAAAGTAAGATTTCTTAGGCCATGCTCCTGGCACATGTTAGCCAAAAGAGCCTAGAACAAAAAAAAAAAAAAGGGAGGAGAAAATAACACCTATTGAGTGACACTCTGACTTGGAATCAGATGGCCTCTAGTCTAACGCTACTAGTGCCCAGACATGAGCTTGGGTAAGGCCTTTAACCTCTGGGCCCCCATGGCCTCACCAGCAAAACAGGAGCAATAACAACACCTGTCTCACACAAGTGGGGAGCTAAGGAGAAAACACAAGGGGTATGTAAAGCGCTTGGTACCCAGTGCAAGCTTAGTACATGGTGGCTACTGTGGTTTCTCTGGGAGTGCCATCCCAAGAGGCTTGCCACCTGCTCCTGGCCTCTCACTAATGACACATCAGCCGTCTCCCAAAGGGTTCAACTTTCATAAAAACACAGTTTGCTACTGTTGCATTGAGTTCCAACCACTCCCTTCATTCTTCTTAAGAACCCCACCATGACACTCAATTTGCCCAACATACATATTTGCAAATTAATTCTATTTAAAAAGTATAAGAAATTATCTGCATGGTCCAATGAATGCCAGAGGCCCTTCCATCCCAGCTCATGAGAGAGTCTCGGTGGGTAGCTCATCTTCTCTGATTTAATCCAATCTTATTTGGCCTATGGAAGCTTGGACATGGAGATGAAGTTGCTGCAACCACTGGGCCTCAGATGAGATTCTTAGGGAAGAGAGTTGCTGGAAACGTCCCACTGTCAGGCAGAATGACACGCTTGCAAAGAGATGGTGTACAATGGAGACTGGACCTTCTTGGCTAATGCCCATGTTCTGAAGGCCATGGGTCTTGGAGATCTTGCTTCTGTGGCATTGGCTGAAGGAAAATCCAAATGAGCCTGCAGCTGTGAGTTGTCCCTTTGCATGGTCTTCATAAAGCAGCAAGTCTTCCCAGAGGTCCAGAAATCCCAGTACAGTCTCCCAAGTACCACCACAGTCCTCTCCCATTTGAGCTGCCCATCTCCAAGGACAGCTTTGCTTTACAGATAAGGAAAAACAGAGGTCCAGAGGGGTTTAATAACTTGTCCAAGGTCACCCAACTAGTAAGAGGCATGCCCACGGTGAAAAATCATCGAGAATGCAATCTACACATTTGGAGACTTGAGCCATCCCACCCATGAAAGTATGTTCTGTTGACACCCTGAAACCAGCAATATTCCATGAGCGAAGGAAAAGTGAGTCTGTTCTGTGGCCCTTCTCCAGGATAATAATTAGTTCTGATCAAATCTGGATCAGGTCAAATTTTGTTGGGATCTCTCTGCCTTCTGCTGGGCATTCACAGCTGTCACCTGGGCCGACGTGAGGTGCAGCAGGAGTTAGCAGGGGTGGCAGCTGGGAGCACCATCATGGGGGTCATGTCCTGGCTCTCTGCCCCTTACCAGCCATGTGACCTTGGGCAAGTAGCTTTACTTCTCTCGGCTTAAACATAAGAATAAAAATCATAACCGATAACTTTTATCGAGTGCTTACCATGTGTCGGGTGTTGCCCTAAGCTCTTGTCTTGCATTCTTTTATCATCTCAACAACCCTATGAGGTAGGACGTGTCATTGTCCCCATTGTACAGATGAGGAAACACCAATAATGAAACCCAACCCCCCACAGAGGCAGGGAACATACATCCCTTGACGGGCCCCAGCTCGGGGCTGCTCAGTGGTCCCCACCTGGGCCAGGGTCAGCACGCTGCTTCCGTAAGGGGCCGGATGGTAAATTCTTTAGGCTTTTCCAGGCCATGGGATCTCTGTGGCAACTCTTCAACTCTGTCTGCCGTGATAGCACAAAAGCAGCCACAGACAATATGTAAATGGCGAGTGGGGTTGTTTCCAATAAAACTTTACAAAAATAGGCAGTGGGCCCTATTTGGCCTGTGGGCTACAGTTTGCAGACTCCTGAGCTAGAAGAATGGCTTCTCCCTCTACCTGTTAGAGCCAATCCTGCTAAATGTCCTCTCTCCACACGCTCCCTCTCCTCCTGTCTTTTTTCTTCTAGCCTGAGCCTGACTTGCTAGAGGGCTGACATAGGTAGCCAAAGAAGATGAGGACACTGGAAATCATGGGTGCAGTTAGGCAGGGGAAGCTCACTGGTCTCTATCAGCCCGTGAGGTGGCAGGGTGCCAGCAGGGATAGTACTGGGGTCAGGTTGGCAGGAAAAAGGGTCCCAGTTCTCAAGAGCAAGGAGAGAGATTTGCCTGGGTAAGACCAAGACCCCAGGGAAAAGAAATGGGTCCAGACAGTGGGAAGCGTTACATGGCGGCCCAGCCAAGAGCACCATGGTAAGGGCTCGTCTCCAGCCCTTAAATACAAAAGGAAGTCAAGACATCCATTCGAAGAACCAGGCAAAGAAGTTGGGGCTAGAGAAGAACCGTGGATAACTTTGGGCCTTGTCTGCTGGTAGGATGGGGCCACGAAGATCCTGGCTGCCTGGGGCAGGCTGGGCTCAGGACCAGCCAAGAGCCAGGCCCACAGCTGAGCCCAAATGGGGAAGTCACAGGGGAATCAGCCAGGGCTGCCTCCTCCAGGGACCCCCCCTACACAAAAAGACAATGTCATAACTCAGCCCTCACCCAGGGTAGCTCAGGACAGACCTGTTGCTTCACTGAATCCATTCAATTCAATAGACATTAATTAAACACATACTACGTGCCAAACCCTGGGGACACAGAAATAGTGCATACCCTCCAAGCTGTCACAGTTTACAAGTGAGATAAATACAGGTACAACTTCAATATAACACAAGACAAAATAAAATGTTCACGGAAGCACAGCCAAGCATGACTAGGACCGAGCAGGGTGCTGACTGCGGGAAGGCCTCTCAGAAGAGTTTGTTAGTAAGATATGAAGAACGATTGCTCCTATACTTTTAATATGGAGCCCAATTGGTTCCCTGTGAGTTTCCAGAAGAATGAAGATCTGCCCCTTTGCCTTTCTAGCACTCATGTGAAACCCTTAAGCCTCTGAGGACTTTTTCTCCTCTGAGAAGCACTAAGATATCAGGCGTCCCCAAAGAAAAGGGAAGCCTCTTAAAAAAAAACAACATGAAAAAAAAAAAATGCGTGGCCTCACGCTCTCACAGCCCTTCCTAGAGCATGGACTTCAAGCGAGTCACACATTCGTCTCGCCAGATGACCTTACAGAAAGCCTTTTCCTCTTTAGGACAATTGCAGTTTTAAGGGAAGTTAGAAGTTGTACAAGTTTAGAAGAAATGGTTGTCAAGAACTAAACTCTAGCTCTAGAAACTGATTTTAAAAAACCCCAGGCTCACAAAGATAATAAAAAAATGCATTTAATAGCATGTCAATATACAGCTTAAATGTGTATTAAGTCTTCTCTTAGTCAGTGCATTACAGGGATAAAGAAGAGAGATTTCATTTGGAATGCACAGTCCAAAGCTAGGTGTGAGTGCCAATAAATCTGGGTGCTTGCACACTGATAAAATCCCATTTATGACACATCCCTCCGGTGCAGTGCTCTGTGCCAGTGTGGGGTTCGTCCGGTCCAGTATGCAAGCTACGGTTTTAAATTGAATTGTATACAAGTATTAACAAAAGGATAAAATTTATTATTCACAAAACTAAAGGTGTTATCATAGAGCTTACAAGAAGAAAGTACAGCCTAGAACTAATGAGTTGAAAAACTAGTTTTTAAAAATAATAAAACTTACTGGACAAGTTTTGGAAAATGATATTATAAAACAAAGAAAACAATTGGCACAGTTTAACCACCTAATTTCTAAGTGCACTTTGTAATGTTCCTTGCAAGCTGCCACTTTTCCCAGGATAATGACAAAAAGCTTCAGTCAGGTGTCACTGGCTTATGGTGACGGGTTTTGTTTTTTTTTTTTTTTATTGCATTGCCAAGAGTGGATTTTAAGAAAAAACACTACAAAGGTTTCAAAAACCCTATTTATTCTCTATCATCAAAAATAGCAACAGGGGGACTTATACAACTTTTCTGTGAGTACCCACCAGTCTATTTTTTTTTTCTTAAAAAAAATAGAAGTTAGTTAAAGAAAAATGATTTGGTTTTTAAAAAATAATGTAAGGAAACACTTAATCAGATAGCCCAAGGAGTCATCAGAAATATGTGTAGCAAGAAAGCTTCATTGCTTGGCCCTCTCCGGCCTTTGCACGTCTGTTACTAAACTAGAAAGAGAATGTACAGTACCAATATGTTCCCCAACCTGCTCGGATCGAATTGTTTTGTTTTTAAACCCATTATTGCTAAACCAGAGTGTTGACACTGAGCGCCGAGGAGTCCACTCATAGAGGATAAAATTGAGAGGCGGCTTCCGAGGACTGGATTTCCACCTGGGCCATTTTGAACTGCGTGCACTGCAGCCACTTGCGGAGGGCCGCCAGGCCAGCACCGCTCTGGCCCGAGCCCGGCAGCGTCCTTAGGCTGTGGTGGTTCACGTTGTTCTGAATGGCCTGAAGGCGAAGCTGGAGTCCCGCAGATAAGTGCTGTTAAGAAAGGGCAAGACCGTTTAGTTTCCTTCCTTGCGAATTGCTCCCGGGCAGCCCAGGGAGTGTGGACCCAGGCTGCTCCTGCAGGGAGAACTTAGCTTGGCTCAAGGGCTGCCTGGCCTGAAGATGACACACTCTCGAATATGGCCATGCTCAGGGCCAGGGGCCTGCACCGTGTTTCTACAGTCACCTGGCCCCAGTCCAACCGAGTACTGACGTGCCCACCACGACTGACTCACTGCAGCGGGGATGGAAGGCTGACACGGCAGCAGCTGGGATGCCACATAAACTCGTCCCCCAGAGCTGTCCGCCCCACGGGCTTGGTGAGGCAGTAGAGTGCCTGAGCTCTGCCCTCAGGCTCCCCGGGTTCAAATCCTGGCTCCTCTACGACCAACTTTGGGAACAAGGTGTTTTGGTCTGTGTTGGGTTTTCTCATGATAGTAACAGGTACTCGGGGCTGGCAGGGGGAAGGGGCGGGGGGTGGGGCGCGTTGTCAGCACAGATAAATTCATAGAGTGCTCAGAACAGAACTCGGCACATAGTGAGTGCTTACTGCTTACTAAGTTTTAATGATTAATCTGTCTGCTCTCGAGGAATTCAGGTTGAAAGCTTCTCTTCTATTTCCAAGATTTTTACTGAGTTCTGTCTGCCTCCTCGTAGCACTCTGGGACTCTGGGCAATGTGAAGTCGCCACAGATTGCCATAAAGCCGGGAAAGGGGTGGGAGAGGCAGTGCGCAATGTTTCGAGGCGGGAGTGCAAGCAGCTCACTACTCACAGGAGAAGCCAGTGCTGAGAGAAGGGTCTCAGCAGTGCCTGTGCCCCCTGCAGTGGCCACAAGCAGCACCAAGGCAGTAATCAGGACTCGCAGGCCGCAGTCGGTCACTGCGGACGGCCCCGTCTTTCTCTTTTGGTGTCTGGGTACCCTGAGACCACACTCTCTTCCTTCCACTAGCATCCCTCCCCAGCTCAGACAAGAAATCCAGCCAGAAAGTCTCCATCCTCTCCCCGCCGTCCCCCAGCACTCCCAGTGCCGTGGGCAGGACCAGTTTTGGACGGGGCAGGTAGCTGGCGTGGCCCTCGTAATGTCAAGCCCCAGGAACTACGCTTGCTGGTCATGGAGTATGTTAGCGCCTGCAATGACAAGGCGCCACCCAGGAAAGGCGTGGGACTGGGAAGTACATTCCGGTGGGTCTTTCCCCTCCAGGCCGTGGGGCCCTGTCCAAGTCACTCTTCCTATAGGTCCGATATTTTCCCATATGTGAACTCTGGGGGCAGTCTCCTTCTAGTGCCCAATTCTGCCATTCACTCAGTGCTATCCTGTCTTACTAGAATGCTTCCCATGACAGAAAATCAATCTCAGTGGCAGAAAGTGTCACTGGATGTACCCGGGACCAGATCCCATAGGTATCTTCCAAAGACAGGGTGGCTTTTGGCCTGTGTTCCAATCAGAGGACTGAGGCTTGCGTGGACTCTGGGATGCCCCCCTCCACCTGCATCCTCGTCAACAGTGAGCAGTAGGACAGGGGCTCCTGTGCCACCTCTGCCTGTGGGGCCCTTTCCGGCCCACAGGGTCTCCCGCATTATCAGCCCTCTAAGGCCAGGAGCAGGTTGAATTCATCCTGCTCCACAGTAAGGGGACCTCGGATGTCACGATCTTCTCTGGAGGAAACTGAGCTCCCAGTCAGCCCGGGGGGTGACTTACCTTGATATTTGACTGAATCATTGGCAACCACATAGGTATCAGCTGTGTGGAGAAAGACAGAAGCCTCGTTATTACTGTTCTCTGCTCCCCCACGAAAGCTCCGGCTCCCACAAGGGACACAGGCCACGCTGAGTCCCTTTCGCATTGCGCACGGATGTGGGCCCCGGCTGCGGAGCTACCCACTATCAGCAGCATGTCTTTCTGAGGCCAGACCCTGCTGAGCTGGTGGCATTTGGAGGTTAATAAGCGCTCCATGAGTGCCTGACATACACACTTTAGAGTAAATGACTGATTGTCTCTTGAAAGCCACCAAGCACGGGAAATTAAATGTGTATTTATTTAATTAAATCCTCACTTTCTTGAAATAGAATTTCCTCCGCGGGCGCCTCAGAACTGAGTCTCCGAGTGGAGCAGCGACTCTATTTGCCTGTAGTCATTAAGAAAATATCACTGGGCAGCAGTCACAACACTTCCGTGATTGAAAAAGACCACCCCTAGGGTTGCCTGGCTGCGATACGGAAGGTGAAATACAGCAAGACGGGGCCAAGCGTTTGTGGCGTGTGGGTGCAAGTCCCTGCCGGGTGACCTGGCCCTCCCTGCCACTCTCGGTGTCCCTGAGCTCTCCGATGGTCCCTTCCTTGGGACTCACGGGGGGCCTGGCCCGGGGCCTCCCGAAGCAGCAACCTCGCTCTGCTTTGGTCTCTCAGCCATGTTTCAGTCCTTAAGAATATAAGCAGATATTCATGGCCTTGTAAACCCAGAAGCTGGAAACAGAACATGGCATTTTCCAGATCCTGTTCCACAGAATTCTAGTCTGGTGGGATTTTAAACTGGGGGCCCAGGGGGGCCAGGGGATGATCCAATAAGTTTGGAAATGCTGCTTTCTTTAGTTCAGTCCTTCTCAGATCTTTAACGTGCTGATATACATCACATCCTTTCACTCCATATTCCTGCCAACCCTCCACTCCAATGAAGGAGTAGAGTTGCCATGGATTGAACTGTGTCCCCTCAAAATCTATGCTGTGTCCTAACCTGCACTGCCTCAGAATGTGACTTTGTTTGGAAATGGGGCTGTTGGTGATGTCATTAGTTAAGATGGAGACATACTGGGTCAGGTGGGCCCCTGCCCCAATCCTCTATAACGGGCGTCTTCATAAAAAGGGGCATTTGGACACAGACGCGCACACACAGGGAGAACGCCCCGTGACGGTGAAGGCAGAGACTGCACGCCAGGGAACACCCAGGACTGCCGGCAAGCCAGCAGCCGGGAGAGAGGGATGGGACAGACCCTCCCTCACAGCCTCAGAAGGAACCAACCCTGCTGACACCTGGACCTCAGACTTCTGGCCTCCAGAACTCCGAGAGAATAAATTTCTGTTGTTTAAGCCCCCCAGATCGTAATGCTTTGTCATGGCAGTCCTAGGAAACTAACACTAGGGCATTCCGGGACGCAGAGAGAGTACAAAGAAGGCTCAGAGGTGGGAGCGTGCAGAGAGATGCGGGGCGGGAGGACTCACGAGAGGCTGGGGTGTGAGGTTCTTAGGAGAGGCTCATGGAGACCGAGTACAGAAAAGCAGAGGCCGGGGCCTCTCCTCACCAGCCCATAGATACCCTGAATGCCAAATTAGGGCATTTGGATTTTATTCCAAATTCAGTGCCACTTCCGAAGGGGGTGTTCCATTCACCGTGAGCAGAACTGTGCTCCAGAGAGATGACCATGGCACAAGTCTACAGAGCAGGGTGAGGAAGGACACGAGAATGGAGGCAGCGGCCCAGTGCAGAGGGACAGGTGCTGGGGATGGAGAGACAACCTGTGATGGTCTGAGCATGAGTTTGCTCTTCCGGGTGAGAGGAAGGTCAAAGAAGAGGCTGAGGCTTCCGGCCTGGGTGAACTGGAGGACACTCACGAAGGAGCAGAGCCAGAGGAGGAGAGAGCCTTTGGGGACAGGGGCGGCGTGCACATGGTTCACCGCTAGCCACAGCCAGAGGCTGCTGTTCTCACTGAATTCATCACAACGTTTTCTTAAACATAAACATAAACTTAGGGAAGTGATAAATTGTGTTTCTCTCTCCGTTTTTGTTCCCAAGGCTAAATCCAGCCGTGTTTTACTCTGAGCATTCTGTAGACAATTTGCTCCCTCGACTTCCATCCATGTTTATCCTAAACACTGCCGAGCACAGTGTTTACGCTGCCGCCAGCCAACGCTCTGTCTCTACCACGGCATCGTGTCTAGAAACGGAGTATAGTGTGCACCAGAAGACGTAGTAAGGCTAAAACTCAAAACATCAGAAAATGCCACCCTCTCCACACCTCCTCGGTCCCCCAACTCTCGTAACGAAACAGTGGGATTACAAAGTTGGTGCCAGATAAGGCTACACTCTCCGGCCCTCACTGGGACTGGCTCATCTATTAACAGATATTCTGAATGAGAAAGGACAACTAGTCTGTCTCTCCCCACGGTGTCTGTACACCGAAAAGCGAGTCCCGGAGGCCCGAATGTCTGCAGACTTTGTTGATCTTTGACCATTTAATGTGGAAGAGGACCTTGTGTGCCTCTTGATATTTGGGAAACACTTGCACTGACCTCCTGTTAAGAATGTTGAGGGACTTGGGAAGGGAGTGCTGAGTACACTGACCCTGGAGGGGACAGACACTTTCCCAGTGCTGTCACTGGGCCCAGGGCCCGTGTGTGGGGTAAGCTAAGGGCACAGTAATGTTGGTTCAAAAAGGGTTTCTGCTATGTCACCATCAATGTAACTTGTGGCCATATGATTCTAAAAGATACCTGCAAGGGACCTTCAGGTTTGTGATTTACGAATCACATGACTGATGGCATCAGGTTAAAGCTCATTATTACGGGTGGCATTATATAACCCAGCAGTCATCCTACTTTAGGAATGCTAATTTGACTTATTGAATAACATCCACTTTAGCTCCCTTTTGCTAGTGGCTCCTACAAAGCTGTCAGTAAGAATTAGATGTCATCTATTTCAGGCTCTGTCATGTTATAATAAAGTTGGTTGGGCTTTTTCCCCATCTCTCCAGAAACAATATCCAGAAAACTCAAGGACATTTTTAAAAATAGGTTGTTTTTCAGCAAAATAAAAGGGATATCCTTCCTCGTATCTTGGTTTATGCTGCAGAATAAATGGAAGACTTCCTGCTTGGTTGGCATATATTTATTTCACCCCTGCCTGCTCCAATCCTCAAAATTAAAATTGGTGGTGAAATTTTCTCTTTTAGCCAAGATGGAATAAATTAAAAAAACAAACAAACAAACAAAAACAACCAGATTTACCCTCCCGCCTGGAACAACTAAAAATCCAGACAAACTATATGCAACAATGATTTTCAGATACTGAATGTCAGACAGTGCAGGACACAGATCACTGAGGGAGAGGAAAAAAACAAGGCGAGCCCCCCAACTATTCTAGCTGACTGCCAAGAGAGAGTGTTCAGGCCGTGGCATAGGGAAGAGGACCCCAGGTGGAGCCCAGCAGTCTTCCTGAGTTGAGGAGATGTAGGTAGGAGTCCAGGGAGGCCCAGGTGGCTACTGCAATGTAGAATACTGGACAAGAGAGAGATGCAGAGAGAGAGAACTCCAAAGATCTGCAAGGGTTTCCCCTTGAGTCTTCAGCTGAATATTGACCACACACAGATAAAACAAAATAAAACAAAAAACTACCTGACATTGAAGAAAAAAACACCTCAAAAATATTAGAAGGAAAATCCCTGGTGATCACATAGGGTCAAGAATAGTTTATGTTCCTACTAGTCAGAGTGGAAAGATCTTATAATTCATAAAACTCCAGTAGAATATTCATAAAGACAGTAGCATAATAGGAGTAATATTAGCCCTAGAAAAAATGCTGTTCCAATCCCACCTAACAAAGCTTAAATGCTAGCCTCAAAAGGACAAAAATATTTATAAGTAATGTAATTATATTGCAGAATACAGCTTAAGAATATTTATATGAGTACAAAAATATTCAGCGCCCAAGAAAGTCAGATTCACAATGTCCAACAGAAAATTACCAAGAATGCAAAGAAACAGAAAAATGTGACCCATAAATGAAGAGAAAAATCAATCAATAGGAAAAAAAATTGACACAGATAACAAAATTAGTAGAAAAGGACATTAAAACAGTTATCATAACTATATTCAATATGGTCACAGAGGTAAAAGAAAGATCGAGCATGTTGAGTAGAGACAATGAAGAAAATATTTAAATAAACAATGGATTTGTTTTACTTTTCCAAATCTGATGAAAACTATAAATCCAAAGATCCAAGAAACTCCCCAAACCCAAGCACAAGAAATATGAAGAAAACTATCTCAGGCTGTATCATCAAGTTGCTTAACAACATGGCAAAGACAAAATCTTCAAAGCAGCCAAAGAAAAAGATATATTATATACAGATGAAAAAAGATAAGAATGACGGAGATTTCTTGTTGGAAACAATGTAAGCAAAAAGACAGTGGAGGAGCAACATCTTCACAGTACTGTGGAGAAAAAACCCAAATTGTCAATCTAGAATTCAATACCCAGTGAAATTATCCTTCAAAAATGAAGGCAAGGCGAGATGGCTCACGCCTGTAATCCCAGCACTCTGAGAGGCCAAGGTTGGTGAATTGTTTGAGCTCAGGAGTTCGAGACCAGCCTGAATAAGAGCAAGACCACATCTCTACTAAAAATAGAAAGCAATTAATTGAACAACTAAAACTTAGCCGGGCACGGTGGCACATGCCTGTGGTCCCAGCTATTCGGGAGGCTGAGGCAGAGGGATTGCTTGAGCCCAGGAGTTTGAGGTTGCTGTGAGCAAGGCTGACACCACAGACTCTAGCCTGGGCAACAGAGTGAGACTTTGTCTCAAATTTAAAAAAAAAAAAAAAAAAAAGAAAGCCTTCTGAGATACAAAAGCTAAAATGATTAATCACCAGCAGACCTACACAGGAAATGTTAAAGAAAGTCCTTTGGGCAGAAGAAAGGAAAGATAAAAGATGGAAGTTTAGAGCTATAGAATGGGATGAAGAGCACCGAAAATATAAATATGGCAATAATAGCAAATATAAATGAATATAAAACATGTTTAAAATCTCTTTAAGAGATAATTGACTGTTTAAATCAAAAACAATAACAATATATGGTTTGCTTTATAATATATAGAAAAGTATGTCAGGCATGGTGGCTCCCGCCTATAATCCTAGCTCTTTGGGAAGTCAGGGCAGGAGGACCGCTTGAGGCCAGGAGTTCAAAACCAGCCTGGGCAACATAGTGAGGGTCTGTCTCTATAAAAAAAAAAATAAATAAAAAATTAATCAGGCATGGTGGTATGCACCTGTAGTCCCAACTACTTGGAAGGTTAAGGCAGGAGGATCACATAAGCCCAGGAGTTGGAGGCTGCAGTGAGCTATGATCATGCCACTGCACTCCAGCCTGGGCAACAGAGCAGGACCTCATATCAAAAAAAAAAAAGGTAAATAAATTGAATTCAGGATATAAAGATATAAAAAGGATAATACTTGGCCAAGTATGATTTGTCTCAGGAATAAAGGTTGGCTTAACATTCAAAAATTAGTCAAAGGAATTCACCATATTAACAGTCAAAAAAAGAAAAGTCACATGACTATCTTAATGGCTATAGAAAAAGCATTTGAAAATCCAACATCCACTTCTAACAAAATTTCCTAAGAGACTAGGAATAGAAGAGAATCCTACTCAATCTGGTAAAGGTTATCTGTGAAAAACTAACAGCTGACATTTATATTTAACAATGAAAGACTAAATGCTTTTTTCCTAGGATAAGGACCAAGGCAGTTTCCTGCTCTCACCATTTCTATTCAGCTTGTACTGGAGGATCTATCCAGAGTAATGAAATAAGAAAAGGAAATAAAAGGCATAAAGATTGAAAAGGAAGAGATAAAATGCCCTTATTTGCACAGGGCATGATTATCCACAGAAAATCTAATGAAGTCGACAAGAAAGCTACTAGAATGAATAAATGAGTTTAACAGGTTGCAGGGTAGAAGAACAATACAAAAATCAGTTGTATTCCTAAATATTATTAATGAACAATCAGAAATAGAAATGTAAAATATATACCATTTATAATAGCATAAAATATTATTTTCTTAGGGTAATAAATATGACACAATTCTACTAGGCCTGTATGTGGAAAAATACAAAATATTGCTGAGAAAACTTAAAGAAGACATAAATAAGTGGAGAGATTTATGGTATTCAGAAGAATGAATCAGAAGACTCAATATTGTTAAGATCTCAATTCCCCTTAAACTCATCTATAGATTTAATTCAATCTCAATGAAATTCCCAGCAATCTTTTTGTAGAAATTAGCAAGATGATTTTAAAATTTATCTAGAAATGCAAAGGCCTTAGAATAGCCAAAACAAGTTTGAAAAAGATGAATGAATTCATAAGACTAACACTACCTGATTTCAAGGCAGATTATAAGACTATAGTAATTTAGACAGTGTGGTATAAAGATAGACAAAGAGATCAACGGAACAGAACTGAGAATCTAGAAATACAACCATACATACATGGTCAATTGATTTTTGACAAAAGTGCAAAGGTGTTTCAATGGAGAAAGGATAGTATTTTTAACAGTGGTGCTGGAATAACTGTATATCCATACCTCATGCCATATACACAATTTAACTCAAATGGATTACAGAAATAAACTAATACCCAGATGAACATAGAAAACACAGCACCTAGAATAAAACAAAAAGAAAACTCTTTATGAGCTTGGATTAGGCAAAGTTTTTTTTTTTTTTTTCTTTTTTAAGAGACAGGGTCTCACTATGTCATCCAGGCTGATCTCGAACTTCCAGGTTCAAGCAATCCACCACCTCGGCCTCCCAAGGGTAGCTGGAACTACAGGCACGTGCCACCATGCCCAGCTTAGGCAAAGACATTTTAAAAATACAACTTAAAATGCATGATCTATAAAAGAAAAATTTGGTAAATGGTACTTCATCAAAATTAAGAACAATCTTGCGCCCTTCACAAGACTCCCTGAAGACAATGAAAGGACAAACCACAGAGAAAATCTTTGCAAATCACATAGCTGATAAAGGACTTGTATCTCAAAATTCAATAATCAGGGGGGAAAACCCAACACAATAAAAAATGGGCAAATAATTTTAACAGACACTTCACCCACCAGATATATAGACAGCAAATAAGCACACGAAAGGATGCCTGACATCATTTGCAAACAGGAAAGCACAATTTCAAGCCACAAAGAGATACCAGCACACAACTCTCAGAATAATCAATATTAAAGACTATATCAAGTGTTGACAAAGATGTGGAAGAATTAGAGTGCCCACACTCTGCCAGTGTGGGTATAACAGGGTACAACCACTTTAGAAAATGATTTGCCAATTTTTTAAAAAGGTAAATATACACATACGGCCCAGACTTTCCATTCCTAGGTATTAACTTACATGAAAATATATACATACACAAAGACTTGTTCATGAATATTCACAGGAGCTTTATTTGTAATAGCCTCAAACTGGAAACACCCCAAACATCCATCAACTGATGAATGGATAAACAAAATGTGGTATATTCATACAATAGAATACTACTCAGAAATAAAAAGTAATGGTCTACTTATACATGCAACGACATGGATTAATCTCAATATCATTATTACGAGTGAAAGAAGGTGAAAGAAAAGTATGTACTGTGTGAATCCATTTGTGGAAAATTGTGGAAAGTGCAAACTAACCTGTAGTGACAGAAAGCTGATCAGTAATTGCCTGGAAAGGGAGTTGGGTACAGGAAATGGTGCAGTAGAAGGATTATAAATGGGTACAAGAAAACTTCTGGAGGTGATGGATATGTTCATTACCTTGATTGTGATGATGGTTTTGTGGGTGTAATATAAATCAAGACTTATCAAACTCTGCATTTTAAATATGTACAGATTACCATATGCAAATTATACTTCAATAAAGTTGTAAAAAATAAAATCAGGTATGATTATCCAATTGCCGGTCATAAAGTTTCCCTCATAGTGTTCTCTTTTGCTCTATCAAGCTAGAAAATGATATATCCATCCCATTTGAGCCAATGATCTTGCACTGTTCTGGTAACAGTCAAGTTTTCCCTGAAAATGGGCTGCATAGTGTGAGTTAATGTGACAAGTGTCCTTTACTGAAGAGTGGAGTCAACCAAGGAGTGAAATAGTAAGTTATAAGGCTCCAAATTGATGCACTCTGGAGTGTGGGGGTGACAGGGTTCAGGATAATAGAAGACAGAAGTGAAAGGTAAAGAAGGAAGAGGTACAAGAAGAGGAAAGAAAAAGGATCAGTGGGACAAAGAAGTGGAATGACAAGAAAGAAAGGACAAAAAGGGGAGGTAGAAAGATAAAGGGAGTGAGGAACCAAGTCCTCCTCTGCTCTTCTGTTTGTTATCACACTAATCTGTTTCTGATGTCCCTGGGCAGATGACAAGTTCTTGAATTACTTTCATACACTGTATAATGATTTAAAATAATATTCTTTGAAAGTAAATTAATTTATCTTCAATAAAAGCACCTGATACCAAGTCAAACAATTATAGACTATTTCCCTTGGTTTTCTGGATATCTTTTGCAAGGTGAGGTACCACCAACTGAAGTATATTACTATCGGGTCATTTCCACATTAATGTTCCCCAAGAATATTTTAATTACTTGAGTTACCTGCAATCATGGTCTGACATATTTAGCCCAGGTAGAGTTGGTCACAGCAGGAGAGTAAGAGCAACATTAACACAATAACCATTTGGTAAAAGGTTGTCATGGCAGCCTGAATCCTCCAGCCCCAACTCTGAATGTTAAAACTGAATCATTTTATTTTCCTCTTTACAAAGTCCATTCAAAATAAATACACATTTGTTTTTAGCAGTAAGAAATAAATGGTCCATAAAAATCATAAGATCTTCCTACCTTGACAAAAATGGTTGAATTGCATTCTTGCAATGCCTCCATTAAACTAATCACGTGGAGACACACCATTTCTACCATCTGAAACAGCAAACACAAAAGTCAATTCCATTCTCAGCGACGCGGAAACCCTGCAAACTAGTCATCACAGAGGACTGATGGCCCGTGCCCAGGAGGTCTTTCTGCACAATGGCCACAGGGGACCACAGGGAATGGTTCGCTCACCTCTAAAACTTCAAATCAGAAACAGAACTTTAGAAAGCTCCAGAGGTTTTGTAATCATCATGGCTTCCTCCCTCAACTCCAGGCTGCCAAAAGAACTCAGGCATTGATCTCACTAATCTGCTCTGCACTATGACTCACACAAGAGGATAAATGGCTTCTGCTTCCTGCATTTCCAACTACAGAAATACTTGGGTCCTTTCTCTCTGTCTTGATCCTTTCTCCACAGTTTCTTCACTGGGGATGGCTGTTTAAATTTACTGTGGATCTGCCTCTGAGGCTTTATTCCCTATGGAACAAAGTAGCCAAACTGCTTATGACAGTTCAAAAGTACAATGGAGACGACATCCCTCATTAGAAATTCCTAAGACTGGATTTTAAACACTCCAGAAGGATTGCATCAGACAGGCTTATGTGGTTTAACAAAATTTTAGGAATAAAATTAATTCAAATTCATTGGTAACATCATTTGTACCAAACTCATCTGTAACACTGGAATATCAAGAGTGATTTGGAGGAGAAGTATTATTGGTATCAAAAAGCTAATGATGATAGAATGGAAATTTTAATCTCTAGTGTGAGCTGAAGGCACCAGTTTCATTCTCTATAAAATAACAGAATAGAATGCTTGATCCCTGAGTTCTTCTTCAGTCCTAGAATCTGTGACCCAATAAATGTGATTATTTCCATAGCAGTCAGAACTATTTGCAAACCCTAAAATTTTCACATAAATTTCCTTTAAATTTAACTAAAAACAACTCTCTACATATAGAATTGCCTTATAACATTTGCTTCTCTAAAGAAAAGAAAGTGCCTCACTAAAGGAAATATACAATTCCCTTTCCAGTTAGAGCTAAAAGAAAATATTTCTTAGACTAATATTCAATCAATTAAAAAACCATTTCCTGAATGCTTTTTGTGGACAGTGCAGTGCTGGGCTTCCGGGCACACTGGAGTCACCATCATGGTGTTCCTCCAGGTCTCCTGCTGCTCACAGACAAGAGCTCTACAAGAACTCTGATGATGTTCCCACAACCAGGACACTGGCTACAGCCTGCCCAGCAGAGAACCTCCTCCAATATAGCAAATAGAACTAAAGGACCCCCTTGTAAATTTCTTCCATACACCCTTGAATCTTGACTCCATAAGGAACAATCCAAGCTTGTTCGATGCCGTGAGCTTAGGCTAGCACACACCCTCCGGTGAAGTTTGGATCAGCCCCTCTCCTGGTGAGCCATCTACATTAAACTAGAACTGGATTTCAAGACTTGGGTGCTTAGATCCTTATAAGGCAACTCAAAAAGTTGAGGTTCTTTCCAGGCTTTGAGCCCTGAGTGGAATGAACACCTGTGGTCAGACTGCTCTTAAACCACCTCAGATAGATGACCTAAGTGGCTGAGGTTTTCCCAAGTTGTTTTGGAATCCAAAAATACTAGGAATCTCATTCCTAACCCTTTGACTTTGTAGCACTGAAACAACACTTAAATGTAGACATTTCACATAAAACTCATCTGGCATTATGCAGAAAAAGTGAAAATTGTTTTTACTAAATTTACTTGTTTGGTTTGAGTTTTTTTGCATGTATGATGTACAACATAATATTCTGATACATGGCTACATCGTGGAACTGCTGGCTACATGAAGCTGTTTAATATATATGTTACCATATTTTGTGTGTGTGGTATGAGAACATTTAAAATCTACTCTCGGCAATTTTCAAGTACACAATACATTCTTATTAACTGTAGCCACTATGATGTACAATAGATCTCTTGAACTATTATTTGCTTGTTGTTAATCAAAATTCTTATGCAAGTAGAACATGCAGTTTATAACTTAATAACTCTCCAATCTGTTGCTATAATCTTACAACTGAGACCTGTGAGAACAGGCAGTGTGAGGACTAGGAGGGGTCTAGACATTTTGAGATTCTATCCCAGAGGGGCAACCTTTCCATGAACTCACCACTTTGTTGTGGGCCATTAACTGAAGGATGCTGGGTGTCACCCTACTCCAAAATTCTAGTGCTGTCAGTATCGCCGTGAAGCTGAATTCATTCTGATTTTGGACATTCGTGGCTACGGCACTTTGCTCGCAATACACGGTCCAGAGCTGAGCAAAGACGAATGCGTGGAAGAGGGAGCACATATGCAGCACAGAGGTCTGGAAGGGAAGAAGACAGTGTCGTTGAGCCCTAGGGGGCCGGGGCCCTACACAGAGCCTGCTCCACATGGCTTCGGCCTTGCCAGCCAAAGCACAAAAGAGTTATCTCAGAGCTACAAACTTGTGACTCATCACCTTACAACACTCTGCTCTTCACGCAGTCAGTGGGAGTGCGCTCGGAGAACAAAGCATCTTTTTCGGAGAGAGGACACCTTAATTTGTAGAATAAATCTACCCATCCCCTTGCCTTTTAAGGAAACCGACATCCCCATCCCTAGACTGGATTAAGGAGAATAGTGATTCTACCATAAATTGGGGATAATTGTAGCATCTTCAAAGAGTTGAGTAAGGAGTAAATGAAGTGATATACAGGAACGCACTGCCCAGCACTTAACAGTGACAGCGGAAGCAGCAGAGACAGTGCTCCTTCTAGTACCAAGCACGTGTGCAGTGAGCACCTACAACACGCCAGGACATGCCAAAGACTTTTTGTAGATCAGCTCCATAATTCTCAAATCATCCCCTCCTGTTTTACAGACAAAAATCTGAAGGTCAGAGAGGTTAAGTAACTTTGCTAAGCTCACAAAATTCCAAGTACCGTAGTTAAGAATCAAACACAGACCTAGGTTGAAATATTAGGAACTGACCACTTAATTCCTTTTGCAAACATCATCCATGTCATTTAGATGGGTGCTCTATTGTATCACAAAGTCACCTAGCCCTACCCTAACTCTCAGCTGTCCCCAAACCCACTGTGACCTCCCAGAATCTGCCTAAGCTCTGTGAAGGGCCGTTGGCTCCTCGGAGCTGATTAGTACCAGTGTGTCTGGTCGGCTTGCACGTGTTGGTGACTGACGCCTGCCTTGGGCCTACTTTATTCCCTTAAGCACAGCATCTGTTTCTACCATTCACAAAGTTCCTCTGTGTAGGTGATTCCAGTGTGTGCTTTAGTGAGTTCCCGCTGGGCTTCTTATTTTCATTTCGTATCTTTATGCTTCTCTAGAGACTTGAGTTAAAAAGACAGTGCATGAAGAATTAGATAGAGAATAAATTTTCCTCCATTTTGTCTTTGGTTCTGAAAACTGATCACAGAATTTTGATTATGTTTCCAGCCTTTTATTTCTCTTCATTATTTTGAGATAGAAATGCCTACAAAGCCAACCCTTGCTTGCCTCCATAATTTATCTTCATAAAAGTAAGCCGAAAAACAATTTAGGGGGAAAAAAAGATAGTCTGGGAATTTAAACAACTTTAAATGAGGCATTAGCACAAAGTTGCTTTTCTAACATCCACAGGAGGGCAAGTGATAAGATGCATTTTCTTCTCAGAAGAAACAAAATTGGCTGATAAGGGTTTCCATTAGCAATTTCGATGCATATGGTCTTAATCTTGCAGAAATCACTTACCTTTGATTGCTCTGGAAATCCAATCAGGATAACAATAAGATGGTCTGCAATATGGGAACCTGCGTCCAGAGGTATGGGCAGGCAGGGAGAGGAGGCATTTGGACACACTGCATTATGAGTGAGGGAACCCAGAAGCAGCCACGACAACAGACGGATGTGGGAGACACACTCGATGAATTCTTTAGGTCTATTAGAGAAGGAAGTGATAAAGATGATTTTATGCTTTCTGTTTCGTTGGGTGCACAACAAATGCCTTTTGAAGGAAGGGATTAAAAGTGTGGTTTTGCAGGCAATCACATAAAATAAAACACAAGGCAATAGAATGTCAACCAAATGATGTATCTGTTTTTCTTGTTTTCTCTCTAATCTGGGATCTTAGCTTCTTGAGCAAAGAGCAGCCTTTGGTGACACAGGATTAAATATCATTCTTCCAAAAACCTGGCTTCCTCTCTGATCAGCTTCTTTTTCTAAACTCTTTCCTTTCCTGTCATTAGAAAGTTCTTCTCTGAGATCCCCACTAGAGGGGAGGGGAGAGAGGAGGAGACACAGCGCAGCTGCCCATTCTCCTGATCCCCACTCATTCTCTCCCCCTGCTCTCAACTCCCACTGCCCACCTATCCCAGGAAGGCCGACTGTGCCCAAGGGTGGGGCTCAGGCCTGCCCTCAGTTCCCAAGAGAACAAGCCCACATGTGCCTTTCTCTTCTTTAGCCTCCCTAAGCAGCAGGATCAGGGCTGGTCCCTCCTTGTGTTCTATTTCACTCCTGCTATATGTTTTGTTCCAGCTACAATCTAAGCTGCCTGAAGGCAGTGGCCACGTAACTGCTCAATACATACCTACTGATTTATCAGAAATCAACAGTTAAAGTGGCATTCTAAGCTCCAAGTTTTCAATCATCCATTAGGACGATTGAGGGCTTCATAGGAGGGCAGGTTTCTTTTACTAGCAGCACGAGACGGAGCGCTCTGGGTCAGCAAGAACCTATGGAAATGGGTCTTGATTTCCATCTTCCTAAAACTAATCATATTCCACTGTCATAAATTGTCAATGCACTCACTAGGTCTAGCTGAGTGAGCCCCAGGAAACTCAGGGAAGTCTTGTGTCTTATTTAGCCTCATTCCTGGAAGAAGAAGGGTCTTACCCTTGCTGCATTGCAGAAGGAGGATGATAGAGCCAAGGCAGATAGCGGATCACAGCTTTGTTATCTCTGTGGTTGCCCCGTGAGATTTCCATGGCTGCAATCTGAGCCAGCCCTACTTTGAGATGTCCACCAAAGGTATCTTCATGCAGAGGCTGGGAACAAGTCTTCATGTGGCTCTACAAAACCAAATGGTATTTTGAAACTTTGGCAGATACCTGGAGACATTCCAGGCTACTCTTGAAAAAATCAGGTTGCCATTTCCACCCCTCCTATCACCATTCCAAGCATATAACCCACTCAAACTTCTTCAGTGGCTTCCCATTGTTCTTAGGATAAAAAGGGGGAAGGGAATTTCCCTAGCATGGCCTACAAAGCCAGGAATGATCTAGCTACTGCAGACCTCTGCATCCTACCCCTCCATCCCGTGGCTCCAGCCTTGCTGGCTCTCTGTGTGCCCTTCCACTGCTGTTCCCTCTGCCAGAAATATTGTTCCTGCCTCTCTTCGTCTAATTATTCAGATTTTAGCTCAAGTGTCACTTCCTCCGGAAAGCCTTCCCTGACTTCTCTGGCTAGGTCCATGCTGCTGTCTACCCCTTCTTCACAGCAATTTTGAGACACATTTTTACTACAGTCTGTGTGAAATGTTCATTAAATTTGGCCTCCACTACCACACTATAAATTAAATAAGGGCAGCTACTGTGTCTGTTTATGCTCATCACAGCATCTTTAATGCCCAGAACAAAGCCAGGCACGTTATAAGTCCTTAATGCATATTGGTTGAATTGATTTATAAAAATTTCTTTGTTCAGGGTGGCTTAGTGAGAAGAGCATCGAACTAGGTTTTAGACCAAGTTCTTCCCTACTTAGTCACATGGCCTTGGATAAGCCACCTGTCATTTGACCTTTCTGATCTGTTTCCTAATATATAAAATCAGAGGGTTAGATTATGTCTGTAGTTCCTAATCTTTTGATCATCATGGATCTTTCTTCTTATCTCTTTGAAAATATCTGCAAAACAAGCTAAAAATGTTTAAGTAATAATTGTCTCCTCTTCTCATCCATCAAAGTCATTTAAATGTAGGCAACCAGATTTGGCCATCAGTAACCAGTGTACAAGCAAATAAAAGGGGAGCTTATTTAGAAATGAATGGGTATAGACATTGTAAGATATTATCAGCATAAATTTTTATTTTACTTTCCACCTAAAAGCACTTTGATCATCTGAGCACAGTCTGGAAACATTTCAGTGATCAAGGGACCATGTTCTTAACTGTTGGACTTCAGGGATCACCAGGTTTCTGTTTATCAAGAAGGAATCCTTTAGTGCCAGAGAACAATTTGGCTGTTTCTTGGACCACATTTGGATTCTCTTCTACTCTGTGTCCAGGGCCTTCCTCAAATCTCTCAAACTATTAATTTTTTAACTCCCTAGTCAAATCACGGCAGGGACCTGTGTAGCAATTTATTCCACCCTGCAAAACAATCAATAAACTCAACAACTTCAGTGGGATTTTGTCCATACACAAATTAAATTTTTTTTCTATCCCCTTTATTTAATTTTTTTTTTTTTTTGAGATAGAGTCTCACTTTGTTGCCCAGGCTAGAGTGGAGTGTCATGGTGTCAGCCTAGCTCACAGCAACCTCAAAGTCCTGAGCTCAAGTAATCCTGCTGCCTCAGACTCCCGAGTAGCTGGGACTACAGGCATGCACCACCGTGCCCGGCTAATTATTTTTCTATATATATATTAGTTGGCCACTTAATTTCTTTCTATTTATAGTAGAGACGGGGTCTTGCCCTTGCTCAGGCTGGTTTCAAACTCCTGACCTCGAGCAATCCGCCCGCCTCGGCCTCCCAGAGTGCTAGGATTACAGGCGTGAGCCACCACTCCTGGCCTATTTAATTATTTTCTTGAAGAAGATAGCTTCAATGCAGATACAAATATTAAATGGCTTATGTTTGCATAATGTGCTACAGTTTATGAAAGTCTCCTCACACACATTATTTTATAGCAAACCTTGTAACAATCAGACAAGGTGAGTAGTATTAGACTTGTTCTTCAAATGAGGAAACTAAGGCTCAAAGTAATTAAACCTTGCTATGTGGTATGGAGCAAAGAGAATGAACTGGGAGTCACAACTCCCAAATTCAAGGTTCAACCTTGACTTCACCACTTAGGGGTACTACAACCTTGAGCAAAGTACTACCCTATGCCAAGCCTTTAGTTTCTACATTTGTAAAATGCAGATAATATCTTACTCGGGACACTGTGAGAATGTAATAAACGGCAGAAGTGAAGCTGTGCACACAGCTGATGCCATGTGAGTATCCTTTCCTTTCTTCTTTCCCTCTTTGCAGAGGTGGCCCCTGGTTCTTCAGACACCAAGACAGGGGATCATTCAACAGGACCACAGTTGCCTCCCTAGGTAGCAATAAATTCCCCTATGGTCTGCTTAATTCTCTAAAAACGCCTGTGTTTTGTGAACAGATGGAGGAGCAGATGGAAGCCATCCTACCTTCAGTTTGGTCAGCATGTGCATGTCTGCCATGAAATCCAGCACTTCGTTGATGTATTGCCGTACACACTCCATTGCTGCGGTTCCGCACTGAAACAAAAGGACACAGCTTGGTCACAGCTTCATTTTTGCCCTGACTGCAATGATTACCTCTTTCTGGTTTCATGCTGCTTACTAATGAGTTGTTTCATTTTCTGAATTTCTGACTCACTCCATTACTCTCAGCATAGTCTGTAGCTGTCTGCCCATGGTGTGGACAAAAATTGATTGAAGGTTAGTGGTGGAGGGCAACCAAACAGGGTTAAATGCTTTTATCCACTGGGTAATTGAACTGATTTTTGTTTGCTTGTTTTCAAGCTGGTTTGTATACAAAGATTCAGCCTGTGTAATGCCATTAGTATGAATCTATACAACATGAATCTCCCCAAAGCTACAGTGACACATTTATCACTCTAGGGAAGTCTTAGATCCACATAAAACAAGTGCCACCAAATTCTACCACCAAAATCTTGAATCTTTTTCTATCAAAAAAGTATATAAACAAACATTGTGTTTGCTGAAAGAGTAAAAAGTTCTCATTCAAGTTAAGTCACTTGCAAAGTAACTTCTTGTACATAGTAGGTACCCTATGAAATAGATCGATGTGTTATTGTCAAGTTCTTGCTAGGGATAAATAAAAGAAAGACACGAAATGGTCATCATCCCCACATACTCAACGTGTGTTTGGGAAGTTTTAAAGGAAAAGAAAGCAAGCTTGTGTTTTAGATTATTAAATGGCATGAACCTGCTCTCCCAGGGCAAGACAGCAAATTTAGGATTATAAGCAAAGCAAAGGAAAATGAACAAACAGGCTGCTACATCAAAGCTGTATGAGAGAACCCACACATCAGGCAGGATATAATGTGGATCAAAAGCAGGCAGTCTTTGAAGCCATATGAATACTGTGCGAAAGGCCTTTCTTGGCTTTCTTTAGGAAAATCTGGAACATTATATACTTAACTAGCTCACCCAGTGGCTCTCATTTTCCCATATTCATGTAAATCTGCACAGCACTGAACTATATCACCTTCTCTCTCTTCTAGAATGTTACGCTTGTCAGTTCTTCTGACAGGATAACAAACAGTAAAATAAGGTCATTGGCAGTCTGTCAGAGTGTTTTCCAAGCATTTCATACGTTCTAAGGTTTTTTCCTTTTAATTTAAATCAAGTGAAGGAATTATAAAAGGTTATTGTGTTCCTGCTTTTGAAATATTAATCCTTTAGTGCAAGAAAGGATTTCCCCCCGATTTATTCCATTTTCTCTGACCTTTCACACGTCATGCAAATAGGAGCAGAGACTCTGTTCTTGAATTTCTTGAAAGGGATTTGTTGCTTTCATAGGCAATATTTTATACCCTTTCAACTAGGCAAATGTCACCGAAAATAATTACTAGGAGCATTATTCAATATTTGTCTTTTAAGTTGGAATCTCAAAAAATGAGAGCAAAGAATTTACTATTACCTAGTTACTTTTGTCCTAGAGACAGAAACTACTTCGAATAAAAGCCTTAAAATCCACTGTTTGGCCAGGAGAAGCTTAGTGAGGCATCTACACTTAGGAAACGAAGTAGAGAATTTCCAATCCTCCCCCCCCCCTTTTTGTTTTTTACTTTGCAAAGCATAAGTATAACCTCAGGTATGTTATTTAAAAAAAAAAAGGAGTCAAGCCCTATTTGTTTCAGAAAGCATATATTTATTTTAATACGAAAACTGATGATGGAGTTGAAAACATACTCTAACCTCGAACACATGAATTGAAGCAAATCATATCCAACTCTTTCCCCAAATTTATATTTGATTGCAAAGCTCCATTTCTCAGATTACAAAAGTAACACATGTTCAATGTAGAAAATTTGAAAAATATAAATTACTAAAAAGAAAAATTAAAATCATCATAATCCTAATTCCTGTCCTCCACCTCTGAGAAAACCACTGTTAATATTTTCTTTCAAGTTTTTCTTTTTTGGATACATACAACATACACACATATATATATATAATTTTTTATAAATTGAGATAACTTTTTTCTAACATGCTTTTTAATTAAATCTATCATAGGCATTTTCCAATTTATTAGATATTCTTTGAAACCTTGATTTGGTAGCCACATAATAATCTACCTTATGTAGGCATTTTACTTTATTTCAATAATGACCCAATGTTGGACATTTAATTTGTTTCCATGTTTATGCTATTTTAAATGATGCTTTAATAAATATGCTTGTATATAAATATGTATATATTTATTATTTATTTTCTAAAATATATTCCTAAAAGATTACCAAACTGCAGTCCAGCAAGGTTTCACTACCACTAGTAGTATTTTTTTTTAAGTTGTTTTTGTTTTTGTGACACAGTCTCGCTCTGTCACCTAGAGCTAGAGTGCATGGCATCATCATAGCTCACTGCGATCTCAAACTCTTGGGCTCAAGCAATCCTCCTGCTCAGCCTCCCAAGTGGCTAGGACTACAGTCATGTGCCACCACACTCAGCTAATTTTTAAATTTTTTGTCTTGCTATTGCTCAAGCTGGTCTCAAACTCCTGGGCTTAAACAATCCTCCTGCCTCAGCCTTCTAAAGTGCTGGAGCTACAGGTATCAGCCACTGTAACCAGCCCACTAGTAGCTTATAAGAATGCTTGTTTCAGGCCGGGCGCGGTGGCTCACGCCTGTAATCCTAGCTCTCTGGGAGGCCGAGGCGGGCGGATTGCTCAAGGTCAGGAGTTCGAAACCAGCCTGAGCAAGAGCGAGACCCCGTCTCTACTATAAATAGAAAGAAATTAATTGGCCAACTAATATATATAGAAAAAATTAGCCGGGCATGGTGGCGCATGCCTGTAGTCCCAGCCACTTGGGAGGCTGAGGCAGAAGGATTGCCTGAGCCCAGGAGTTTGAGGTTGCTGTGAGCTAGGCTGACGCCACGGCACTCACTCTAGCCTGGGCAACAAAGTGAGACTCTGTCTCAAAAAAAAAAAAGAATGCTTGTTTCACTTCACCATCAATAAGTTTAATCATCAAGAAAACTCTGCTGGGAGATGGAGAAATAGGGAGGTACTGATCAAAAGGTACAAAAGTTTCAGTTATGCAAGATGAGTAAGTCCTAGAGATTTACTGTACAGCATAGTGTCTATAGTTAGCAATATTATTATACACTTGAAAATTTACTAAGAGGATAGATTTTATGTAAAGTGCTCTTATCATTAATAATTATAATAACTAATAAATTAGTTGGGAGGAAGCCTTTGGAGATGATAGATACGCTCACAGCATAGATTATGGTGCCGGTTTCAGTCTATACACTCATCTCCAAATTCATCAAGCCACATACCGTAAAGATGTACAGCTTCCTGTATGTCACTCATACCTCAATAAAGTGATTTAAAAAAACAAAACAAAACGAAAACTCTGCTGATTTGTCAGCCAACTTTTATTTTTATATTTCCTATTAATTTACAATTCATTGATTGCTTATGAGAGTAAAAGGATTATTTTGAATAGCTTAGTGGTCATTGGAAAGGGCTTTATATGTGATCCCTATAAATGTTGTTTTTTATTGTTGTTGGAATGTTCATATTTTACTTACTGATTTCAATAACCTTTTTATATATTAAGGATGTCATTTTTTAGCTATCACATAAGTAGCAAATATTGAGTTTTAAAGAATTAAACAGTAAGGAAACAGTGTGTGTGCACAGCAGAGACTGGCTAGCTACTCCCCCAGGCTCACTTGTCTTTTTCCCTAGCACACAACTTGACCACATTTCCCATCATCCTTTGCAGTCAGGTGTGGTCATGTGACTGGGTTCTAGCCAATGTAATATGAGTAGAAGAAATATGGACTTCTAGAACTGGCCCATGAAAACCCCATGTGTCATATTCTCTTCTCTTTCTCTAGTCACCAGCTAATTGCAGAGGGGCACACATGATGGAAGAAACCTGATCCCTGAGCATCCACATGAAAGTTTCCCTTCCCCTGCTAATCAGGATACCTGTTTTTAAACTTCACATGAGCAAATAATAAACTTTTGTGACAAGTCACCGAGAATTGGGATTTTATCTCATAGCACCTTGCATTACACTATCAAGAACCCTTAAGAAAAACAAACAAACCATAGTCTAGTAATTCTACTCCCAGAAATCTATTCTAAATAAGTAGTCTAAAATATGGACAAAGGTTTAAGCACAAAGACGTTCATTGCATATTAATTACAATGGCAGAATATCGAAAATTAAAATATCCAACAAATGGTAACATTTGTTAATATTATTTTTAGCAGATAACATTTACTCAGCACTTACTATGTGTCTGTATGTCTGGCGCCACGCTAACATGCTTAACATGCATTATCTCTCTCAATCCTCAACCTATACACTAAGCCCTGTTATACCCCATTCAATGGATGACACAAATTAAAGAATCATAAGTTAAAATACTTTCATAAAACCACACAGCTAGTAAACAGCAGGTCTCAAACTCTGGTGTGAGTCTAAGGCCTACACTCTTACCACTCTACACTCTTTATATTCTATGAAGTATAAAAATGTAGACAATTCATTTGGTCAGGACTTACTCCAGGTACAGAGGCTATCATCTGCTTGCTCAGGATTGTTGACTCAGCCAGTTTGGTTCCAGCATCTGCACAAATAAACTAAAAAAGATTGAAAGCACGATTATTTTTAAGAGTACTTAGACAGTAGTAATTTATAATTTTATTAACTTGGCTTAAATTGATTAGTGTTTACATTCATGACGCTCTGCCCTGGATACATCAGCCTTGCTAATCATGATAGTTCATTTCTATCTGAAACTCAGAATCACAGAACCGATATTAATGTGCAGATTCTTACTTTACCCAGACAGTTAAGTGGCACTGAACTGATCCATTCAATCAAGGAAGAAATAAAAGATGTCAGCATTGTCAGATTTATTCTGAAGTCGTTCTATTTATTCTGTAGCAGTTTTTGACAGTCACTGTAAGCACACATTCATAGATTTTCATGATTCCTATCATTATATCATACATTTAGAAAGAAAACAGAAAAACAGTCAACCACAGAGTGGGTATTCTACCTGTTTATTCCCCTCCAAGGCCCCTCAGCATGTCACCTTCCTCCCTCCCACTTCGTCCACACCTACACTCCGTGCCAATAATGACACCCGCTCCCGCTTTCCGCACCCACGGGACTTTTCACATTTCCAACGTTAACAGTCATCACAGTAGACAGCAGCGACCTATGAGTCTATTTCTCAACCTGCTACTAGATCTTTAAGAGCACAGACCTGAGGCACCTCACTCTCAGCACTAGCTTAGTGCCTGGCATCTCAGAGGGGCTCAGCAAGACTTTACGAAATGAATGGATTTACCAATTATGGTTTGAGATCATGGTAAAGGATGGCTTTGCCAGATTATAATTTAATCTCTCATTACAGATTTTGACAGGTCTTTCCCACATAATGCAATATTCAACTATTGTTTTAGAAAAAAAGTTAAACATGAAGTAGAGTTTGCTATGAGCAATTAGCTCCTGTTTAATTTCTCTTTCCTGGCCTCTGGTCGGTGGCCCTAACAACCCTGGCATCCGAAACTGCTGCCGTGCGGAGTTCAGAGGCTCCGAAGAAGTTTCAGCACCGATGTCTCCACCTTCCCACTCATTCCACACATCCTGGAAGGCACAGGGAAGCTGGGTGGATCGCGACCATGAGTTCAGCTGGGCAGGCCTGGTCCCTGTCATGCTGGGGAGAAGTAACAGGAATTGGGGTTGTAGAGAAAAATCTCAAGGAGGCCTGCTGAGGAGCTATGGAAGAAAGGAACAGAAACCAGCGTACCCTCAGGCTATCCAGCAGTCTGAACCTAGGCATTAGTAACGGGCAGCAGGTTCCAGCTGACGAAGTGGAGCTCTAAGCCAATGGTCTTCTAAGGCCAAGTTGCCTGTGGACTTCTAGTTCAGGGCCAAGAGCTAGTCTTCAGGTGCAGGAGATGTGGTCCTTCGTGAAAGGCATTGCAGTGTAGGTAACCGAGCTGGGGTGACATTCCATCGCCCCATTAAAATTCTGTCACCCCATTTGCCTCAAATACAGTTATAAAAAGCTAAGAATCTATTTGGCTGTTAATTCAGAATCTGGCAAAGACGATAGCCGCTGAGAACACCTAAAATTTTCCATTTAAGTATGCTCACAGCTGCTCACCTAATTTACACTTACTTCTAATATAAGGAAAAGTAAATACATTGGGTTTTTAAAAAATGTAATGCTTTTCACTTTGACCAAAACTTGTACATAAAAAAAGTAAAATCTGAAATATTTCACAGAAGTACATAGTGAAAAAAAGGAACACTCCCAGCCCAACCTCCTGGTAGAGATTTGAATGTTTTCCGTTAAAATTTATTTTCGGACCAGGCGTGGTGGCTCACACCTGTAATCCTAGCACTTTGAGATGTGGAGAAAGGAGGATCATTTGATGTCAGGCATTTGAGAGCAGCCTGAGCAAGAGCGAGACCCCATCTCTACTAGAAATAGAAAAAAATTAGCCGGGCATCGTGGCAAGTACCCATAGTCCCAGCTACTCAGGAAGCTGAGGCAGGAGGATCACTTGAGCCATGGAGTTTGAGGTTGCTGTGAGCTATGATGACGCCACCGCACTCTACTTGGGGTAGAGTCTCAAGAACAAAATTATTTTCAAAAGCTAATTGTGCAGTCTAAGATAAACAACTTATAACTAAGTTCCAAAACCTCTGTTAGGATACCAGCATTAATTTTAGCTATTAATGATTTCTTTACAACAGAAATGAGACTGCACGGCTAAGAGAGGCCACAGGAAGACATAGCCACATCTACTGTGTGAGCCAAGAGTAGCACCCAGAGCTGCTTCTTTAAGGATGGTTCCCAGTCGTGGACGCCCTCAAGTGTGCTGGCATGGCCCGCAGGGGCCCTCGAGAGAGCAGGATAAGAGTTGTGAAGAAGCAAAACTTCAGATGTCTGCATCTCCCTTCGGCAGTTGCCTTTCCACCCTACCATACTCAGCAGCGTGGAACAAGCAGCGAAATGTGAGCGCACTGTCAGCATGCTTGGCAGCCTCGCCCTGTCAAGATCTGAGGTCAAATTCAAATGTCTGATTTGTGATAACTCCTGCAAGTCAGAATGAATCAGAAATCACCCTAGAAGTCAATAAGCCTTTTTGCCTTTGTTTTTTTATGGCTGCCAACCATGAACTGGAAAAAAAAATCCATCATAATCGTATAAAGCTGCTCAAAGTACAAAGATATAACTTAAATTAGGGAGGGCAATGATGATTGCTGTAGAAGGAATAGTTCTATACTTCCAGAGAGAGACATGTCACTGAAATACGCACTCCCCCATGAATACCAAAGCATACAAAAGAAACAAGATATCCATTAAGTGTCATTACTAAATTCATTATCAAAATGTTACCCAAAATAGTATCTCCACCTCTCATCTCACAGTGATCAGATTATTACTAACTCAACTAATATTAATAACCCCACTCAGCAGTAACTCCATGAATTAAAAACAACAGCCGTACCTCTACCATTCTTTGTCCTCCAGCCCACAACTAACCTATCTTTAAAAGAAAACCTTTCACCAACATAATTTCTCACGCCTTGAATATGTGCGTATATGCCACAGAGTGGGAGTGGAACATGCAAATTAGCAGAATATCTACTCTTGACACATAATAAGAGCTGAGGAATTACTTTTGATTTGAACTTAAATAGTCTTTATGGCAGCTTTTAATGAGTTATCACTCCCTTATGAAAACCCTCCTTTAATCCACCTCAAGACCTGTTACACATAAAAGATCTACAGCAAGCCAGCAAAAGAGAAAATGTTGGAAGCAAAAGCAAAAATGTTAATAAATGTGAATTAATATAACATGATAGTCCAAAGTGCAGAAGGTCATCTATGTCCTGGTGGTCAAGAATTTAGATTCTTAAGAACGTAATTAATTTTTCCATTTGGCAAATTCCTTCCTGACTCCATGCCTTTTTCCTTGGAAAAAAAAAATCTAACTGAACATTTAAGGCCACCCGACTTCATACAACAGTAAAAACAAATAATAGCAGTTATGGCTAGATAACCACAGCGTAGCAGGCTGGGAGATTCCTGTGATGCCAGCTCTCCAGGGAGAATTTCTAGGAATTAAAAACCAGATTGGTTCCTGTGACTGCATTGACATGTTTAGAACTTGGGTGACCCCACATTCCTTGAGCAACTGTTCCATTGTCCTTTGAGGGGCCTCTCTTACTGCCTGAGTATTTGGTAAGCAGCAAAGGCATGGTCTGTCGGTGAGAAGATGAGAAGAAGATAAATGGTTCCATCTCAGTGAGCTCATCTACCTACTGAGTTATTTAATAAATAAGCAGTAGATGAAATAGCAGTGGTTCCTTATGGGGTGAAAGAATGAATGGGAAACCCAACATTGCAGCAACCGACTCTGTTTTCACTAATGGGGCCAGAGTCATTTACAATGGATCGCGTGGGGGTGGCTTTCCTCCCAGTCATTGCTTTCTTTTATGTTTCCAAGTTGCATTTTCAGTTAAACAGACCCACCTCACTGCTTTCAGATGACGGTCACTGACATCATGAAGAAAGTCACTGCCTGCCCCAGACACATCATCTGTCCACACTGTGAGCCTGGTTGCACAGGTGCCAGGAGCTGGCACTGCCAATCAGTCAAGGGGAAAGCTTCCCTCTGACTCCAGCCTCAATCCTATGGACGAAGAGAAGCTGCCAGAGCACAGACGATCCCCTCTGCTGTTCTCCAGAGAACACTTGCAGGGCCCAGGCAGCCAAGGGCAAGAGAAAAGGAAGAGAGAAACCCTACAGAAGATGCACTTCTCATGAAGAGAAAGAAAAATGCTTCTCCCTCATCCTACGTGTGGTCCGTGGAGGACTTCTCCCCAAGACTTAGGCAGGACGCAGGGCAGAAAAGGGAACTGCTCTGTTTTCTAAGGTAAGCCTCACTTTCATTTCTATCATTAGTAATGGAAATGGCTTACTCTAAGAGTTTATAGAGTAAGGATATGCTACTTCACGATGGCATGCCGTGTAACACCTTGTGTTGGAGAAGGTTGGAATATTGCCCATAAAGTTGTTTCTCCCGGGCACAAGCCCAGAATGCCTCCAAAACACTTCTCCAACCTGAGCAATTTTACGACTTGACTTTTTTTCAACTCAATGATTCAATGACAAATATGTATTTGTTTTTAAAAAGATGAAAATGGTATACATTTGGAATGGCAGATGAAAATCCATAAAACACATTTAGAAGTATCTTTTCCCCTTTCTTCCTTCCCAAAACTAATTTGTTTTTGTTATTTATTCACCTAACTGTGATGCAGTAATCACTGTTTTCATGGTTTCCTTAAGCACTGGGTAATTTGAACTGTCAGTGTTCCTTTGCGGATTTGTGACAAGTGCTTATTATGGTTGACTAATGTACTTCATAGAGAACCAGCCCCCCCCCATAGTCACAGCATGGGGTGCCAGACCCCAGGACGATCAGCCACACAGGCCTGCCCTGCTCCAGACCAAGGGCAGTTCGGAGAACACCATCCAACGCCCACAGGAAACGCCTCGGGGCCCTGAAATCTAGATCGCTTTGCGGTGGCACACCCCTCGCCGCCGGAGCACTACCAGAGGCAAGTGACCTCCGGCCACTCTCAACCTGCTGACCTTCACTCCCTCCCGGTCTCTCTCACTACACTCTGTTCACCTGCTCTCTCCTCCAAAATACCAGCGCAGAGCCCATCAGGCCTCGCCGTCGGCGGTCAGCGCTGCCCGTGCGCAAAGGCAGTGCGGCTGCCGATGCGCGGCCACGAGCTACGGCAGGAGACATCCCAAGTTTGCCTCTCCTTGGGAGCGCAGATGCTTTCTGGTTGTGACTTTGCTTCTGTCTCCCTCCTGGGCCGTCTGGCATCCTGGTGCAAGGCGGGCCATGTCATTCCGACAGCATCGCGCCCAACGCCCACTGCTGCCACGTTCCCGCGGTCACTAGCTCCCCGCACGCGCTCTCCGGGAGCGCCGGTGTCCCCTGGAAAGCTGAACTCACCCAACTTTTCATTGCATTGCAAGCCTTTGAGAGAAACTCAGTTCTGGTCCTGACGGTCGGTGGGGGCAGGGAGACCAGGCAGTGGACGTTAGACTGTAAATGACAATTGCTTTCCCCTCCACTCTTCAGGGAAACTGCTGAACCCCTGTGCATCCTTCAGGGCCCACGTGGGCCCTTTCCTACACCACTTCCCAGCTGAGTACACGTCTCTACTCAGGCACCCACTACGCCATGTGGGAATGTTTTGTTTACATGTCAGCATCACCCACCAGACTGGAAGGACTCCTGGAAGGACAGGCCACGGTTTATTTGTTTCTATTTCCTCAGCATCCTAGACAGCAACTAGGCCACGTTAGGGCTCATAATGCCTCATGAGCCTTCTTCCATCCCCAGCCTGCTCTTCCTCAACCTCATCCTCATGTCAATATCCCTAAATTCACCCCACCGTCCTGCCTAAGCCTTCACCATTGCTTGAAGCCAGTCAGCCTCTGGGCTGAATCTCAATCCTAGGCAAAGATATTTGCCTGACCCACCAGGCCTTAGTGACTCAGCTCCATCGCCACTTCCTTCATGAAGTCTTCCCTGATTTCATGTCATGTGGGGTGGGATCCCTCCTGCTCTCAACTGTCCGCTAGGACTTTGTTTACCTCTCTCTCTCTTTCTCTCTCTGTGTCTCTCTCATGACACTACTAATAGCCCGTCTTGGGTCACCAAAACCTGCATGTTTGCCTACAATGCTGAGTTAAGGACATGGGGGATGAAGGGCTGCAGGCCTTCACAAGCAGCCCTGCAACCAAAAGCAGAATCGCTGCCCGTTTCCCAGAGGCTGTTTTATATGCGTTCAAGCTGCCCTGCCCTACTGGTCCCACGGGAGCTGATTCACAGGGTACCCTGTCATTTGACCATATCTGGTGTGGTTCAGCCTCCCCTTCACCTCTGCTTCACAGAGATCTGGTGACCCCCCCCCCATACTCATCCAACTCTGCACTCAGACCTCAGCCTGCTTCCCCATGTCTGGCGTCAGTAGTCCTCCTGTCTCAGCTGTGCTGAGTGAGCTTCCCCTGACCCACTGGAATTACAAATTTCTTGAGGACAGAAATCGTTGTTTCAGTCTTCTTTCTATCCCTTGCAGAACTAGTTCCACAGTAGGAAGAAAAGAAATACTCCTTTTGTGCCTTTCTCAGCCAATCCAAGTGCCAAGTGCATAGTATTAGTTAGATCATGACCCTAATATATATTATTTCTTACCTCTGGGTGAACACATTTGGTTTTATGCATATGCTCCACACCTCCCTTACTTTTTCCAAACCCATGTGGATCTCATAAGAAGTTGTAGGAATCAGGTATAAGCCTACCTGAACAAGCAGAAGGAGGTTTGTATCTGGTAAAGGAGATTTGAGCTTCAGAGCCTGCAGAAGTTCTAGAACAACGCTACGTGACAAGTAGAATTTATCCCGCTCCTAAATAAAACAAAGTAGAAGAAGGTAAGTGATTTTAAAAATCCAATTAGAGTAGATCTATGTCAAAAGAGCTCCCGAAAGATTCACAGATCAGAAACAAACAACAACAAAAACAACAGTACTTAAAAGTGCACAGTGAACTGTCCTTAAGAAATAAAATAAAACAAAAAAAAGCCTTTTTATGTGCTTTATGAGTTACTGAACCACTGAGAACACATAATTTAGTGGATAAGAGAAAGACTGGCTAACTATTAAATACTGAAACCACAGGATTTGGTTCCTATTTACAAGAAACAGGTTCTAAGAACTGCCACAGTTAAACACATCTAAAAGAAAATTTTAATATAAAATGACTTAGAGAGAAGCATGTACAACTGTTTAAAGGGTTCCATGTTCTCTCCAAGGAACTTACTTTTTAAATAGACTACAAGACTTTTCAAGCATACAGAAAAATAGAAAGAATGATATATATTATGTACCTACCATTTATTTTTGTCAACGAGTATCATTTTGCTTTATTTGACTTATCTTTTCAAATAATAAATAAAACATTACAGAACAGTTGAAGCTATGTATATAGTGCCCTATTTTCTTCCTTCCTTCCTCCCTTCCTTGAAGTAGCCACTGTTCTGAATCTGGTGATTATATTATTTAGTGTGTGTTTTTACACTTTGACTGCATATGTATGCCTCCATTAATATGCAATGTTGTTTTGCATTTTTCACACTTTCCATTACATAATGATATACTGTGCATATTGTTCTGCAACTTACAATTATTTACCTTATGTTTTTGAAGCTAATCCCTATATATTGATACATGTAGCTCTAGTTCTTTCAACTCAACAACTTAACATTTTATTATATGCACATACCAAAATTCATTGATCAGTCCTCCTGTTGATGAAATGTTGGAATTGGTTTCAATTTTGTAAGCCTTTTCTAGTGTCAAATATAACAGATATGCAATAAAGTACATAAAATATAAGTGTACAGGTAAGTGGATCAAGGTGCATTGAGCACTCACGTAAATGGATCAAGGTGCATCGAACACTCATGTAACCCAAGACAAACAACAGCACGTTGCTGGGATCTCAGAGGACCTGTGTGTCTTCTCTTGATTCTTTCATAATCAAGCAACTGGAGTCCCTGTTGGTCTGTAGCCATTGTCTTTTTTTTCTACTCATTTTCACTCATTGTATCCTGCCTGCTCGTATGTCTGGTTATCTTTGATTCAGTGTGTTGGATGATTTATTTTTTTAAAAAATTACAGAAATAAATTGCCTGAAATGTTATCTACCTTCAAAAAGCTTTCTGTTTGTTTTTTGCCAGGTGCCTGGAGGCAGTAGCAGACCACGGTTACCTTAACACACACTCAAGCCTTTTTGTAATATCTCACCTTGGGCCAGCACAGGGCTTGACACTGAGCTGTGTCCGTGGGCAGGCAAGTTTACTTCTGGGTTTTCTTCACTTTGTGGTCTCAGCCAAACATATATGATTGGAAGGTGCAGTGTCAGGGTCCCCAGCCTTGGTAAGGTCTGGATTATGACTTTTGTCCCCCTAGCCTTATAGAGCTTACAAAATTGCAGCTCAGCCTCTCAGTCACATCTTCCAGATTGACAAACACTTCCAAGGCAAAAATGACCATCAGTGATAGACCCACAGCTTTGCATTTCTGCGCTCTCCCAGATGTTAGCCTCATACTTCTATATCGGATTTGCATTTTTTTTTTTTGAGACAGAGTCTCATTTTGTTGCCTGGACAAGAGTGCTGTGGCGTCAGCCTAGCTCACAGCAACCTCCAACTCCTGGGCTCAGACGATCCTCCTGCCTCAGCCTCCCAAGTAGCTGGGACTACAGGAATGTGCCACCATGCCCAGCTAATTTTTTCTATATATTTTTAGTTGGCCAATTAATTTCTATTTTTAGTTGAGACGGGGTCTCACTCTTGTTCAGGCTGGTTTTGAACTCCTGACCTTGAGAGATCTGCCCGTGTTGGCCTCCCAGAGTGCTAGGATTACAGGAATGAACCACCATGCCCGGCCTGGATTTGCGTTTTGATGCTAAAAGCAAGTTTTCAGAAAACATTTTGTTCACCTTTTTTTTTTTACTTTTTAGGTTAAGTGGGAGGATGGGTTCAAATTATGTGGTAGTGGTAGTCCACCACTGATCTGATAGTGGTAGTCCACCACTATCAGAAGAGAAAGTCAGGGATTTTTATTAGAATTATAGTAAATTTATAGGTTATTTTGTGAGAATTAGATATCTTTATTATACTAGGTCCTGATCCACAAACATGAGATCTGTCTCCATTTATCTAACATTCTTTAATGTTTTTCAATAAATTTTTCTGGTAATCTCCAAAAAAGTATTGCACATTCTTGTCAGATTTATTTTTTTGTCATTACAATAAATGAAATTTTATAATTATTTTTAGCTGAATATTAAAATAGGTGATTTCTGGGTATTTATTTTTATCTAGCATCCTTGCTGAGGCTTCTTGGAAGTTCTCAAGAGGTATTTATAGATTCTCTCTGGTTCATTTGTAATCACATCATCTACAGAAAATGAGAGTTGTATTTTTCTTTTACAATCGTTATGCCTTTGATTTCTTCTTCCTGTCTTGCTGAATAGGACCTCCAGCACGACAATGAATAGAAGAAGTGACAGTAGACATCCTTGTCTTATTTATGATTTTAAAGGGATTGCTCGTGGCATTTCACCATTAACATCATGATTTTTAGAGGTTCTGGTAGACCCCAGACCCCTTTATCAAGTTGAGGAAGTTCCCTTCTATTCCTAGTTTGAGAAGAGTTTTGATAAATGAATGTCAAATGATAAAGAATGCTTTTCTTGCATCTGATGAGATATCATTAAAAGTTTTCTCCTTTAATCTGGTAAAATGGTGACATTTATAGATCTTTTAATATTTATTCATTTATATATTTCAAGAGAATTCCAACTGAGTCATGAGGCCCTATTTTTAATGCATTGATTTGCTATTATTCATTCAGAATTTTTGCTTCTATGAAGAATACTGACCCATAATTTCCCTTTCCCCTATTGCCCTTGTCTGGTTGGTATCAAGATTCTAGTGGACTCATAAAATGTGTTGGGAAGTGTTCTTTTCTTGCCATCTCATTAGTTTGTATAAAGTACATACACAGATCAAACTCTTCCTAAATGTTTAGTAGAATTTGTCTCTAAAGCTGGAATGGTTTTTATGGGTAGATTTTTAATTACTTATTCCATTTTTTCATCGTTTAAGTTTAGTCAGATTTTTTTTTTCTGATTGTTACATATTAGATTTTTTGAGAAAATTATCCCTGTTGTCCAAGATGGTATCAAGTAGCTCATTTTTAAATCTCTATTGTGTCTGCAGTTATGTTCCCTTTTCACTACTGATGTTCTTTATCTATGCTTTTTATCTGCTTTTCTTTATCAGTCTTGCCAAAGGTTTGTCTATTTTATTAGTCCAGTCAAAGAGCCATCCTTTGGTTTCATTAATCCGCTATGGTATCTATGTTTTCTATTTCATCTATTTCTGCTCTTATCATTACTATTTCCTTCCTTTTTTTTTCTTATTAAAATGTCTCAAGTTTATTTCACTATTTCCTTCTTTTAATTTTTTTTGTGTTTACCCTGCTATTCTTATTTTAACTTAAATTGACTTGTTTAGCTCATTTAGCTTTTCTTCTTTTCCAATAAAAGTATTTAAGACAACAAATTTTCTTCTAAATATCTCTGTGGCTACATCTCTCACATTTTGGAATGTAGCATTTTCATAACTGTTTGGTTCTAAATATTTTTCTAAATTCTCTTATATTTCCTTTGGTCTATAAACTATTTAAAAATATTTTTTTAATTTCCAAATATAGCAATTCCCAGACACCATTGACCCATAGCACCTTTGTATGAATTGGGAAAAGTACATACACAGACACACAGACACACACACACACACACACACACACACACAAATATACGACTGCAAAACCTGAACAGCACTATGAGTTTTCAGAGCCCCAGCAGTCAACAGCTCTGGCTGCATGAGTACATGTGCAATCTCACCCACTCACACCCACCCACACTGCCTCACATTCACACACTCTACACACACACCACTGTGCAGGTAAAGTGACTGGGTCAGAATCTGCTGGGGGGACTGAATTCAGACATCTGAGAATAAGGACAGTCAAGAAAAGAATCTGTACCTGTGTGTACATGTGTGATGTGTACATGTATACTCTTCTCCATGCTTGTTGGGGCCTATGACCTGGTGTGGTTTTATGTGAGGAGAGCCTCTTCCAGCTGTTCTAGGACTTAACCAGGAAGCCCCAAATCCCTACACCTGCCTCAATACTCAACAAAATTTAATATATCTAACATGTGAATGGTGTCTACTTAGATGTGAACCCTTGTTTAGGCCCCACTTGAACACCTATATCCAGTAATGGTCTTGTTATGGATTTATAATTTAATTGCATTGTGATTAGAGAACTTGGTCTCCTTGAAACCGACTCTATAGCATGTGTTAAGACTTAATTTGTGGCCTATTGTCTGCTCTATACTTTAAAATGTTTCCTATTTTTCAATATATTCTCCATTGGTGGATCAAGATTCTTTTTATGTCCATTAGATCTAATTTGCTCATTGTATTGTTCAAACACACTATAGTCTTACTCATTTTTCATCTGCCTAATCTATCAATTATGAGAGTCACTAAAATCTCCCACTGTGATTGTGAATTTTTCAATTCCTCCTTTTAATTCTATTAATTTTTGTTTTATATATTTGGAGGCTATATTATTAGCTCTATGGAGTTTTAGAATTATCACATTTTCCTGGCTAATTGTTCCTTCTATCAATATATGGTGACTTACTTTATAATAATGCTTTATCAATTAAAGTCAGTTTACTGATTTCATCTTTCTTTTAATTAGTATTTGCCTGGTATATCTTTTTCAACCTTTTTCTTTCAAATTCTCTCAGAATTTTAGGCATATTTTAGATGGGTCTCATAAATAATATGTAGCTCGATTTTTCAAATCCAATCTGACAATCCATAACAAATCTAACAAACTTATAATTATTTAAATTACTGGAATATTTAGAATTTATTTCTATCATCTTACTTGTGTTTATTACCACTTGTTCTATGATTCTTTTTGTCTCAATTGAAATTTTACTTCTGTTTTATTCTCTACTTATTTGGGACTCATACACTGTATTTCTGGCCTTTGGAGTTTACATTTAAAACATTTACATGTATCCTTAACAGTTTAAAGTTACTCATTATGTCTGCCCTTCTTGTAAACAATGTAGAATGCTTTAATTCCAATCTCCACCCCTCAACACACACACCATCATCTTATAGGTTATTGTTATCCACTATTTTAGTCTTTATACCCATCTGATTAACATTATTATTATTAATGCTTTATATTGTTAATGATTCCCTATATTTCCACACTTTACCAATTTCTTTGAGCATCATTCCTTCCTACCTTTCACTCCTTCCTTCACAGCTCAATTTCCTTCTTATCTCAATATATCTTTCAGTAGTTGTTTCAGTAAGAAGATGTTAGAAAGTTTCTTATTTTCCTAATAGCCTATTTATTTGGCCTTCACTCTTAAAGGATAACTTAGCTGGTAGAGAATTCCAGGTAGATAGTTCTTTTTCCTTATCATTTTGAAGACATTTTTCCCATTATCTTCTGGCTTCCATTGTGCTATTGGGAAGCTTGTTGTCAGTTTATCTTTAGAGTGTCTTTTCTCTTAATTGTTCTTAAAATATTTTCTTTGTCTCAGCTGTTCTGCCAAGTTGTACCTACTCAAGTAGACTATGACATAAGAAGGTAAAACTTTATTTGTAAAACTTTTAGGTCTCATTGTGCTTCCTGAATCAAAGAATTAAAAATTAATTGATAAAAAGCCTATTTTCCTTCTCTGAAACACTTATTAGATATATAATATCTAGATCTAACATATAATATGTTAGATCTTCTCTTTATATCCTTTATTTCTTTATCTTGTTTTGTTGTATTCTAGGTAATTTCTTCAGATCTATTTTCCATTTCACCAATTCTCTCTTTGGCTGTGTCTAATTTGCTGTTTAACCTGTTCATTTAGGGTTTTTTGTGTTTTTTTTTTTCATGTTCGTGACTGTTTTTCATCTCTAGGATTTCTATTGTGTTCAAATCTATTTGGTCTGTCTGTCTGGGTCTGTCTGGTTGTTCTTTCTCTCTTTTTATTTGAAAGTGACTAGATCTGTTCTTGTGATTTTTATTTATCCTTTACATGTTTATCATGCAAAGTATGTTTTTATAGTCTCTATTGCATAGTTTTAATACTGGAAGTCCTTGGGGGAAATAATCTTGCTGTTGTTGATTTTGGTAATTTAGCTCAAGGTAGGTTATTTCTTCATTTTTGTTGTTGTTGTTATAATTTTAGATTGTGAGTTTATGTTCATCAAGATTTTAACTGTGGGAATCTTGTTGGGCCTAGGTTGAAGGCATATCCTTCCAGGGAGGTTTGAGGCTTGCTTTTGAGCTTGTTTCTCCCAGACATTCAAAAGCTAGTACTTGCTCAGCACTAATATTACTTGACTTTTCAACTTGGGCATTCCCAGAGCATGCAGTATTATAAATTCAAACTCTAAACCTGTTCAAAGATAGGCCCATGCTTACTAATTCTCAAGAAAGACAAATCTTTCTCCCAATTCCCAGGCTGAAACAGATACCATTCTTTGCCACTTTCATATAAGAATATGTTCTTTCCAAACCACCCTTTTACCTAGTATATAAGCTTTCAACAGTTTTGACCTTCTGCTGGGGTAAGTCAGCTCCAACTGTCAGCCTGGATTAGTCCCAAGGCTTCTTCTCCTTTCCCTATGTGGGTGGGCTTTTAAAACTCAAGCCACTAAATTACCCAGACAAGCAACTCCCACCCAGGACTACTTATATGTTTATCATTCTGATTCTTCACTTTTGCCCCTTTCATTCTGGGGCATGGAACATGCCATGGAACACTTAACATGGCAGAATGGACACAAGTTGGTAAGAAAGGAGACAAGGGTATTTTAAATAGAATAAAAGCCTTAGCATAAAATTAGATTTTCATGAGGAAAATAAAGGGTTTATAGAAGTGAACATGCATAAAGGAGCATTCTGAATGTTCGAGAGAGAAAAATAGAAACAGAGACCCCATTGAAAATCAACTTGGAAAATTTCTTTCTTCACTTTTGCCCCTTTCATTCTTATAAAATTAGCTAGACATTTAAAATCTTGTTTATTACATTTTATCCAGCCCTTATAGTATGTTAAGTGGGACAGCTTTCAGGTTATCTAGACTACCATAATTGCCAAAAGGGGAAGTCTCCAAAGCTCTTGCCTTTCCATGACTTTAATTATATAATGAAGAAGTCCCAATTAGATATAGCTATTTTTCTTAACTATTTCTTATAGTTTATCATTATCTATGAGAAAGGTGGGAACACCCTGGATTGAAGCTTTCTACGAGTGATAATCATTTTGTGTTGGAATGAGAAAGTATAGATGACAATAAGAAGTGAGAGGCCAGGCCAGGCCTGGTGGCTCACGCCTGCAATCCTAGCACTCTGGGAGGCCGAGGCGGGCGGATCGCTCAAAGTCAGGAGTTCAAAACCAGCCTGAGCAAGAGCGATGCCCTGTCTCTACTATAAATAGAAAGAAATTAGCTGGACAACTAAGAATATATAGAAAAAATTAGCCGGGCATGGTGGCATATGTCTATAGTCCCAGCTACTGGGGAGGCTGAGACAGTAGGATTGCTTGAGCCCAGGAGTTTGAGGTTGCTATGAGCTAGGTTGATGCCAGGGCACTCTAGCCCAGGCAACAGAGTGAGACTCTTACTCAAAAAATAAAAAAAAGAAGTGAGAGGCCACTAAACATATGATGGATTATGAGGGGATACCATGTAAAATGAATATTCAAACCAAGAATATCTTGAATTCAGCATGCTGGAAGGTCTCCTGTAATCAATACCTATAGTGTACAACTTAATGTGTACAACAAACTTATAGTGTACAACAAACTTATTATGACCTTTCTTCTAAAAAAGATATAATTTAAACGAATCAAATGTAAAGACAATAAAGAAATAAAATGACTTCTAAATATAGAATATCTTTCTATTGTATTTGGTGCTGTACCTTATAGATCTACTTTTATAAGCGGAAAAAAAAAGGAAGAAGTTATCTTTCAAGAAGGATTTGAAAAGAGAAAAAAATGCTGATTATCTTGGTAGTTTGAAAACATATTGCTCCAGGCAGAGTAATAAATAGTTTATAATCAGAAAAACCAAAAGAAATGTTACCATGGAACACTTAACATGGCAGAATGGACACAAGTTGGTAAGAAAGGAGACAAGGGTATTTTAAATAGAATAAAAGCCTTAGCATAAAATTAGATTTTTATGAGGAAAATAAAGGGTTTATAGAAGTGAACATGCATAAAGGAGCATTCTGAATGTTCAAGAGAGAAAAATAAAAACAGAGACCCCATTGAAAATCAACTTGGAAAATTTGGACATTGGAAGGGTAACATTTGTACATTGTTCTGAAGGACAGAAATGCTCCCAATTTGTCCTGCCTTCTGATTTTCCATTAGGACAGAATCTACCAGCTCCAGCAAGGCTGCTGTATCCACTGGGCATGCAGTACTTTTCCACTTTCTCAGTAGGGGGCAGGGGGTGCTAAAGATAATGCAATAGAGAAACCATTATTAAGGCAAGATGACAAAAGATGAGATTACAATCTCAGAGGCCAAGAACTCAGAACTGGGGAGACAGACAAATCATGAGAATGAAGAAGCTATCTACAGGCTTTGTAAATGACATTTGTAAATGACAAGGGAATATTTTTCCACTTTGGGTATAAAAATGATATGTAGTGATGGCATGCCTACTAATCACAGGATGGTGAACTTGAAAAGGACCTTAGGAGGTCATGGAGACCATTATCTCATCTCATTCAAAATACCTCTTCTCTTCTAAAGCACACAACCCTCAATTCTCCAAATCTGCGTATCTTAGATACAGTTTATGTATATTATGTATAAAGTGTTTCCTTCTTATGATATTTACTAGATCTCAATAAAATTACTCTCTCTTTTTTTTTTTTTTTAGAGACCATGTCTCACTCTGTTGCCCATGCTGGAGTGCAGTGGCACGATCATAGCTCACTGCAACCTCAACCTCCTGGGCTCAAGAGACCCTCTTGCCTCAGTCTCCAGAGTAGCTAGGACTACAGGCACACACTACCACACCCAGCTAATTTTTCTTACTTTTCTTTTTTTTTAGAGACAAGGTACTCTTGTATTGCCCAGGCTGGTCTTAAACACACAACCCTCCTGCCTCAGCCTCACGTGTTGCTGGGATTACAGGTGTGAGCCACCATGCCCAACAGAATTACTCATTTTTAACTATACTGAAGCAAAAGACCTGAAAGGGATTTGAGAATGATTCGAAAGAAAATATTTCTGCCAGGCTTCAGTTTCAGGAGAACACACGTATGGAGCCTTACCTTAGTGAAAGCTCGGTAACACAAGCCACACAGCTCTACCAGGTAGGCCAGGGTGAAGACAGCATTCTGAATTACAAAGCTGAGCAGTTTTGAAAACGGTTCCAACAAACTCTGCAATGAGATTGGCACCAACTAAAGTCAATTGCTGATTCTTTCTTAAGAAAAAAAGCATTGAAATCTTATTATACTTTAACTAGTGGAATCATTCTTTTTTTACTTAAAATCTGTTGCCAGGTGGCTACTGTAGCAACCCTGGTGGTCTAATTAAAACAAAACTGAGCCTTTGATCAATGGCTCAAAGAACATGATTAAATCATTTCATTGCTCAAAGAGAGTTCATTTTTCCATGAGGCATACATTTACAAACCTATCTAACTATAATGCTATCTTCATGTCCACCCTGAGCAATTAGGACTCTGTGAGGTTTGCATCAGGATCTTCCATTCTTTTTCTCAGAACCTTCAGGAGTCTATGGATGGGTTCATCAGATTCAGATCTTCCTGAAATCTGTCTTCTCAGCTAAGTAACACAAACCACCCTTGTGTGTAAGTGCCAAAGGACTATAGCTTAAATAAAATTCATCATGATGCAACCTTCTGCCAATGTTTATCCGGAAGGCATCGTCCTGCTTTGGTCTCTCCATGTGAATCCCACCCCTAAAGGGTCAGTTTTACTTCCACATGCTTTCTTATTTAGAATATTTATTGATCACCTAATGAGTGACAGGCAGAGTTAGATGCTTTCATATAGTTTATATCATTGACATTTCTTATAATTATCCTGGGAGACAGCATTGTTATAATATAGGTCATAACACAAGTGCTAGAATCTGGCACAAGCGTTTTCAAACTCTAGCTCTCTATGACCTTGAATAAGAGATTTAACCTTTCTGGGACTTAGTTTTCTCCTGTGTAAAAAAGGGATCATAATGGCCTCCACGTCATTACGGTTGTTGTAAGAATTAAAGGAGAAAATGTAGTAAGGCACTTGGCAGCAGTAAGCTCTCCATCAATGTCAGCTATGATCTTCATTATTAACCCTCTGAAGCTTTAGTGTCCCTCCCTACACTGCAGCTGAGGCAGTTAAGTAGACAAGTAACTTGCCTAAGGCTGTAGCGCTATCAAGTGCAATTCAAACCCAAGTTCTGGGGCAAGTTTCCAGAGGTAGAATTGCTCTATAGAGGAGCTAGGATTCTAATTAGCTTCCAAAAGATTTCCACACCCTGATTTCCACTACTTCTCAACTTCTACAGTGCTTACTGTCTGGATTATAAAAGTAACACACACTCAACGTGCAAACTCAGGATATGTAGGAAAGTACAGATCACATTTTGTATAGTGATAACATTTTGCTGTATTTCCCTTCTTCACTGTATACACGTTTACTTAGTTGAAATCTTACATATACACAATCCTATATTTTGGTTTTTATTAACTTAATATAACAAATTTCTAGTGCCATTTAATTCTTCATACTCATGCATTTTAATGGCCACAAAAGTCAATTTTACTATAAATAACACCCCCAATAAACTCATTTTTGCATGAAATTACATTTTCATTTTCTTCCTTAGAATAGATTCCCAGAAAAGGAATGACTAAATAAAAGGATATAATCATTTTTGAGGTCCTTTTTCCTTATTGATACAAAAATGAACTCATTACAAATTTGTGGCTCCTGAGGGTAGGAGTTATGTCTTTTACTTGTTTGTATTCCCCACAGAAAAACATCTTCCCACATGGAAACATCTTAAGGAAACTCTTTGAAACAGCACGGTTTATTCAGTATTCTTTGCTCTGTGTAACTGTTGCTGCCTTGAAACGCCGACAATGGATGAGTGGGGATAGGAGTGTCTCAAGATGACATATAATGCACCCTTATTGGTCAAAAAGAGAAACCTGGATTCAAGCCTATATTGAATCTTGCTCTTATTATCTATAAGTAATGCAAACCACCCTTGTGTGTAAGTACCAAAGCACCACAGCTTAGATAACATTCATCACTACATAACCTCCTGCTGATGTTTATCAGGAAGTCATTGCCCATTTTGGTTTCTCCATCTGAATCCCACCCATAAGGGTCAGTTTGGTTCTATATGCCTTCTATGTACTGTTGACTACCAGCAGCATGGTGATGGAGCACTATGGTACAAAAGAAAAACCAAGGAACTTGGACTCAAAGGACCTATGTTCAAGTCTCAAATCTTCTACTAATGAGCTATATGACGCTGGCCAAGACACTTCATCTTTCTGAGCCTGTTTCCTTGTCTGCAAATGAGCAGATTAACCAAATAATCTCTTTATAACTTTCTAGCATAAACTATGAGTCTCTGAAAGTGCAGTCAAGTTAAATAACTGCACAAGATGAGTATTGGTATATTAACTAGTAATTACAAGGTATTGTGATAGAAATTATTGCACCACTACATATAGATAATGCAGCCCAGAAATGAAGGTAGGAATACAAAAACGAATGAGACACAGTAGTGACCTTCATGAAGCTCACAGTCTCATCGGGGAGACTTCAAGACAACATAAGTGCTCATATAGAAAGCTCTATCAAGTATTGTGGGAGCTGTTATAGAAGGAAGTTGCTACAGATAATATAAGCATTTGTCTTCAAATGGGACCTTGAAGAATGAGGAGGTGTTCACCACAGACACAAGGGTATAAAGCATTTCAGACAAAGGAAATGGCCTTGGCAGAGGCAGGGAGCTATGAAATTGAGTAAGTTCATATATGTAAAGCACTAAGCACAATGCCTGCCATATGCTGTGCTCAACAAATGGTGGTGATTGTTTTGATGATAATAATGCTGATTCTAGGAGAGGGGGCACAAGGGATGGGACAAGTCGCCGAAGATTAAACTGGAAAGGTAGGCTGGCAAGTTATAAAGTGACTTCTTGTATGTCACATCAAGGAATTTGGATATTATCCCAAAAGAAACGAAACATTATCAAAGATTTTTAAGCAAGGAACCAACACAATGAGATCTGTGTTTAGAAAGGTAACCTAGATAGTAGCATGGGGATGGACTGGTGGGCATGGCCCAGGATCAGGAGGATCAATTATAAAAAATGACATTGCCACATATTAGGGCTCTTCATACTCGACAACTGATGTAGCATGAGGAGTGGTAAGGAGCAAAACTATTTCTTTAGTATTGCTACATGTCTGTCTTTTTAGGTTAAAAAAATAATTGACTGATCAAGTGGTTATGTTTCTCTGAAACATACATACCCTTGTGGCATTGGTAGAGGGGATCTTCAAGAGGCAAATCATAATTCTCAAACTGGAATCTAAAGAACACTGTGAATAAACATGAAAAAAGTTAATGTCAGTTCCTTTCTTAATACAAATATTTTTGCTTCAAATATTTCCTGAAAGCATTTATTTTAGCAAAAAGAAAAAAATCTAAACTATGACCACCTTTCTACAGTTTCCTGTGCCATGTATTCATGTTGGAAAAAAATCATTCTCAGGTCAAAATAATTTTAATTAAACAATGCTAAACAATTAAATAAACGTAGTTCCTAAACTATTCTACAAAGATACAGCACTAAAGTTAAATCAGAAAGTTGAATAAAGAGATGGATGGATGGATGGATGGATGGATGGATGGATGGATGGATGGATGAATAAACGACAGACACATAGGTGGATAGGTAGGTAGATATTAAATGTATTCAACTCTAAAGAGGTACACTAATTTGTGAAAGGCCATATTAGGAAAATATGAGTATTTACAAGTATAAATACTTAGCTCTATTTAAAAACCATTAGTTCAAATAAGAACCAGTTTCACCTGCCCTTTCTCTGCTAAGAAAAGACATGACAAAAACCTGGGGAAAAAGCAGTAAAATTTCTACAAGAGAAAATCATGTCTTACATATTTATTAGAGTCTTACTTTGGCAAGATTCCACACCAAAATATATTTTTTAAATTGAGTTTGCTGGGACTGGGGGGGGGGTGGAAATGTTACAGCATGAATACACAATGATGTTATTTAACATTGTAAATATATCACAATAACAGGCTAGAGTTAAATTTCTGCAGCTGTGTGTATTAACCTATTCAAGATTAAGCCAGTGGCTTTCCAAGTGGAATCCCTGGGCCAGCGGCGTCTCTATTACCTGGTTCTGCCCAATACCCATCAGAGTAGATGTGACATTTACATTATTTTTAAAAAGAGTGATTTAAAAATCAGGAAACGCTAGAATGCAAATCCTTAGGCCCTACCCCTGCTGAAACAGAAACTCTGTAATCGTCCCAGCAATCTGTCTTTTAGCAAGTCCTTGAGGGACATGATGCATACTGAAGCTGGAGGTCTGCTTCTCTAAACTGATCAGAACAAACTACAGAAGATTTTTCAATGGCTTATTATTTTTCCCAGAGCTTAAAAACAAAGGCATAAGGCGATCAGAGGCAGTGCCCAGATCTGCCCTAGCAGGGCAAATTCTTACACAAATCCTGAAAGTATTTCACAAGTACCTTTTAAGGGAACCACTGGTCTATTTAATCTGCTCAATACCCATTGGAGTAGATGTGACATTTACACTACTTTAAATCAGAGGCTGAAAACTGGCTGCTCATCAGGCCCCCACAGTGATTTAAAAATCAGGAAATGTCATCTTGGAAAACATAGGGAGATCGACAACATGAGGCCTGTGTTCCCTCATGACAACAAGCGGCAGGTGAAGAGCAGCAGCTGACACCAGTAGAAGGACTGGTGTGTTCCAATTCTCAAGGGTCTCAATTCTTATTACCTTATCTCATTCCACTTCACTCATTAACCTTGCAAAGCAGGGTCCCTGTGGGCAGGGCTGATTGTTATAAATTAGGTAAACCAGTTGTTTGCAGCTGGCAACACTTCCCATTCTCAGTGTTCTTGTTAAATATTTCATCATATCTGCATATAGGCATTGGGCTTTGCCATACCTGCCCTACCCCTTCTCTAGAGTGTGTGACTCTGGCCCTGACTGGCTTTCTGGTTTGAAGGAGGCTCTGTGTGTCCATGTTAAATGTGGCCTTGATTTCTTATGTGTGTACATGTACAGTAGCTATACACATACATGGTTTCAAAGGGCCAATCTTCCTTGCTTGGATTTATTCAGCTACTCCAGATTTGTGGGCAAACAAGGATCTCAGAATGTGAAAGGTGGTAAGATCCCTCCTGTGAACCCCTGCTGCTCTTAGTAACATCAAATTCAAAGCAGCACACACCAAGCTAAGGGTCCCTGAGTTATTCCCCTTACAGATGAATAGTATCTGCTGATTTGGAAAAAGGTATTATCACAGGTAGTTTATCTTTATCAAGGTTTTTTACATACATATAATACTCATTTCAGAAGTGGAGCTACCAACAAGTAACATCATTTGTCAGATCAACAAGTGATTAATCTTGTTATGAGTTAAATATTTCTATCTGTGATCTGCACAGAGAAAGCACAAAAAACCTCAAGAAGGTGAGGTTCAAAGCAGTGCCACCAGCCTTCTCTTCTCCCCCTGCTCGAGCCGTGAATGCCTTCAACTCATCCCACTCTAAAGGGGCACTAGGAGTCTGCTAGTGGAAAGAGCACTGGACTGTGAGTCAGGAGACTTGACTTCTAATCTCCGCATTACTACCACCAAGCTGTTTCAGCCAAATCACAGCATCTCTCTGAATTTGCAGTCCCCTGTTTGGAAAATGGGTGCATTGGACAGTACAATTCTTGCAGGTTTCTCTCAGCTTTATCAATATAGGCTTCTTATTTGCATTTACTGGGTTGTGTTGCTAATGCTCGGGCCACCAGATTTCCAGCTAGGTAACTGTGTGTTGTTTCTTGGGGGATGATATGGTGTGGGGATAAGCAGTCAAACGGAAACATTATCTTGGTCTTGCAGAGACTTTATTGAAAAATACACAAGCAAGCATTTCTCTTTATATAACTATCTAAAATTGAAACTTTACATTTTATGTCTGGGTTCCTTTTAGACAAAACTATTTTATTTCCTTATTTACTTAATATCCACCTGAGAAAAATTTCTAGATAAACACAAGCTAATGTCTTCCTGGTCTTTCTTAAATCCACTGGAGACATGCAATCACTGATCATATTCATAGTCGGCAACAAAATGCCCACTCCGTATTGCCATCATTTTAATACTGGAGAGAACCACCTAAATAATTCTCTTCATTCCATGGCAGGCAGATTCCTTATAGTCCTTTGGAACACATTAAATCACCCAAGACTCCGCTTCTTGTGTTGTTCCCTGTAAACAAATGGTCTGAAAACGGTGAGAAAGTCATTTAAAACGAGATCCTAAACTCGGCTTACCTTCAGAGGTAAAACACAAGGCAGCTTGGCAAAAAATGTCTGAAACTGGTTGCTGATGGTGGTCCAGAGGCTGCTGGGAGAATCCATGGGCAAAGCTTCCATGAAGGTAGCAATGTTTTCCAAACAGCGTATCATAGCACCCCCTGCTGGTAAATTCTTTTTGTTATTTAGACCCTAAAAACACAAAAGCATAGGCAATCAACTGCTGAAACGGCGCGGGAACTCACACAGCTGTCTGGTGAAGATCAGTTTAAGAAATCACACATTCTCGCTACAAACGTGTGTTGCGTGCCTACTATCCAGACCCATCACCGTTAACTGACCAGTCATACAGAGAAAAATCCCCCAGTTCGGACGGACTAAGGGGGAAAATTGGTGATCTTTCGCTCAGTGAGAGGCGAACTGTGAGCAAGAAACAGGAAACATCTTCTAAGGATCTACAGTTGGTGGGGTTAGGTGCTAAGAAGACAATGAATGGTGTCTGCTGCAAAGAATTCCCCAGGACGAAGACTGGGAGTAAGAATTACGGGGAGCGGAAGCTCTCTTTCCACCAACCAGCATTCAAACCCAAGCTCACAGATACAGGTAACAAGACCCTGAGGCTTGAATCCAAATATCGCGATACAACACCCCACTACAAATACGCAGTGGAGCCGACCTTAGAATCCAAGTCCCGCGATACAGCGAATAAATGGCGCGCAGCCTTGAACCCAAGTCTGACGATACAGCAAATAAGCAGTAGCTCTGGGGCGCGACTCCAAGTCTCGCGATACAATGCACACTGCTCTACCCGCTCCGCATTTGGAAAACCGGGTAGTTCTGCAGAGGTTGAATGTACTACGCTGGCTTATGTGGTTTAGTTGAGAGTATTTAGAAGCTTTAAATGAATAGTGCATCCACACAAAACGGCAATATCTGGCACTTTCCTATGCCTTGATAATTTTTTAAATTAATTTTTTAAAATTTAAATTGTTTAAATTTTAGCATTTTAAATTTAAAATTTTAGATTTAAATTTTTTTAAGTTAAATGACCTTGACTTCCTTCCTCAGCAGCAAGCACTCTATGGAGTGAATTAAAGAAAGATGGCATACCATTTCGGATGGGGCTTGGGGTATCATTACAGCAAACCTACCTCCAAGAGCTGACTGAGGGCGGCAATAGAGCTCAGCTCGTTGAAGTCCATCAGAGATGTGGCTAAGGTCCGTAAAAAAGTCCCATCTGGAAAGTCAACAGTCGGATTTAGTAATGTTTGGGTGTCAGGGACTAGCCAAATTAGTGGTGTCTGGATCCTCAACGGATGAATTACCTTTGATGGTGCTTTGGAACAGCTGCGGGAAGATGCCGTTGGGGGCCAGTTGATGGAAGATACAGCGCAGGAACTGCTTGGCCACCCCTGCTGCATTGCCGGGAACCATCATGCTGGGGTTGATCAGGGAGAGAAAAGACAAGAAATCATGGGCCAATGAGCATGTGTTCCGGCATTTATTTATTTAGAGTCAGGCATTGACACACCAGCCCTCCTATAGAATACCTCCTTGTCACTTTCATCAGTGAGAAGAAATATTCTGGTCAAACCTAATCCCTGTTAACAATATGTTTTTTAAAAGAGAACCATGAAATGCCAGAGCAGTCCTAGACTTATTCCAGGCCCCCGATACACCAATGATGGTTTTGAAGCCAAGGGAGAAAAGGTGACCTGCAAAGGTCACATGTCCAGAAAATGGCTGAGTCAGGTTATCAGCAGGAGCCTCCCAGGAAAGTGTCATTGACTAAGAGAGCTACTCTGAGAAAAAAATGCAGTGAGGGAGATGTTCATTCTCAATGGGACACCTGGGACGTTTTCTTTGGGCATCTGAGCTGGTACTTATAAAAAGGATTTCTTGGCCGGGCGCTGTGGCTCACGCCTGTAATCCTAGCTCTTGGGAGGCCGAGGCGGGCGGATTGCTCAAGGTCAGGAGTTCAAAACCAGCCTGAGCAAGAGCAAGACCCCGTCTCTACTATAAATAGAAAGAAATTAATTGGCCAACTGATATATATATATATATAAAAATTAGCCGGGCATGGTGGTGCATGCCTGTAGTCCCAGCTACTCGGGAGGCTGAGGTGGGAGGATCGCTTGAGCCCAGGAGTTTGAGGTTGCTGTGAGCTAGGCTGACGCCACGGCACTCACTCTAGCCTGGACAACAAAGCGAGACTCTGTCTCAAAAAAAAAAAAAAGGATTTCTTAGGTGCAACCTTTACGTGCAACTTTTCCTTTCTTAGGTGCAATTTTTCCTTCACCCATTGCATGTCTCTGCATGTCAAAAAAGAGGGCCAAAAGATCTATTTGTGGCCCTGCTCCTTAAACCAGGGTGCCAAAAAGGATATTTCCTGAGGTGGATATAGGGTAAGTTACTAGAAGGAAGAAAGAGGAAATCCAAGAACCCAAATGGATGAAGGGTGAAAAGTCCTGTCACCTAATTATGCCAATTGCATCATTGTGCCATGTCTACACTGAAATGCTGGTTCAAACTTTTAGGTCAAAATGTTCTTCAGGGAAAAAATAACACTAAATTTATAATAACTTCAGAAAATAGAGGAGGGATCCTCTATTGATAAAGCCATTATCAAAATAAATGAAAATAAAGTTGGGGCCAGGCACAATGACTCACACCTGTAATTCCAGCACTTTGGGAGGCGGAGGCAGAAGGATCACTTGAGGCCAGGAGTTTGAGACCGGCCTGGGCAACAGTTTCATTCAGGTAAAACCCTGTCTCTACAAAAATTTAAAAAAGTAGCCAGGCATGGGGGCATGTGTCTGTAGTCCAGCCACTAGGGAGACTGAAGTAAGAGGATCATCTGAGCCCAGGAGTTCAGGGCTACAGTGAGCTATGAGACACCATTGTCACTGCTAAATTTGACTGGCTAAAAAAAAAAAATATTATAAAAAAAGAGAGAGACACCATTGCACTAGCCTGTGTGACAGGACGTCACCCCATCTCTTAAAAAACACAAAGAAGGAAACAAAAAGAAATGGAAAGAGAAAAAACAGAGACCAGTAGTCCAGATGGAAACTAACAATATTATAATACTTCCATGGTGTACACACTGGTATTTTAGAAACAGGATGAACATGCACAGGGGACAAAAAGAAAGTGAGATTTGGGCTCACTTTAGGACCTTACCTTTCTGCTTGATTAGAAAAAGTAGTGCTGGAAGCCAATCTAGGAAATAAAGTAAACACAGCCACATAAATATCTTAGGATTTCATGATGAAATGCATTAGTGTTTCAGCAGGACCTGTTGCAGGTCAGGTTTAGATGGGGAGACATGTACAACCGTTTACAGTTCCCTTAACCAGGGACAGAGGGCCCACGCAGTGGTCAGTCCTCAGGGTTAACTTACTCCCTGAGACCTTTCTGTGTCAAGTCAGATATTTTCAGGGAGAGGCATGCACTTACAGTTGGTTTTCTGCCACACAGCCAGTCTACACCACGGCATCTGCAGCCAGTTTAGACATTTATGAGAACATTTGACCCAGCCCATCTCCATATTAACTCGACTCAAAATTTGTTTCTTTGTATACAACCTCCGAAAACTAACTGCAAACAAACCACAAATTATAAAAGCCTCTATAAGATAGAAAAATTAATAATAGGAATATTTGTCAGCTTTTGGGTTGAAATGATGAAAGGGAAATCTTTTATATTGAGAAAAATCTATTAGTTGAGTAATCAATATATAACATGTAATTATACAGAAAAGTATAATTATAGAGTACTGTATCCATGGAAATATTCTGTATTACTGTGTAGAAAGCGCATGTACTAAATTGGTTGGCTTAGAAGAACATGTCTTGACCAGTAAGATGCTGAAGAAACAAATAAGGAGAATGCTGCACATTTGTTTACTTTATTAAGACTACAAGTATAAGAGTGAACTGAGCCAAGACCATTTGGAAAGATATAGAGGGTCTGGCAACCACTAACATCAGACACCATTCCCAGTTGCTTTGTTTATGGGCCCTCTCATGCTAATGACACTAAAAGGAGTAGATAAACTTTGGCGAATGAACTAAACAGTAACTAAGGGTGCGGCAAATGTTATATTAAAGGCTGCACCTTGAAAAGGGGATAGGTAAAGTTTAAGAGGAATCCAATTAGACAGGAAAGTGTGAGATCACATAAAAAGCATGGGTGACGAGTGAAAGGGTTATGCTGAGCTTCAAACTCCTAGAACACCCTGGGAATGGTTCCTGTGTTCATAACTAGCACAAATAAACTAAATGTTTGTAAATCCACATCACCTCATCTGTTCTTTGTGGTAGAATTAAGGCATGCAAGGAAGCCCTGAATTAGGTGACTGTTGAATCTGTTTTCTTGGTAGCTTTGGTGCTTAGGCTGAGGTTGCTGAGAATTGAGGCAGCTTGCATTAAATGCACCACCTGTCTCTTGCTAGTCTTCCCAAAGGAGGTAGGCATTTAAATATATGTGTAGGGAATCACATAAAAATGTATCTACATTTTTCCCTTGCTTTTCTTCAAAGCTCATCTGTTTCCATCCTAATAGTTGGCAATGCTTGAACATGGATTACTCTTGCTTATGTTAAAATAAACAAAAAACTAAAACAAATTTCCCCATATATCTGTAACAACTTAGGTCAGCTGTTTCAAAGAGATGATAACAGACCAGAATAATAATTCTATCTATTCCTAAACTAAAAAGTAACGATGGTAGGAATGGAGACATTGCATCAATAAAACCCTCAGCTACACAAGTATTGCGGATAGCTGATACAACCTTTATTCCACAATTATGATTAGATCAAAATCAAGGGCTTAAATGAAATAATTCATATTTTCTTATCTCTCCATAATCTTCACTTACCTTGCACATTGTCTACTTTGAATTTTAAAGGTGGAATGGTTACACTTGCCTTTATACCATCTCTGACTATGTGATTCCTACAGATACTACAAAAAAACTAGGAGGAGGGGATAAGGGAGTCTTACCACACTTTGGGGATGAAGGAGTTTATAATGCTTTCCTATTTGTCTTTAACTTGAAATCAACATTTTTTCATTTTATAAAAAAATATTAAGAGCTGGCTCCATTAAGAGCCAACTTTCCCTTTCCCTTCCTCAAACGTCAAGAGTTTGTAGAATCCAGTTCATGTCCTACCTCCTCCTTATAGGCCTTTCCTAAGAAATCTTTTCCATCCTAAACTTGTATATGACTTAGCACTCCTACCACTCATTATGGCACTTAATCGTGCCCCATCCTGCATGGCTAGTTAGTGATTCCATACAGTAATTTTCTTCTTTGGCAACTAAGCAACAGAGTACTTGAGGGCAAGAGCTCAGTCGAATGCCTGCAACCTAAAGGACCCAATGCTATGTTAGCACAGACTGTAAACCTAATAAATTTATGTGTCATTTAATTCAATCTTCTAAGTTGCGCATGCTAGGACTACAGTTTGTTACTGAATTTGAACTTTATTCATATCCATGAAATACATCATTTATTCTCTAATGTCCTATCTACTAAATAGAATGTTCTTAACATGAACACCCTCAAAGCAGCTAAGCTTAATCTCCCCTAAATCCAGCTGAAGGGTCCTGTTCCCCAAATGTGTACATCCTTCCTTTATCTGAGTCATAAGTGTAAATCTGCTATATTACCATGTACCCCTTCACATGACAATGTGCCAAGTTTCATAGTTAAGCAAGGCACCCTTGAAATTACAAAATGCCTAGAGAATCCATCTCAAAATAGGCCAGGTGAGGTGGCTCACGCCTGTAATCCTAGCTCTCTGGGAGGCCGAGGTGGGCGGATTGCTCGAGGTCAGGAGTTCGAAACCAGCCTGAGCAAGAGCAAGACCCCGTCTCTACTATAAATAGAAAAATTGGCCAACTAATATATATAGAAAAAATTAGCCGGGCATGGTGGCGCATGCCTGTAGTCCCAGCTACTTGGGAGGCTGAGGCAGCAGGATTGCTTGAGCCCAGGAGTCTGAGGTTGCTGTGAGCTAGGCTGACACCACGGCACTCGCTCTAGCCTGGGCAACAAAGCGAGACTCTGTCTCAAAAAAAAAAAAGAGAATCCATCTCAATATAGGTAGAGAGAAATAATCATAATAGCTCATACTTACTAATTGCTTACTATGAGTGACTGACAGTCCTGAGCACTGTTACATGCTTTAGCTCATACAGTAACAGAGAACAACAGCAGAGTTTTCCCAGTGTGGTTTCCTCTAGCTTCACTCTGGCATTATGACTCATGGCCCTGCACAGCTGGAGAACTCAATCGAAATCTCAGTCCAATTGGTTTTCAAAACTGAGTTTTGATCAACTAATCTGAGTTGATCCTGCCTATAACAAGCATCTACAAGGTGACTGAATGTGTCACTTTTGAACTGGCAGTTGTTACTTTGAGATGCAGATGGAATAAGGAACCTTCCTTCCAAACAAAACAGAAGCCGACACGCACCGCCCCACAGACTGCATGATATCCAGCAGCAGCGGGGCCGCCAAGTCCGGGCTCAGGTGGATGAACGTGGAGAGGACCACGATGGCCAGCCCGAGTGTTTCTTCATCATATTCTTCAAGAATAGCCCCACAGTCATGGCATCTGCGGAGAAAATGGAGCAATGGGTTCCATGGAAGAAACCACAGTTTCAAGATAGAACAGACACAGCCATTTCTAGTGAATCTTGGGAAAGGCCTCCAAAGGACATGAGTGGCCCCATTCTGACGGTAAGTGGGAGACTCTAGTGCCACCATTGCCACACACACAGAAATAGGCTGGGATCATGAAGGTTCTTTGACTACTGAAAACCTTCTTTGGTTCACAAGCAAGCACCTGGCCTACCCATGAGTTCTTGCTCCCTTTTAGACTGAGTGCCAGTTGAATCGACTATGGACTATGGTTGATGGATTTTATACATGGGAAATCGTTGCTAGGGATAGTCAGTAGCTAGATTTTTTTTCATTTGTCAAAATGAAAAATGCCTAGATACAAATGGAAGCTTTCAATAAAATGCTCTATTTGTGGTTAAGAGACAGGGTAGTCAAGTCAACAGAACAATCTAGAAAGCCTAGGGAGTCTGGATGGAGTCCCTTCTCTACCACTATTTTACATCTTTTTTATGAACTCACCAGGCCTTCCTACCAAGTGTAATGTGTAAAAAGACAAACAATGGCACCTGCTCTTAAGTAACTTACAACTTATTGCTCTTTGTAGTATCCTAATGTAGGATCCATTTAATTCAACTCAACCAAAGTCAGCTATATAAAGTGATCAGCTTTATAAAGAAAAGCGGAAGTCTACTGGTCATAGCAAGGGAAACAGAACTACTACAATTGCTGCTGTGACCTCTTCATCTGAAACTTCCTAAATATAAGCAAAAAAAAAAAAAGATAAATTTCTTACATGTTGATATTTTAATATATAGGATTCACATTTGAAATAAAAAAAGAAAGGAAATGTAGTGCATACATAGGCAACCAGGAAAGACTGGGACTTGGCTGGGTGTTGGGGGAATTTTACCAAGAGAAGAGCCACGGAGGGTCCCCCACAGACAACTCAGTGTGTCCCATGTGGACATTCCAAGGCAGCCGTGCAAGACAGGCACCTTCCTCAGTCACGACTGTCAGCTCCTTACTGAATGAAGAGTGATGGCCAGCTGCAGGGACACCCACACCAGCCCCTTCCACCTCACCCTATCACCTTTTATCAGAACCATACCCAGTTTGTCAATTTGGTCACCTTTACCAGAAATCCTTCCTAGTCCAAGGGGATCTCTCCAAACTTGACATCCTACAGTGTCTTATTCTTTATCATATTCACTGAATAAGCATCTATGTGCCTAACAGTATACTAGAAGCTTGGAGTATAAAATACAGAAGAAATGGCCCTAGTCCCTAAGAAGCTCACAAGCTGTTACAGAACATGTAGGTATAAACAAATAATTAAAATGAAATGTGATAAGTGCTAGAATAGGGAGATGTACCAAATGCTATCGAAACTTGAACAATGGCATGAATGATTCTGCTAGTGAAATCAGGGAAATTCTGCCTTAAGCCAGGTCTTGAGGCATTAATAGGAGTTCGCCAGGCAGAAAAAGTACAGAGAAGGGTACCTATGAAATCACAGAAAAGAGAATACATCAGGCATGCTTTGGAAAAGGTAGGGGAGCTAGGGAAAGACTCCTGGTAAGCCCAAACCTTCACAACGTAAAGGGCCTTATCTAAGCTAAGGCATTTGAACTTTATCCTAGAGGAAAGCTGGAGATCTTGAAGGCTGCCAGGCTGAGAGGTGACATATCCAATTTGAGATTCAGAGAGCAGATTCTGCTGGCAGGATGGAATAAGAATTGAGGTTCGTCCTTATTGCCATCCTAACAGTTTGAAGCTTCTGGTTGAGGGATTTTATTGGTGTGAAATTACTGCTAGGGATAATGAGTAAGTGATATTGTTTGCATTTGTTCAAATTAAAAAAGGAAAATGTCTAAGCATAAATGGAAGCTGTTCATACAATATGGCATTGTGCATACCAACACTAAAGCTACCATGGTGACCAAACTCTAATTCTGGAAACATAGTAAAGAAAATACTTGCAGCTCTGTCTTGAGGGGGGAGGGGGAGCATGGGCAATATATGTAACCTTAACACTTGTACCCCCATAATATGCTAAAATAAAAAGAAAAGAAAAGAACCGTGCGAGCTTACTTGTCTGTCATCACTGTGGGCTGTTCGTCAGTGAATTCTTCGGGTGCAGGCACAAACATACTGACTATGCTGGGTGCTGACAGCAGGCTGGATTTGGTGGCACCTAGGTAAGCAGCAAAGGGACAACCAGTGAATAAAGACCAGCTTCTGGGGGGCAGGAAAGGCCCCATTCTCTTACAAACTCTCCAAAGATCACATTTCCAGGAATGCAACTTGACATCCCAATTGCATTTTGAAAAACCCTCAATAGCAAAATGAAGTCAAGAAAGATTGTGATTAGTTTCTGTTTATATGCTTTTAAGAGCTAGAATTCTCTCTCCCCCTTTGCTTCTTGACTTTGGAAAAATCAGAAAGAGTTCGGGTGTGCCAACGGGTTACAAGGACAAAGATGAAAAACAAAGGGGGAGATCCACTCAAGGGTACCCTTAAGTGAGTTATAAATCTTATTTTCTAGGCACAGACAGAAGCTGCCCATACAATACTGCATTTCTAAAATTACAGATGCATATCAGCATTTAAAGTATTGCTAATTAGGGAAGGGAATAAGATCCCAGAACTCCACACACTTAAGCAAGGGTAAATATTTGAGTTAAGAGACATCAGCACCATTTTTCCTCCCTGGAAATCAATATCAGAAGCACCAAAACAAAAAGACTTCATTTTTCAAACTGAAGAATTTATGAATGAAATATCAAGTGTTTTGAAAGATCCAACCAGTGACTCATTCTGCTTCAGATACCACAGTGTTTAAAACTGTGGGTTTTGATGCCTTCAAACACGCTCCAGTGGTGAGTAAATCTGTCTGGAGAGCCAGCAGGGCTGTTCTCCATTAAGACAGCTGGACAGATTCCCTGCAAACTATGAAATGAGGCACTCAAAGAAGAATCCCAGAGTTACAATCCAGAATAATGCCGTGTTCTACAAAGCAATAACTGAAACTCCAAGTTCTTCCAATAGGAAGGAAGGCAGAAGAACTCAGTGGTCATTAAATAATCTGCTTCTCATCAAGGAACTGGTAACTTGGTGCTGGGGGTGGGGGGAGAAAGCCTGTGTGATCTTTCCTTAAATAGAAGGAATATGGTTCAGAAAACTGGTTTCTAAAGGAATCGAGACAAAATATCTAGAAACCTAGCCAAGTGGGCAATGTGTTTCAATCTGAGGGGGAAAAACTGTATTAAGCCTTTGAAAAGTCAGGATGCTTCTAATACTGCAGACTCCCTTGTCTGGTCAAAGGTTATAAATTATATTTCTAAGAGGCAGAAGACCTGCAAACCCAACTGGCAAAGGAAAATATCTGAAAATATCTTTATGTCACTTCCTAAGCTCCCAAATGGGAATCCAAATTGTCCCACTATATCTGTCAGCTGTATCTTAGATAATATTCCTGAGTACACCTAAGGGTGTCATTGACAAAGATCCCCAATTGTTTCATAGAAATGTTTTGAGTGGAAGCAACAGTATTACAAACATAAGTATAAAATTAATAGTAGAAAAGGCAAGAACGGGGCCAAGATAAATAAAGACACAATTGATTATTAAATAGTATGATAAGCACCATGAAGTTGCTTCCAGAAACCAAAACACAGTTCAAATCCAATACCCCGTATGTTTTGGAGCATCGACAGACCACATCAACTAGATGCCAAAATGCCTGTGCTAGAAGTGGAAAAATTAAGCCCATAAGATATATGGCGGTATGTACACAGAATTATTAGAAACACAAAAAATTTGATTTTTTTTTAAAGAAAAGAAAAAACCTCTGAGTCAAGGGTTTCAGAAGATTATTGCCAATACTCTTATATACTAATCACAATTAAAGTCAAGGAAAGGGAGGGGCTCAAAGTCAGTTTAGTGGCTTCAAACCAATTATTAACTAAGACAAATGCCAAGAAAGAGGTATTTTTGCCAAGAGCATTGTGAAGTTGCTTTTCTGTATGGCAACATGGAACGCATGATGCAATATCGATGGCGGTCATCTGTGAAAGGAGGCGGGTGACGTTTATCGGGCATTGGTCCCCACAGGCCAACACTAGCTCAATCAGTGGGCTCCTAAATACTGCTGCTGATGTGGGAGCACAGAATAGGTGCAAGGAGAAGGTGGGAAATGCAAAAAGGAAGCCACAGACCTCGGCCACCTTTTGTTACAGCAGAATGACAAGTCTACAATGTTAAAGGGAGTCCCCAACATCCCCTAGTTGTTGCCAACACTTCTGATGACACTGCCGCCGGTTCCCCTTTGGAACACCCAGCGTGCACCCTGTACAGAACTAGAAGCAGAACCAGAAGATCTTCTGGAACCTGCATAAGGAAAGACCCACATCCAAAGCTCTACTTCGAAGCTGGAGATCTTGCCAGAAGCCCCTTTGGGAGTCTTGGAGATAGAAGAACTGTAAAGGTGTTTGCAAATCATTGCCCCACCTGCACCAACAGACCGTTCTGTTCACCGTGAGAGAGACCAACTTTCCACCCTTGTTCCCATCACCTCACTCCATTTTTGCTGCTACTGAGTCACTAAATCATGAAAAAGCACCCAAGATTTGTTCGATTACCCTGACTTCTACTCATCAAAGCTTTTCCTAGCCCTAGAGATTAGAAGAGTCATCTGATATGGGGACTAAAAACTGCTACTCATTACCAAAGAATTGTCAGTAAAAGCTGGAGATAAATAGCTCCTCATTCCTTAGGAAAATTAGAAGAGTGATGTGGTCTAGAAAAATAGACCTGCTTGATTTAAGAGACTAGTTATGAGATGTGATCATGATTCTTTTTTTTTTTAAACCAATGATGGGTTAACTTGCCTTCCAAATTAAAAAAAAGAACAAAAGTAATGATTGGCTACTTCGGTAATTAAAATTCATGGGATGAATTTTGAAAATACTCTGATCTTAGAGCAGATTTATGCTCAGCTTGCTTTCATGAGCAGCATAAGGTCAAGTGGATATTTTCCATGTACGTTTCAGATAGTGGAAAAGAAGCCGTTCACCCATGACCTCAACATTCTAGAAGAAATACAGATAAGTTGGACCATGCCCAGAAAAGTAGGTACAGGATGACATGGAAAACTGATACGTCTAAGGGGGAATACTGAAGGACCCAAGAATGCTTGGTCTACAAAAGACTGAGGGAATTAAGCAATGGGTGGCTATTTTCAAATATCCAAAAAATTATGTGAGAGAGACTAGACTTGTTCCATGTGGCTCCAAGGCTTAGAATGCCACTATAAGGAAGAACTGTCTGTCGGTCATGATCAAAGATGAGATGTCATGCGTTCCCAGTCCCTGGAGTGTTTGAGCCAAGGTTGGCCCCATTCATGGAGCTGCTAAGGAAGAGGCTGTAGCAGCCGCTGGGTGACCAGATGGTGGCCATGTCCAGTCTCTTTCAGCTCTTACAGTCTGGGACTCTGGGACTCAACTAACCTCTCATTCTCAACGGCTGTCCCTCCAGGTCAGGGTTTAGGCACGTTGACACATTACATTGGCGTTTCCCGGGCTGTATCTGTTCTGTGGATAAACAGAGCATTTCAGTCTTCAGTATGATCAGCTCAAAACAATTCAGAATACAAAGAATTTAATCAGTCATCTCTTAGGGCCATTTGGGGGGGGTCATTGTTACTGCTGATTATTAACATTTACAAGACACATCCTAGATTTGAGGGTCGGGTTGCTTGGGGTTTCGCTACTGACCTGAGGTTCAGTTCTATGAAATGCAACTAAAAGCAGGAGAGCATCTAAAACCATCCCCCAAAAGTCCACAACACCACCCCCTCCCCCCAAAAGCTCAAATCTCATATCTCCTGATAGAAAATGAAAAGCTAATGTCATGGCCGTGAAAGAAATGTTTTATGCAAATCAATAAATACATAAGTGACCATTTAGGGAAATGGCCAGAAAAGGTCACAGAGAAAACATGTGGGACTGGTAGAAGGAAATGGCAGGCGTGGGACTGCGGGATGGGGGTAAGGGGCGGGGCGGAAATGGAGGAGTGTGCTTCAGAAACACGTGTTCACACGAAAGATGAGGCAAAGGAGCAAGTCATCCCGATGCGCATGGGTGCGGAAGAGGCAGGCATGCTGTGAGTGAGCTGGCACACGCTGACGCGGACCAACCATGACCCGTGTTTTGGGCTGCCTTTCTCAGTGTGCCTACGTGGCCAGATTTGTTCTTGTGGGGACGAGCAAGTCCCTGCTTCAACATGTGGTTTAGAGTGACATGCCACCTGACACTGTACTGCACAGTCATAGGCTCTCCTTTGGGCTTGGATTTGGGGAGTCCCTTTTTATAGCACTAATAAAAATGAGAATATTGAGATGAACTTCTAATAGGACTTGGGGACTTGAGGACTAACTCAGATGGAAAACAAGCCCAAAAAACTCAGGTGAAAGAAATTCAGACAGCATGTAAGTGGGAAGTATTAAATGAGAAACCAGGACCAGGTGAGGTATTTCACGCCTGTAAAATCAGCACTCTGGGAGGCCGAGGCATTGAGGTCGGTAGTTTGAGACCAGCCTGAGCAAGAGCAACACCCCCATCACTACTAAAAATTAGCTGGAAAAAAATCACTAGAAAAAATTAGCTGGGCGTGGTGGTATGCACCTGTAGTCCCAGCTACTTGAGAGGCCAAGGTAGAGGATCTCTTCAGCTGAGGTGTTTGAGGTTGCAGTAAGGGCTACGATCACCCCACTGCACTCTAGCCAGAGCAACAGAGGTAGACTCTATCTCAAAAACAAAAAGAAACTAAGGTGACATGAATAAGGTTGAATTTTGGCTGAAAAGTGAAAAATTCACTTAAATGGGTTATTTGGCATCGTGTAGATTTTTTTCAGATTAAAATTTAGATTGGAAATTGAGGTCAATTTGCCTTTTTATAACTACCGAGTCAATCAAACTAGACTATAATTATAGTCAGAATCTAAAATGGTTAGCTTAGGCTGAGCTATTTGCTGCAGAAAACAATAGTATGGTAAAATAATCTTCAGAGCCCCAGATCAGCCTAACAGAAGCTTGGCATTTAATTATCAGAGACCTCACCAAACCAGAGCTACCATTCTCAGTTGCTCATGTAGCTTCATTTCAGTGAAGAGAGAAGCTCAGTACTCTTTGTTGTGGACAGAAAACCTTGGCTCAAGCCCTATAAACTCTTGAGGTTAGCTATTAATAGCTAGTGTCTGTCTCTTCTTTTTTTGCCCGTTGGTTTTGGTTCTTCACTGCTCACTACTACACATCACTAAAAAGAACAGAAAACACTAAACCTTTAAAATGTTAAGAACCCTTATAAAGTTCAGGAGAATTGAAACTATCTGTTAAATATGAGATTGGGTGTGGAGTGTGAGATTTAGTTATCTAGGCTAGCTCTCTCTCGCTCTCTTTAAGATTAATGAGGACACATAAGCTGACATGTATATCAATACTATGGCTTTGAAAAAAATAACAGTATCACAGGATTTTGGTTTGGTGGACATTGTAATTCATAATCATAAGGAAGAATATTAAAATAATCTCATATAACTGTAGCCAGAAAGTACTAATCAAAATACTAAGAGTCTGATCCAAGTGTTGGCCCCCAGAGCCCAGCACAGTAATAAACCCTTGTATTTTCATAGTGCAAGCATGTTTCAAAGTGCTTTCACATATATAATCTCATAATTCAAATGACCCATTTAATTAAAGAAGAACAAAAAGGAAAGGCAAGCACTTAAAAGAGGATTGCAGCAGTACTACTGGCTCAAGAAGGTAGCATGCGTGCAGAACATGGTAATAACAGAGTTTACAAAATGCAGTGATCGCGTTTAAAATAGACACGTCATGGCAGGGCAGTCAATTCATACTCTAAAGTTGAGGTCCGATGCAGTTCCATCTTACGACACAGGGGTGTGCGGCTGCAACCTGGTCACCCTGCTGGCTAAAACCCAGAACCCATATTCCCAAACCTCCTGGCAGATCACAACATCACTAAGCTGACATTGATTATTACTATTATTATTACTATTAATATTCCATTATTTTGGGGGGTACCTTATAGTTTATAAAACAGAGACTACTGATAACCTTTTCTTAAAATTTGGATCATGAAATCATAGTTCCATTCCCTCCTCCCCAGATTAATAACCTAGTACCTGGAATCTGGGACTTAGAAAAAGAGTTGGGCCAGCCTAAGTGGAAGAACGTGTCACTCTAGAGCACTTGGAAAGTTAAAATAGACTTATTAATTACCCTCTTCTTTTTTTTTTTTTAATTATTTGAACCAAAGAACAGGAGAAGAAATCTAGTCCTTAACAAAGGAGCAGAGTGGGCACAGAGAAAGTGGCAACAGCTAATCTGAGAGGTAAAACAAGAAGAAAAACTTGACCCACCAGTGTCCCAGTTGCTGATGTTATGGGGGGCGCTAGACTGATGTTCCAGCTGGCGCTTCATTAACTGGCCCATTGTCAGAACTCCCAGGGATCCCCTTTTCATCTGCCTATACTGAGCTATATGGAGGAAATTAGGAGATGATTACTAGGGGAAATAAATTTCCACAGCACACAAAGGCTCCACACATCCATACAGAATCTTAATTGAACCTTCATTAGCTAGTCATAATTTTCGGTACGTTGTACGCTCCTGTCCACATGAAAAACTAAGGCTGTCTGCTGTTCCAGGGCCTCATTTGCACAGTGAAGGCAATAACGGTGCCCATTAGCACTGATCTGCAGTCCATAAACATTTTTTCCAGTTACAACTAAATAAAATATTATTTTCATTTACTTTTTATCTTATATACTCTGCCATGTTCCAAAAGGGATTTAAGGCAGATAATGCTATTTCGAGTTTCTGTAATAGCTTAACTTTCTTTAATGGAGCTTGTACGTACATAGTTTCAGTTTTCATCATATATCCCCATGAGGTCCCACATATGTGTGTATGATGTGTGGGGGAGGGGGGTGTGTGTATGTGTGCTTATGTATTTTAGATTAGGATGACATATATCAACTCCAGTTTTCAGAGAGAGAAACTGAAGCAAATGAAAATATGTTACTTGGAACCAACCAGCAACTGAGGTGGTCCTAAAACCCAAACATAGCAACTCCAAAGTCAATACTGTTTTCAATCTCTGTATGAGCCTCTGCCTACTGTTTGAAAAATGTGAATCAAATTACATTCCACAAGTATATTCTAGTGCATGTCTTTGTTTTAGAAAACAGTGGAACCATTTTTATCCTACAATTAAACATTGACAAATATCCCACCAGTGAATTGTCAAGTTATTAGTAGTTCCAAACCAGAAAACAGTGAGAAGCGCTTCTGCCAGTAGATGGCTGAGTTAGAAAGCAGCTCTTCTCCTCTGCTCCCACTCTGCTGTGAGTGGTCCACCCAACCCTACCAACCAGCCCAATGTCAGAGGCAGCTTTTCTGCATGACCCCAAATACCTGGATACTTGACAACTTGTGGCTTTTACTCTCTTATAAAGACAATTTCAGAAACCAACCGTATGAACTACATGCACTAGAAGGGGATGGTAGGAACCGGGGTGACTGTATGGCCCCTGGAAACCCTTCAATGTTATACACAGGTTTTGCAATCATGGTACCAAGGCAACCTGGCGTGATGTGAAATCAATTATAAGATCATTTTAATGTAATTAGCATGCTGTTTGATTGATGGTGGTCCAGGCATGTTTAGCTACAAAATAATCAGCTGTTAAACTGATCAAAAGAGAAGAATGTGATGGGAATTCCTGTGTCTTGGAGTCCATATTAACTAACGGAATTCATGGAAATGACAACTCAACCTTTTATTAGCTCTCATTTTTGTTGCCAATTGGTAAAATTTACAATTTTATGACTCACTTGAAAAGTGCAGCTTCAAGTAAAATTCAAGAGCAGAAATTTTTTTTAAAGATTTGACAAATTTAAAAATTAGCAGCATCTAGCAGACTCAAAGAAGGATTTATAACCTCTAGTGAGTCAATGGTTTCTTCCATTCTCGGTTGTTTTTAAAGACAGCAGAATTCCCTGGGAGTAAAACTCTTGATGTTTAGCTCAGTGTGTAAGGCACCTGGCATTATGCTTCCAAGAGCAACCACCAAGAGCTATAGAATGCATGCTTTTAATGGCAAGGAGGAGAAAAACGGAAATCTAATGACATGCTGAACTAAATCCAGAAAGGCTAGATTCAGTCATGATGTTGGGATCATGAGACACTTGATCAATTTACTTTATGGCACATTTAATTAGCACTGGAGTCCCACCAACTTAATCATCCTATCCAAATTATACCCTAATTCATTATCTTTTTTTTTAGATGACCCATGCAAATTATGAAGAAAAGATATACTTTCATGATTTTAGTATGTGGACTTAAAAATGGGCATTTTATCATGTTATCAAAGAGATTTTTTATGATAGAAGAACAATTAGATTCAGAACTAGCCGTTTTTCTTTGCTACCACATATAATTGTCACTTGGAAGCTATTTCTTAGAATTTCCATAATCTTTATTACAATTGAATTTGAATTATTCTGAGGCAGTGTGGCACACTGAAAAAGAATAAAGGCTTGAAAGTCTAACAGACCTGGCATCGTTTCCTGTCTCTGTCACTTAGTAGCCACATGACTTTAGGCAAATCACTTAGCCTCTCTGAACCTCAGCTTCCCAGTCTATGAAATGGGGTCAACAATAACTGCCATGCAGTGCTGATGGAAGGATTGAATCAGATAACAATGTGTGTGAGCCACTTAGCACAGTGCCTGACACATGGTAGATGTCAAATAAATGGCAGCTATAATTACTATTACAACTGCAAACTCCTGGGGGACAAGGGGTGTCTTATTTATTCATCTTTGATCTCCAGTGCCAAGCACAGTGCCTGGCATCCAGCAGACACTTCATAAATGGTTGCTGAATGAATGAATGCATGAATGAATGCATGAATGAATGATGAAGATGATGGTGTTCCATACTACCAGTCCAGCATTTAAGTTAAGATCTTTATCTGGTTTTTCAAGATCATCCTCATTTCAAAAAGTGGTCAAATGAAAATTAAATCGCTTTTCAGGCATTGCCCCCATGGAACACAAAATGTGTCAGCACACGTGACAAAGCTTCACAGAAGTTGCATCTCTGCATCTCTGATTCCTGTTAAGAATGTCCCAAGCTAAAGTCTCTTAACTGGCCCCAGAGCCAAGTGGACACCCTTTTGGAACTTCAGTGGAACTCAAGGCAGCAACCTGGCGTGATGGTACCTACTCATCATTTACACCTCAATTCATACAGAAAATTCCTCCTCCAGGGAGGCTTCCAGGACCTCCCTACCTAAAAATATGCGAACAAAAACACTGGGTCAGGTGTTCCTTTTATGTATCACAGATCACCTTGTCTTTAACCTTTCCAGACTTATCACACCATAATGTAATTGTCTATTTACTTGTCTACAACCTTCACTAAACCATAAGTAATTTCAGAGCAGGGACTGTACTTGGAATAAATATGCATAATTAACTCAGATTTTATATTTTATTAGTTGAACAAAAAAAAGATTATATTATTTGTTCTATTTGACAGATGTTGAGTCTAAGAGGAAATATTTTCTGCATATAATATTGTCTCCTCATGGACAAAATCTCAGACCCAAAACTGAAGGCAGTTCCAAAACACTTGACTCCTAATAGGTCCTGTAAAATGTTATGCCATTTTTATTTTCGGATGCAAAGGGCTAGATCCGGTCATGGTATATGGTAACATTTATTTTATGACAACCTACAATAAATTTTGTCAATGATAGAGGTGATTCAAATTACATAAGGGTGCTCCATGTAAAATTCTGCCATAAACAATGCTTTTCACATATCCCCAAACCAGTCCCGTGTTTAGTTTTCAGGCTAGTAACATATAATTTTTATTTTATTGAATGACAAAATCCAGTGATTGTCCTTAACAAATTAGGATTCTTGGCCAATCAGTAACCATGGTGTTTATCAAACATTTGAGATATGACAAAAGCGGCCACACTACACCTCAGGGTCTCTGAGAACATACCACATAATGTCACCCAGGAAGCTAACACAATATTAGAAAAAGTAAACCAAGATTGTGAAAATTAAAAACAAGGCAGCAGAGAGTGTTCCAAATCAATGTACAGGTGCAGTGATCACCAGAGGGAATCTTACTTGATATTGAGGAATGGCTGCTTGTTTCTGGCACACCTGCTTCTAACGTAGGCGCAGATGAGGACTCTCGTGGCATTTCCAAAGTTGAAAGCCCTTTAGTAGAGGAATCTATAAACGGAAATATTATTTAAAACTCAGGACATTGATGAAAAGCAAGTTCAAGAACCTTTTCCATATCCTTTTCCTCATGCCTACTATACCACTGAAATCTTTATGCACTTTCTGGCTCTAATAATTACTTTCATGGAATCACATACACACTGGTTTCAATGGAGAGCTGATTGTACGTTACATTCTGCATCTATGGATATGCCTCTTAGCCCTCAATGATAGCCCATGACAGACCAAAAGCTCAGCATGCTCACAATGCATATCCTCGAACGAGTCACTTAACTTTTCCATACTGAATTTCTTTTCATATAATACCTAAAGATGCCTAATAATTCATTCCACCTATCTCCACCTTTGTCTGGCAACTTCCTACTCATCATTTACACCTCAAATTTATACAGAAAATTCCTCCTCCAGGGAGGCTTCCAGGACCTCCCTACCTAAAAATATGCAAATAAAAACACTGGGTCAGGTATTTCTTTTATGTAATCACAGATCACCTTGTCTTTAACCTTTCCAGACTTATCACACCATAATGTAATTGTCTATTTACTTGTCTATAACCTTCACTAAACCATAAAGTAGTTTCAGAGCAGGGACTGTACTAAACTTGGAATAAATATGCATAATTAACTCAGATTTTATATTTTATTAGTTGAACAAAAAAAAGACTATATTATTTGTTCTCCTATTTGACAGATGTTGAGTCTAAGAGGAAATATTTTCTGCATATAATATTCTCTTATTAATCTATCAATACTGGGAATCAAGCTGTCCCACATTATTACAGGTAACTGTAAATTATTTTTTAAGACTTTATGAAGAGTTTAATGGTTTGCCATGACAAACTGCCTAAAATTCTTTACAGAACATCTTGCCATCTTAAGCAGCACTAAGCAATGTGCACATGGAACATCCTGCTACTTCGAGTCACCACTGTGGGCTTCCATGACTACACTGTGCTATAATCCAGGGATGCTCACCCTAAATGGCTTTGAGTTCTTAAGCATAATAATGTTTCTGCCTCATCCTTTTCATAGTTTTTTCTTGCCACAGAGAAATCCACCACACATTCATCCGAACACATAGTTTAATTATACAGATGCTGTTCTCTTATTTGATGATCATGACCCTTGCTAAGCTGTCAGAAATAAAAGTAAAATAGATCCTAGGGAAGGGCCTGGGAGAAAAGCTTTTGAGTGTTGATGTTAAAGCACCTATTTTTGATTCTCAAAGGTCTTCCTGAGTAAATATGGTTGCCAGATTAATAACTTCTTGATAACAACAACAAAAAAAAGGCTAACTGTCGTAAAGTTTCCCAAACTCCCTTAATAAAGCATAAAATAATGACTGACTTTAAATTACTTTAGTCATTAAGGTATTAAAGATCAGGAGTTATTTTTCTCTCAGGTATCCTCCCCAAACCACGAGTGAAAAATACGCACAATCATCTCTCTTACCCTCATCTGCCTCCATTCTATGTGTTCTGCAACTACAGCACCGTGGTCTCACCAGGGATGTGAATGAGGAAGCTTAAAGCTAGTTTTCAAGAACTCTTTGAAAGATTGTTGAGACTTTTAGAGTTTTAGTATGCTTATTTAAACCCTTGGTGTATCTTTAATTGTAAAGAAATGCCATTATTTTTAAGTACAGTTATTAATATTAAGATAGTTAATAATCATTAGTGTCGCAAGATTCTGTAAGCCAAGCAATTTTTTCTCAGTCCTCCATCATTTTATGAAACCTTTTATTTGTATACAGTTTAAGACAAATATCTGAATAAAGCTATCCACTTAGCTTAAAATATGTGTATTTTTTTAAAAGTGAAGTGCAGAAGATGTCATGCCATCCGTTCATTCATTCATCAAACATTTGCCAGCTCTCTACTAGTCACTTGGGATACAATCCGTGAACAAACCAGACAAAATCCTTGCCTCCAGGACCTTTCGTTTTTGTGGGGAGAGACAGAAAATAATATGCGTAAAATTAAATAACACTGTATATCAGAAGGTCGATTCTTCGCAGAAGAGAAACAGACACCAGGATGCCAGGCTGGGTTGGAGGGTGGGCGACAGTCCAGGGCAGGCTTCACTGGGAACCTGCTGTTTGATCAAAGAATTAAAAGAAGTGAGGGGACGAGCCAGACAGACGCCTGACAGCTCCAGGTTGAGGGAGCAGCCAGTGCGAAGACCCTAAGGCAGGAATATGTGGGGAGTGGTCAAGAAATGGCAAGAGGCCACTGTGGCTGAGTAGAAGTGTGCAGAGAGCTGCACAAATGAGGTCACAGAGCCAGTGAGGACCAGGACCACACACGGCTTTCTAGGCATTTAAAGAACTTGAGTTTGGGCTATGAAAGAAACAGAGAGCCACTAGAAGGTTTTAAGCAGAGAAATGGTATAATCCCATGTCTCAAAGGATCACTCTGGCTATAGTGTTGCAAGAACATGAAAGTGATAAGGGTAGATGGTGGGACACCAGTTAGGAGGCTCTAGCAGTTAATCCAGGTGAGCGATGTCAGTGGCTCAGACCGGAGTGGAAACAGTGAAGATGAGGAGGCACCACGCTCCTGATACGTTTTGAAGGTAGGTTAAGGCTGCCAGATAAAATAGAGGACACTGTTCAATTTTAGCTTTCAGGTAAACAATGTAATTTTTTAGTATGAGTACATCCCATACAATATTTGAGAGATGTGGCCCCAATTCTTCACTCTTCCGTTGAGTCCATGCCTTTTACCATGTGACTTTGAAGTTCCTCCCACTAAAGAGGCAGAATGAATGTCCCCTCTGGACTTCAATCAAGCCATGTTGATTTGAACATGGCTTTGGCTAACAGAATGTTTGTAGGCATAACATGACCAAAGGCTTGAGAAGTGTTTGTGCAATGGGCTCTGGTGGCTCTGGTATCACCATGAGAAGAATGTCCCTGGGCTTCACGGTTGCGGCTGAGGTTGGCAGGCATGAGGAGCAGAGCCTGGCCACCCAGCCCAAAGTAGCCATCCCCAGATGACTCATAGACTCTTAAAGTAAATAAATGCTTCTTGTTGTATGCTGCTGAGATTTTTGTTACCCAGCATTACTCCAGCAATAGGTAATTGAGAGCTGTCTCAGGATACAGATAATATGTAAAGCCATAAAATGAGACCACTAGGAGAGTGAGTGTCCATCAAGAAGAGAAAAGGATCAAGGACAGAGACCCGGGGCACTCCCTCATTAGGGAGATAAGGAGGAACCAAGAAAAGAGACCGAGAGGAGTGACCATTGAATAAGAGGGAGACCAAGAGAGGGTGGTACTCTGGAAGTCAAATGCAGTGGGAATGATCAATTGTGCCAGATACTGTAGATATGTCACAAGATGAGACCCAAGAGCTGACAGATTTAGCAGCAAAGGCCACTGGCAACCTTGACGAGTGCAGCTTTGGTCAAGTAGTGGGAATAAAACCTTCCTAGAAACGTTCTTTCATTTTTTTAGGGATGGGGTCTTGCAATGTTGCGCAGGCTGGAATGCAGTGACGATTCACAGGCACAATCACAGCCTCTCCTTCCTGGGCTCAAGCGATACTCCTGCCTCAGGCTCCCAAGTAGCTGGGACTACTGGTACGTGCCACCACACCCAGCTTAGGAATGATTTTTAGAAAGAATAGATTAATAGAAAATTGGAGATAGTGATAGTATAGACAACTCTTCCAAAAGGTTTTGCTATACAGAGAGGAGTAAAATGTGATGACATTGTAGTTGGGAGAATTGGGATCAAGAGTTTGTTTTTTTTAAGAAGGAGAAATAAGATTATGTTTGTATGCTCAAGTCAAAAGTCCTTTAGAAAATCAAACAAACAAACAAAAAAACCTAAGGGAGGAGACAGAGGGGAGAATCTTTGGTATTTGTCCATATGTGGAAAGGCTGGCTACACACAGGAACACAAGCTGTTCACTCGTAGCCCCAGGTGAACAGGAAGGCTGGGTGTGTAAGTGCAGACGCTGGAAAGTAGGCAGATGAAGTGGCAGGAGGCTGTGGAAATTCCTCCTGATGATGTCATCTGGGGGAGTTATTAGAAGTTTAGGGAGAAAAGCAGCTATAAAGTAGTCATTTAGGAGAATGGAAATGTGAATGGACCAAGAAAATATGATATAATTACCAGATAGCTTTAAGGACCCAGTTGAGGTTCATGGCCATGAATTTAAAATGAGTCCGGTCAACATTAAGTGTTTTTATCCATTCACATTCATCTGATAAGCACAGGTGCGGGTACATGAAGAAGTGATGTAACAAGGGTTGTGTTTAGCCATTGCAAGTCTTAAAAAGCAAAGGTCAGGCCGGGCGCTGTGGCTCACACCTGTAATCCTAGCTCTTGGGAGGCTGAGGCGGGCGGATTGCTCAAGGTCAGGAGTTCAAAACCAGCCTGAGCAAGAGCGAGACCCCGTCTCTACTATAAGTAGAAAGAAATTAATTGGCCAACTGATATATATATAAAAAATTAGCCGGGCATGGTGGCGCATGCCTGTAGTCCCAGCTACTCGGGAGGCTGAGGCAGGAGGATCGCTTGAGCCCAGGAGTTTGAGGTTGCTGTGAGCTAGGCTGACGCCACGGCACTCACTCTAGCCTGGACAACAAAGTGAGACTCTGTCTAAAAAAAAAAAAAAAAAAAAAAAAGCAAAGGCCAGAGAGGAGTGGCAGGGAGGGATTGCACCGATGGCCATGAATTCAAGTTGAGCGAGGGGACAAGGCATGAAGTAGGGGAGGGACAGCAAAATATAATAGGATCAATACAGTGTTGTCCAGAGAGAGAAATGGTAATCGGAGAGGGGGAGACACAAAGTTGAGACCATGGAAGGGTCTCAGTTATTGGCAATAACAAGGCCTGTGATGGCACCATGGGAACGAGTAACTGAGCCAAGGTGGAGGATAAGAAAGCAATTTCTGGAGAAGCCAGAGTATCAGAAGAGTCAACCACACTAATGTTGAAATTGACAAGAAATAAGACAGGGATAATTTAGGAAAGAGTAAGAAGAGCCTGGAGTCAAGTCTGTCAGCAAATGAAAAGGAGTCAGGGGTTAGTAATGAGACAGCAAAGAGGGTGGGGTGGGCGGTGGGGTCAGACGACAAGAGACTCGGAGCAGGGGTGTCAGAGACAAGGAGGGAACGCTGTGAAAGGAGCAATCACGAGTGAGGAGGATGCCTGCCCCGACCCACGCCCACAGGCACGGGGACTGCAGGGAAAGCACCGTCCTCGGGGACAGCTGGGCTTCCATCAGACCAAGAAGGCAAAGGAAACAGGAGAGAGAAGGCACGTAGGGGATTTTGCTCATGAAGGACCATGACTTTCTGAGAGCACAGGGGAAGGGTTCCAGGAGAAATTAGTGTGTCTGTGGGAGATGGGGCACTAGAGAGATATGCAATGATGATGACAAGATAATACATAGTATAAATATTTAAAAGGCACATTATCGTAACTGTCAGATATTTTTCTCTTGTTCTGGTAAAAGATGTATGAATACAAAACCAACTTCCTCACTGGAAGCCTGGCATAAGGACAAATAAAGAAGGCAACACACGTGCACACACAAACACACACACTACAACCTATATGCAACCTAAGGCCACATAAACCCACTCTGTATTTCTTGTACAGTTTCTTACCTACCCGCCCTACAGACCGCTATAGTTTCTAGGCCAATGCTTCCTCCTCCATCCGTATGCAGCAAGTTTCCTGGCTCTAAACAATAGAAAGGTGTCCCAGTTTCCCTAAAAGTCTTCTTAACTTCTTAAACTCCCTTGTTATTAACAGGATCTTTTTCTCCCCGCCTGGCTGGAGCATGACCCTTTCCAAATACGCTAACGTTCATTCAACAGATTTTTTCTACAGAGCATCTTTGAGGTACACAGCTTTGTCCTGTGGGCTAGAGAACAGCTAGAAACCTCTGGAAATGCCTGGGGCAAATAAAAGAGCCAAGTGCATTCTCTTAGAAGTGGCTTTTGTGTGGAATAGCAGAGAAAGCAGGACTAGGCGCCAGGCACTGCTTCTGCCAGGCAGTGTGACCTGGGGCAAGGTGTGTCACTCCTCTAAGCCTCAGTATCCTCTTGTGTGAAGTGAGGGGCTAAGCTAGAGGTCTCTCAGGTCTTTGCCAGTCCTCAATGTTCTCTAGTCTGTGAATCTACTAAAATAATCGTGCCTGGACAATTTAGCTTTTTTTCCAAAGAGTCACATTAATTTTTTTTTAATATATGAACTAAGAAATGAAGAGGCGTTCTTATCAGCACTGTAGTAACATCACACGAGACTGCCTTTTAGGATGCAGTGTACCACCAGCTTGCCACTTCTCTCAAGGTACCTCCCTTAGAAACAGCGCCTCTAAGGAAACATAAGACATAGCCCTTGTGGCAGGAAATCCACGTGCTCTGACAACTTCATGGTCAAGTGGTGTCCCTGAATTAGGGTCTAGGGTGTAACTGGTATTTTTTGGTGTCTGATATTTGGTGAGTATCTACCATCTGCGAAGACTCTAAGTGACTCTACAGTCAGTTCTCAATCGTTCCCAGCACTCTCTGCTTTGTTTTAGCCCTTCACATTTGTTCCTTCGTTGGAATATAACTCACAAAAATAGAGCAGAAAAAAAAGAGAAAGCAAATAATTCAAGTTAATGAGTTTTGCTTGAGTTTGAGGAAGGCTAAGATGATATTTGGAATATCCTGATGTGAACTAACCATTGCCTCGTATTGCCGAAGGTGGTCAAGAATTGACTGTGAAGCTCAGAAACAACAAATACAGAGACACTTATGGAGCCAGTAGAACCACATCTGAATCCAACACAGTCCAGGGAGCAGGAAGGATTCAGAGTGACTGTGAAGCGATTATAATGTCACACCCTGACATTATAAGATTTTGAGTTTGATGCATATTCGGTGCCAATACCCTACCAAGTAAGATGCACAAACTTGAAGGTGAGGCTAAGAGACAGAAGAGAGACGAGCTTACCTGGGTCCTTCTGTTCTCCCAACTTGTCTAGGATGTTGAAGGAGATGTCGAGGTACTCTCTCTGGATAGCACTGACAGCAATCTTCCTCTGTTTCCTCTGCCTGGGAACAATCTGAATCTTAAATTCTGACTCCTCGGCTCCATCCTCTTCCACCTTCCTTTCGGGATTCTGCTCGGTATCGGATTCGGCACTCATGTCGGGCTTCTCACTCTCTGTTGGATTCTCCGTGTCTTCGGGAACTTTGAGGAGGACGGTTTTTGCCCCTGAACTTGGCATCAGCCCATCGGGCTTCTCCTCCTCGGTGCTGGCATCAGGGTTATCCAGCGACATCTCGGGGAGGGCAGGCGACTTCTGAAGGAGGTCTCGTTTCTGTTTCAGCGTCAGCGGGCTGCCACTGGAGAACTCAGGCAGCTCCTCCGGCCTGGACAGTTCCTCGGAGTCTGCGGGGTCTTCCAGGGCTATGAGAGCGGAGTCCCTGTCGCCTGCCGACTGGTTATTTGCTGAGTCCTTGGTAGAAAAGTCTTTGGAACAATCCTCCACGCTTACTTGCACAAGGGGAGTTGCGCTCAGGCTGAGGACGTGGGGCTGGCTGGGAACGGAGGATGAGGAGGCAGCGTTTTTACCAGAGGTGCCACCGCTGCCTTGGTTCATCATCTCCTCCTCTTCGTCACTCTCTACGATTCTGAGAGGTGGAAGAGGCTCAAATATAAGAGAGTCGCTGTCGGACGTTGACAGTATGGATTGCTTTTCGGGCCCAGACGTTGAATCCGAGGACAGATCTATCAGATCTAAATCCTCCTTAGGAGCAGGCTTTACGGGAGAGTCAATTTTCACCTCGAACGTCTCCATGCAGTTTAACCTAACTTCTGGGATGACCGGCCTCCGAGTGTCTTGAAAACCCTCCATGGCCGGGTTCTCAAGGATCTCGATCGTCTCGGGCCTCGTGGCAGAATTCTGTCTAGAACGTCCGGGGTCATTCTGTCTTGGTGTGATATAAGCAGCTTGGGCAGGAGGCTTCTCTGCGTCACACCGGTCTATGCAAGACTTCCTACGGTGCTCGTCTAACGTAAACAAGAGGGAGTCTGCATTCCCTATATCAAGAGATTTTTGTTTAAAAGAGCGCAGCTTTTTTTTCTGAATGCTTTCTTCTCTCACACAGTGTAGCAGGCTGTCTTGCAACGCGCCCGTTTCTCTATATTCAGCCAGTTCTATTTCACCTGATTAAAACAGAAAAAGCTAGTACTATTTTACTTGGCGATTTCACCATTTTTCCCCCTCACACTTGGGCATACCATTGGCATAAATCATAACCACAATCCCAGCTCCACCAGAAGGGAAAATGAACTTTCTGGCCAAGTGTTTGTAAGGCTACTTCTAATTTCAAAAACCGGAAAACTTTGGACTGAAAGAACCCAATGTGGGTGTTTTAAGGTCTGATTTCCAAAATCAGGCTTCGGGATAATTCCTCAGCTCTATTTATTTGTGCACAGGAGAGAGGATCATTTTTTTTTGGCTGAGGCATATCTAGGAAACTATATTCAAATCGTGTGGAAGAGAAGCAAACATTTGGCAACAAATCAAATCAAGCAATGGCCCTCGAAGACAATTATGACGTTAATGATGTATCTGTCAATTCACGTATATATATAAATGTGTATATATATATACTGTTTGTGCATACATATATATATAAAAATCAACAGTATTAAAATGTGTAGTAACATAATAAAATTAAGATTTCACCCCAAACAAACGGTAGAGTACAACATTTCTGCATAAAATTACTAAGAGAAAAAATTCATACTTCTCTGAACATTCATCTCAACCGGCTGATATTTCACCATTTTGCTGCCGCCTATTCTTTTCAATCTTGCAAAAAAAGTTTGAGACTCTTTATTGCAGGGTCCAGTAGGTGTATCATGAATATCAGATTCATCAAAAACACTATCTTCTTCTAATTGGGGAGAGAAAGTCAAAATTACACTTAAGAGGTTATTCTCTCTTAGGCTGTGTCTACACAAGCATTTCAACGAAAGCATTAAGGAACAAGGTCTGGGGTGGTTTCTGCACCAGCCCAAGTCTAGCCATGGGTTGGTATTTCATCCAGGCATCAAATTGTCCATGCGTTGAACAGAGCAACCTGTTACAAGATTGCCCATCATTTTCCATGTGACAATTGGCAGCATTTTAAAGTATCTCAGGATTCCAATAGAGCCTTTCTTGGGGAAACCGTTCCAGTGTACTTAAAACCAAGTGACACACAGATATCAGCTACTTTTTCCATGAGTCTGTGCCACTGCTTGAACTTGCCTGCTTTGCATGGATTTTCAGGCTAATTTGGCAAAAGGGAATTAGACAAAATGAGCGTATCTTGCCCTTTCCAAAAAATATTTGCCTTCCTGAGATTTGGTAACTGGCATAGACACAGCCTAACAGTACATGCACCTTATACTGTGTGAATGCAAAATACTGTACTCTACATTTGGTAATGAGACACACAACACACAGCAAAAGCTTAGAAAAGCCACTTGTCATCTCAAAAGCTCCACAAATGATTATGGACTGAAAGAGGAAACAAAGGAAAAAGAAAACAGAAAATAACATTTCCTCCTATTAAAGTCAGGCTCTTCTCTGAGGAGTTCACCACGTGTAACTGTTCTAGATCTCATGAATCCCAGAAAGAACCCTTGACACTTATGCTCCTAAAGCTCCATAAACAAATCGTTCTTTTGGAGTGCCTACTGAGCACGTTTTTACGTCCTCTCTTCTATCCCCATTTGACCACTTGTAAATCAAAGATAAACCCAAAAATGCATTAATGAGGAAAGAGCTGCTATGTCGCAACCCACAAAGTTCACTTAAATTTTCTTCTTTCATCCTTTTGAATGGCCAAAGCCATGTACAAAGTAGCAAAAGAAAAGGCTACTAAAATGCATGTAAGATACAATAAATGGAGTTAACCTACTATTCGAGTTGAATATCACTGAAATCGTAATATTTGGCCTATGTTTATGTCTACCTATATGACACAATGAGGCTCAGATGTGATTATGATTATTCAAGATTTCTTGAGTATAAGGGCAGTATATGCATTAAGTTTTAAGGACCCATTCTGTTGTTAATGCACAAGGTTCTACAAGTAAATGAAACTTGAAGCAGTAAAATTAACCATACTGATCCTTTTAATCAAATAAAAAACAAACATTAAAGATCAAAATGGATTAAAAAGAAAAACAACCCAGTGAACTTCCACAAAGACAAGAAAGCCTATCAAATTCCCATGTTTCTGGGGATATATAACACGATGATCTGTCTTACTTCTCTATTTCCTTTTCTTAAAAAAAAATCCTTTGACACTTTAGTTTTTGTGCAAATAGCTATATGACTTCCGTTACGTAACTTTGAAATAATTCTCGAAATGTCCTGAACAATCGAGACTGAGTGACCACAAGATGGCGCCTCCCATCCAGAAAGGTCCAGCTGGGATTGACCCAAATACTAAACAACCCACATTGAGAACATCCATAAATGAAGGGAATCTACTCAGTTTCCCAGAGACTAAGACCTAAAGTGATAGACAAAACATTCTTCATGCAGGATCTGAATGGGTACCAAACTTAAAGAAACTAGTTCTCAGAGTTTTGTCTGTAGCCAGTTTAGATTCTTGGACCTTTCAGCAATAAACAAACAGTGGAACACGGACTACAATTTGTCCTACTGATAGTTCCAGAGTAGTCCTAGCAAATCAGACTGTACTAGCACCACAAGGGGTCCTTGGACCCTTGGCAGTCTCCCAAGATTAGATTACAAGACATCACCTAAAGATACACACCTTGATTCCTTATGTCTCACCTAAAAACATCTGGGCTGTAATTTTACTCTATCTAAAGTTTCATTCTACTGCCCCTTTGAGGAAAAGCTATTAATAGAAAAAGTATTGGCCGGGCGCGGTGGCTCACACCTGTAATCCTAGCACTCTGGGAGGCCGAGGCAGGTGGATTGCCCCAGGTCAAGAGTTCGAAACCAGCCTGAGCAAGAGCAAGACCCCGTCTCTACTATAAATAGAAAGAAATTAGTTGGCCAACTAATATATATAGAGAAAAAAAATTAGCCGGGCATGGTGGCGCATGCCTGTAGTCCCAGCTACTCTGGAGGCTGAGGCAGCAGGATCGCTTGAGCCCAGGAGTTTGAGGTTGCTGTGAGCTAGGCTGATGCCACGGCACTCACTCTAGCCTGGGCAACAAAGTGAAACTCTGTCTCCAGAAAAAAAAAAGAAAAAGAAAAAGTGTTGATATTAGTGAACACTTAAACCTATGGAACAAAAAAATGTTTCATTTCCCTTGCCTTGAATGACTTCATATTGAATTAAAAGGCTAGGAAAAAGTCCTTCAGCTAATTTAGACTCCATTCAAATTCTCCGAGCACAAAGTTCACTGCCAAACTAGAGACCTATGAATGAACGATGGCTCCACTGAGCACCAGCCAAGAGTTACTTTCCAGGCCAAAAGCAAGATGTTTCCAACACATAAGAAAAGGTTCCCTTATAAAGGCTCCTTAATCAAACAGCAGAAAATATTTCATAAAACATTATTTCTTAGGATGTGAGCTTAGAAGCATATAAATTATTTCTCTTGAATGCTCAATTAAAAAGTTAAAGCAGCAACATTCATGGGAAGGTTGGAAAATTAACAAAGTGGTAAGTGATTTTTTTTTTTTACTCCAGAATGTTATCTGGGGGCGCTCCTCTGTCTCCTAAGAAACACATTGTCCAGAAATGTATTATATATTCAAACTAAGTTTGGGATAGAATTCAGATATGGAAAGTACCTTTTTCTTTTTCACTGTATCTGCTTATGTTACTGTTGTCACTGTACAAAGGTCCTGCCGTGGCATGGGGCTTGCAGCTATGATACTGCGCATTGAGGGTATTGACCGTTATGTGAATCAGATGCAGCAGGATCTTGCTGATTTCACAGTCTCGGTACGGATACTGCTCAATAAAATGGAAGGGGGAAAATATAAATGGTTATTTTAAAGGGTAAGTTTTTCCACTTGATCTTGCCAGATAGTCTTCTCATTATCTCTTAGAGATAAAAGAAATATACAGAAAAGTAAACCAGATTCTGATCATGGTCTTATTTGTACAAGGGACCATATTCCTTTCCTCTTGCATCAAACCACTGATGACAACGCATGCCAGTTCATAGTTACAATTCCTTTCAAGAAAAGTATCTGCCATAAACATTTGGTGGATGAATACCATTTCAAATATCTTCTTTGTTTTCTGATTTGTTTGGGATTCTGAGCATAAACAGAGGTTGTTGACCAATGTCCTACCATTCATCGGTTTTTGTTTTAAAGATTTTTAGAGCATAGGTTGACAGGGCCTCCCATTTCTATTTTCATCCCAATAGCTCTTTGCTTCTCCACACTAATTGCACATCATGATTCTCCTTCTGAAGGGCAAATATTTATCCTACAAAATTCTCAACTTAGGATTTGGGTGTTCTCCTAATGCCATGCTCTCTAAGAGAACCATTCCACCCAAAACAGGAATGGCTGCCACAACTCACCTTATAAAGGATGACAAGCAAGGCCTTCAACCACATCTGCCGTATGTGAGGTTTTAGGGACCAGAGGGAACAACGAGGGGGCTGTTGGAAATAATGCCGTAGTTGAGGACAAGAACAGTATTTGAGCACCTGAACCACCAAGGGGAGAAGATGTTTTCCCAAGTTAATGTTATAGTCCATAACCTGAAACAGAAAAAATATTAATAGCTGAAGGAAAATTACAAAGAACATTCAGAAGGTAAAAGGAAAAATTTGAACCATCCAACGAAAACATGGGCAAAATATTTAACAGGCATCTCACAAAATATTAGTAGCAATGGGTAGTATACATGAAGGTGGGAAAGTCCAACCTCACAGGAAATTTTAAAACCATGTAAGAGTGATAATAGCTTTAATCTACTTAATCATCTAATTGTATATTTATCTATTTCATTATCTATTAGGAATAAAATTTTATCTATTAAAATGTATCTATTATCCATTAAATTAATGTATCTATTACCTATTAAATTATTTATTAAAATTTTATCTATTAAAATGTAATAGAGTTTAATAGAATTAAGAGTCAATGGAAAAAACCTAGCATTGGTGACCATGTGGGGAAATGGGCATTTTTGGACACCATTGGCAAGAGTGTAACTCACTACAATCTTCAGGAGAGCAATTTAGCAGTATGGGTTCAGAAGTAAAAAAAAAAACACATACCCTCCAATACAGCAATTAAATATACCCTAAGGAAATAATCAGATAAGTGTTCCAAAATGTACATAGAAAGAATTTAAACATGGCTTTTCTTATAGTCACCCTAAACTGAAAACAACCACCATATTCAACAATATAGGATTAGTTTAATAAAATATTTGTATAACAACAGAATACTATGTAGCCCTTAAACAGGATATGATACTAACTTATTTATATGATATGAACTTCATAATAAATTTTAGGTTTAAAAAGGTTATATATATATATATACATATATCCCTATGTATAATACGATCATATTATTATAAAAAATGTGTGTATATTCAGATATATGTATGTGAATATGTATGTATGTGATTATATGTGTATGTATATATGAAAATTTGGAGGCAGCAATATATAACAGAATGTTAGCAAGTTATTTCTGTGGGTTTTCTGGAGTTATAAAAACTCTATATAAATTTTTTTAATTTTTAGCTTATATTTCTAAAATAATGATACATAATGTGGATTGAGAGAGGGAGAAGGGAAGGAGGGAGGGAGAGCTTTATATCTGAAATGGCACATCGTGGCTCATCCTCTCTTCATCAGACAGCTAAGAATTAGTGGTGATCCATCCATCCAGTGATCAGCCTCAGCAAGAGATGACTACATGCCTATTGCTCTCACTTTGCTTATCTGTGTTAATTATATTATAGTCTATTTGAGTTAATTGATAATAACAGCTATCATCTATTGAGTTCCTACCATGAGGCAGGCATTGATTATGGTCCTTTGCAATATGTTGCCTCTAATCTCTCAAGAAAAACCCAATGTTACCAATGAGCAAGCAAGCAGAGGATGCCTAAGCCATAACAGCTAATAACAGCAGCAGAGCTGAAATTCATACCTACGTTTCTCTAGCCCCACATCTTACACATTTGCAGACTGGAGAGTGAGATATGTAGCACTGGTGAAATTAGGCATACATGTACCCATGGTCCAGCAATTCTTCTCCTGGATCCAACTCCCAAAGGGATAAGGTACATGTACGAGGATGCCTATTGCTGGACTATTTGGGCAGTAGGGGTTGGGAGCAATATGAATACCCCTCACTAGGGAACAGGTAAGCAAAGTATGGTGTCTGTACATCAGGGCACACTAAATGGCAGTTAAAAGTAGACAAACATGGAAAAGCCAGTGATGACAGCGGGGCACAAATTAAACTGCAGGATTAACTCAACTCTCTCCACTTAAAGCCAAAAAGGGAAAGGATTTGAAAAACCACACAAACAAATAATCCTGTACTCCCTTACTGTTTCATGGGTGCGGAGCTTCAGTTTAGGATGATGGAAAAGTCTGGGGATGGACAGCAGTGACAGTTGCAAAACAACGTAAATATACTTAATGCCACTGAACTGCATACTTAAAAACAGTTAAAATGGTAAGTTTTATGTTATGTATATTTTACAGAAGGAAAAACTCTCCCACACTGGTAATCTTCAAGATGCTAGGCTACCAATCCCTATCAGTCTTTATATTCCCCCCACAGACCCCTGTCTCATATCAAGTAATTCATACAAACCTTTGCACTCAACCAATGTTGGCTAAATGGACTTTAATGCCTTGCTTCTACTAAAAGCTTAATGGTGTGACTTCTGAAAGCTGTTATTGCACTTACTTGGGCAATTCCTGCAATAAATGCATTAAAGCAAGTTGACAGGCGCATTTTTTGAGGTGCAATCATGAAGCAGCCCTCCTGTTGGTCATAGCCGAGTAAGACATACAGGTGCCGCTTGACCGTGTTGAAGGCCTTCGCACTGCTGATGTCCGACTCGGCGCTGCTCTCGTCTTTGGCCATGAACTTCATGAGCACTGTTATCAGTTGGTGAACCGTCTGGTGGTCGATCCCAGCATCTTCTGGGAGCAGGTCCTTGATGGTGTTGTCGTTCTCAGGAGATTGTTGTCCTGTCGGTACAAGAAAGGCGGTCAGAGAATGGCTCCCCGACAAGTGAGTTTATACAAAAATCTCACTTAGATATTGATAAAACCCCATTCTTTCTGCTTCTACCAAATATTTAAAGGTTCTGTTCCAGACAAGAAACTTCAAGACACAATATGGCCCTAATAAGCAAAGCATTAGTCCAGGGGTGGAAGTTATTGTGTCCATCAACAACCAAATAATTTGGAAGGATTAGGGGATGGAAATAAAAATAGAGCACTACAAAGCAATATTATCCTCAAAAAAGGCAAATACCTAAATAAACTTTGCATTTAGCAAAACTTTTAAGATCTTGGCAAAGTTTTATTCTCAGTGACAGAGAAGAAGTTCCCCTTCCAGCTTTGTAAAATAAGCATGTAAGAATAACCACAAAAACAATAGTCTAAAATCCACTGAGGACAAAAGTATCCATTAAGTTCTTTTGTTTAAATTATTACCTCAATTCAGTTATGTTCATGAATCAGCTGGTGCAAAAAAAAAAAAGTTTTCTTTTCCAAATCCTGAGATATTAGCAATGTGTATTCTTTGAATGAAACAGTCAAAATTATAAATAGCAAATAATAAGCCCCAGTTTATGTAATGAGAAACATACAAGGGATGGGGGGAGACACAGACAGAGAGAAGCATGAACTTTTAAGAACAGAAAAACACATGAAGGTGAGCTGAAAGTTCACATGGAAAGAAAAAATACCTTAGCCCTTGGCTTCCTATTAACCTAATAAATAATTGTATATGAACAGCTCCCTGACATTGACTTTCTCTGTTATTTCGATTTTCTTTTTCAAAGTCAGAAATTATACCCTGTCTCCCTTTGCTCTTCTGTCCCTTCTGGTCAGGTTTGGTTTAGGACTTTTGGGAAGGAAGAGTGATATCTGCTCTTCTACAATTATGTTTTAGGAAGTATCCAAAATACTCTTTGCATTCTCGTCCTTCTTTTGGCAAGCGACATTAGAATTTCTAAATTGAAAACAGAGTTCTCAGCTGACAGGTTGGATCAGCACACCAACATCCTCATCTCTCATCCTGCAAGGAAAAGTTCTACTAAATGGTGACAAGCTTTGGTTACAACCCATTACAAACCAAGCCTTAGTTACACCCATTATCATTATGGTATAAGGGATGCAGCAAAGAGCTAGGTAGTAATTTATACCCGTTAACTCATCAGTTTATTTGGAAAAATCTTAATCTTCTAGGACACAGCCAAGAGGAACAAGATATAAGAAGTGTTTCTGGAGACTGCAGAAATTAGCTCTCTCAAGCGCAAATATTTTTTTCTCTGGGACAGTAGCATGAGGGTCAAATTCAGAATTTACTAGTTTAGACCTGCACATAAGGAAACAAGCTTGGTTGTCTAGTTTCCCCAGACAATCAGAAGAATGCTGGTCTGTTCAAAAGTGATATACTGAAGAGGGATAGTTGACAATAAGTGACAAGGTGGCAGACCAGCTTAGTCTAGGAGCCTCTAATAAAGAAGAACCTATCTGACATTTCAATATGATTCTAGGACATTAACATTTTCTATCTTGTAGTCTGCCCATGAAGGAATGAATATGTGCAATGTACTTTAGAGAATTTTTATCAAAAATCATTCAAATAAAACCTAGGGATTTATTACAGTGCTTCGTGTGAAGAAAGTAATCAATAAATTGTTAATATCATTATTACGCACGCATCAGAAAAGAAATCAATTTTGCAGAACACCTTATTTGAACTAGAGGCTGGAAGTACGAAGCATCACTGTACATTATTGCTAAATTAAATATTTGTAATATAAGATTTGACCAAAAGCAATACCTATGTGAATTCTTGTAAAACCAAATAGAAAAAGTTTAGAGAATTATCTTTGCAACATTGAAAAATATTTGCTTTTAAGTTTTTTTTCCCTCCAGAGTATTACTTTACAACTAGAAGGACATTATTGCTTTGGGCAACTCTGGGCCAAAAATGTGACAAGTGTGGGAATATAGGTTCCCTTCAGGGTCCAATGTTATTGCAGTAGCAAGTGATGGCTGCTACAATATTGCTTCATTCCTCAATTCCTGTTAGCTCTGGGGTGCAAGGTTGAAGACAGCATGTATCACTCAGTCCTGCTCAGCTACCTCCATGTCCAGACTAGCTCTACTTCAATGTCCCAAAGTTAAAACATGGAACTGGGAGTGTTCCAGAGGAAGTTGCACCTTTGTTTTATAGCCTCAAGACTTTAGGGACCTCAATACAAAGGAAAGGGAGCTCCCGACAAGGCCCAGCTAGGACCCCACCCCCATTTCCTTTCATCCCAATTTCAAGTCTAGAAAACAGACCATCAGACTTCAGCTTAAAAACTCTTCTTTCTACGGCAAATGGGTGTGTTTTTTAAAAATGTGTAACCTTAAGTTTTCCCATCAAAGCATATTTTCCTGATGACTGTCAGGTGTCATGTCATACTGTTCTAGTCTCACTGTACATTCATCTTCACTGATCTTCAGTGTTTCAGCTTTAAGTTTGCTGCTCTTACTTTGCTTTCTCTGAAGAGCCAGTAATAAGTGATCTTTAACAAACCATCAAATGTACTGGAAAAAGAACCTAGTTAATGGAACCTTTTGCATAAAATGAAAAAAAAATCTATTTTCATTCCAATAATTTACTCCTCCAGTTGTGGGCTTTGCAAGTCTGCACTTTGTTTATGGTCTCTCTTTAAAATAGAATAAGATTGTGACTGGTACACTCTTCATAAAGACAAGTTACCTTAATCAACTCCCTAAGAAAAATGAGTCTATAAACAAGCTGAAATGTTCTTTATTGATAAAGACAATATTAATGTTTTAGTTATGTATAAAAGGTATGAAATTTCCATTTAAAAACTAAATGCTTACAATATTTTCTCTAAGGTATGACATTTAAAACACGTATAGTTTTGAATTCTAGTCTTTGAAATCCCTAGATCTGTCTTAACCATAGAAATTTAGCATGGTAAGAGATCTGATTTTATTATTTCTACAAAGAAAAATGTAAGCATCTTTATAATCGTGGAGGCAGAATTATTCCTACCATAACTTTAATGTGGACTGAGTCCATCACGGTACGTCCACAGAGTTGTACAACTGATTGAAACTCCAAAGTATAATGCAGTGTTATTTATTCAGATGATTTGAAACCAGGCAGGATCAGGATCTGCTTTTCCAGACTTATCTCCTATTATTCCACCCGGAATATTGGACATTCTTAAAAGCTGGGCTACTCATTGATCTCAGAATGAACCCAACACTTCCCATCTTTGAGCCTTTTTGCTCATTCAACCCTGCAAGGTGGTCCTCCATGCCCCACCCCTATTTCATGCTATGAGCCTGGTCCCCCAAAGCCATCCTTATTACATATGCCCACTCTCCTCTCAGCAATTGGATGTGATCCCTAAGTTCTGTGAATTTTCAAAGAAAAGAAGGGAGGGAAGATAGGAGAGAGAAAGGGAAGAATGGAGGAAATTTTCCTTTAGTGTTTCCTAACTCTCATGTGGCAAATAACTATTACCAAAGGCAGAACTTGCTATGCATTCATTTGCTTATTTCCAAGATAAGAATGTAGACTCCTTGAAGGCAAGTACTGTATCTTCTCCATTTTTATCTCTCTCACACAATACAGGGAAGTGTTTCACATATAGTAGGTGCTTTTTTTTATTCAGAAACATCTGTTTAAGTGCAATAAATTCAAATAAATATTTCAGATCTTATATTCTATGTTAGAGAAGAATTGATGAAGTCCCCAAAACGGCAGGGAAACAAGAACATTTCTCTATGTGAACTGGCTCACTGACCCCTCTGTCAAACCAACAAGTGACAGTCAGGTAGGGGAAGAAAGGATCCCTTCCCCAAGCTTACTCTGCGTTCCGTCCAGAGAAGCCGGTGACCAAGCACTACACACGAGGCTGCGTTCCATTGGTGGCTCTCACTACCCCACCTCACTGACCTCCCTGGCTCCTCTCCTCAATTTGAAGCTTGCTCTCAGCAATTCTGCTGTGCATGCATACGGGTGCAGGAGGACTGGAAAGCTAGGCAGTGGCTAACTTCATATCCTCACATGTTCTCCATCCCTGCTTTGCCCCTTCCTGTCCCACATCCTGTCACCATGTGTTTACATCCTACCCGCCAATCAAGGCCTGGCTGAAAAGCCTCCTGCCCAGGAGGCCTTCCCCGATGCCTCCAGCTGGTGGAAAGCTCTTCCCATTGCAGTTGGCATTAACCATCCTATGGACTGTCACTTTCACCAGAGATGAGAGTTCACTGATATTCATGCTTTATCTCCCTTACTTGACCACAGGCAGAGTAAAAGTATAAAAATTTCAGATGCATCTTTGCATTTTTCACAGTTCCTAGTACCGCAGGTGTGCAATACATGTTTGCTGAATAAAAATTGTCATTTCCCAAAAATATAACTTCAGATAAGAGCACTCCTATAAAAACAACTGTACTCTTTGATATATTTTAATGATTAATGCACATTTTGCAAGTTAGTGAGGAAGTAAATTGTAAACCATCTGTAGAAAGAAAGAGAGAGCCCAAAGAAAAGTTATTTGGAATTCTAGGCTGGGACACAAGGGACAAGGCAGGAAAGGTAGATACAAGAGAGTTTACCAGTGCTAAATAGCACTGGGCACCTTCTCTGTGGATATACAAATGCAGGCCAAGAGACCTCCAGGTTTTTCTGCAGGTTGAAGTAGAACTTGAGTCTGCAAATTCCATGAAGGATTGGGGTAGCTCTGGGCCAATTTGGGGTCCTAGCTGGAAAGGTTTTCTGGTCTGGACACTCATGGCTTTAAGCCACACTGTAGCAGGCCTGAATGCCCAAGTTAACTCTACAACCAGATAGGTGTCCTCATGTCCCACAGGCAGAAAATACCCTAAGATTAGCACATCAAGAAGTAGCTGTAGTTGAAAGAAAGCAAGTCAAGTCTCCTGGACGCATGCATCAGTTCTGTCTCTAACTGGTTAATAGTTAATAGTTAATCATATGTGACCTTAAACAAGTCACTTAAGCAGAATTACCTTAAATCCTCCATATATCAGTTTTCCAGTGTGTATGTAAAGTGGAAAAAAAAATACTTTGCATACATTCAGAATTGTTTTAACGTCAAAATTAGATGATTTTCACAAAAATACTCTTCATAGCTAAAGAGATACTAAACACATATGAAGTATTATTATTATTATATATCTACTATTGTTTAGTTATTCACCAAGGGATGAGGAACAAGATATAATTAAGCACCCTGTGTTCCTATGGGGTCGATACCATTTGTTCAGTATTGGGATAATATAACATAACATAACTGCTGCATTATCTTCAATTAATCTTCAACAGACATTCTAAATACTTGAAGACAAAGAATTACTGGTTCTTACAGCATCACTGAAAATATGTCCTATATCTAATTACACAAATTTCAGATTAGCATTTTAAGAAGTTGTATATTTCATCAGTTAGGATTCAGTGAAGGTGCTGAGCTCCTACTAGCATTTCCATGCCTGTAACAGAGCTCAGGACCACTGGGCATGAGACCCAGATCTGTCACCAATAAGCTTGTGACATGTGTTCCTTGAATCTCAGTTTCTTCTTCTGTAAAATGAGAATGTTAACATATGTATGATATTTAGTGACAACATTTGATGAATTTTATTTATATGCACAAAGGCCTTTGATTTGACTCATAAAAGTCACGGAGGAATGCAGCACTCTACGAGCCTTGCAGAGTACACCTGCTATAGAAAACAGAATTTCCTATTCCGTTTGCTGTGAGTACTATGTAAAGACTAAGACCAGAGAGTCATAAATGGTAAATCCAATGCCAAAAAGTTCAGCCTAAAGAGCAACTAAAATTAAGTCTTGTTGCATGAGTAAAGAGTATCTGTTTTGTTCCAGGCATAATCAATAAGAGGCCTGCACAGAAGAGCTCGTTACTTGGGCCAAAAAAAAGTATGCTCATTAAGTAACAAGTTCTTCAATTTCCACTTAGTTAATATCTTAAACCATTCCGCACAGTCTTATGATTATTCTGGCATGACTTTGCTTCCAAGTATTCAGTGTCCAATAAATAACAATGAAAAAATGGAACACTATAGTAGTCTGAAATTGCCCTATAAGCCGAGCCAGCTGTTTTCAAAGCTAAGCAATGGTGTTATCGTGTAAATTGTCTTTCCAGAAGTTTTAGCTTCATATTTAATTTGAACAATGCTGTTATCTGCCCCCTTTTCATCTGGTCACTTTTGATGGAATAATTAGATGCCTGAAGGGTTTTTTTTAACAGCAACAAACATATGTACATGTTTTCCCACAGAGATGTGAGGGGACTTCTTGATTGGATTGTTAAAAAGGAAAATAATGATTAAAGGCTTAATTTTCAATTAAGCCTTAAGACAAAAAGACAAGCTGGAGTAAAACAAAGATAATTTACGAAATTGCATAAGAACAATCTCAAAAAGGCCTAACTGAAGGGGAACTGGATGGATTTCACATTTCTAGCGAAGCTCAGGATCAGAAGTTCTTATTTTTATTCTTTTTTTTAAAAAAAAAATCACAGCAAAATAGAGGCACGAGTGATGTGCAGGAAAAGGTAGAGGGACTCTGCCAAATGTTTGCTATTCCTTTTATCTCATCAAATCTAAAATAGAAAATACACCCTGGCCACCGTCTGCCATCTGCATTCATGATCTTTGGGGCTCTCTCTTCTTCTCTCCCACTCCTGACTCTCTCTGTCGAGTATCCTTTTTATAACACGTAACACACACGACCTTGAAAGTCTTCTTACTTTTGTCCTTTTGAGTGTCAGTACCATTCTGAAAAGTTTACCTTAAAACCAGTCTTAGATGAAAGACTAAGTGTTCTATAGCATGATACACAGGTAGTAGGCACCAAGTTTGTTTTTTGACAAAAAAGCAGGTGTTCAGAGCCTGCACGATCTTCCCAGTGAGTCACTGCACCCTTCGTGTGGATAACAGTCAGGCTATAATGGCCTTGCCAATGTCCCTTCAACCCTTAGGACACTTCATGCTAAATTGTAATATATTGTGGAACATCATTTGATAGCTACACTGTGTCATGCTGAATATGACCCTATGGTCCTCCAAACAATGGAAAATCCTCCATTCTCTGAGAAACAGAAATGCACGCAGAGCTGCAAAAAATCAGGAATGGCTAAAGGGATGAGTAGATGATGGTGGTTCAAATGTATAACCTTTTAAAATGTAAATGAAATGTATGTTTTTCCTATAGCAGATAGAGATGAACATAATATTTCTATGTGTAGATACACATACAAATATAAGGACTATGTATAGTTCTAGTCGTATTGGCTCTCTAGGGAAAGATGCATACTCGGGTACTACGATGCTTCTTACTGGACCAAAAGTTAATGGGATCAAAAGTCATGTGCTGATATTAAGATGGAAATAATTGCCACGTTGGGGGGCCCCAACCATCTGGGGCGAGACCCTTTTGAGCTTACGGATCCTAAGTATATCACTCTGGTCCAGTTAGAGACACCGCATTCTTTGCCTTGTCCACCTGTGATAGACACTTGCACACAGCCCTTCAAGGTCAGAAGTACCCACCTGGCGTCTGTTCGGGTGTCCCACCGAGAGCTGGAGCAGACTGCTCATGCCTGGTCAACCTCATAGCTTAAAAATCAACAACAACTCTATTTAAATAAGCATTATAGACAACTTGAGCCTAGAGAATATTCTCAGTGCTAACTACATTGGATAGTCGGGGTAAGTCTGGTTTTCCTATCTGTAATTAACATCACATAAAAGTTGTTTATGTAACAAAAGCTTTGTGGTCGTATTGTGAATCTTAAGAGCATCTTTCAATGTTACTTCAATTCTTAATCTTCAAAATTGTAATGTGAATCAATTAACAAGAAATAAACTTTATATCCCAAACTGATCAGTTAGGCTATAAAAGAGCTGGGACACTCATAAAAAGTGTAATTTGTTTAATCTAGGTATTGGTTTCTAGGATCTGAAACAGTTTCACCTGGCACTACTGTAGGTCATTCTTAAATGATCACCTGAGAGTATCTTTGCTCCCTGAAAAACGGGATTACTGATTACTTCAAGGGCTTTCATTGACTCTTCCAAAGTTCAAAATACCATATTTCCATAGCTTGTCATAAAATAGAGGAAAATGTAGTAAATAAAATCAAATCATATTTGTGATTAAAAATGGTTATGTTACATAAGGCTGTATTCTAACAGATGCCAATGGGAAAAGCAAACCATTCAGCTTCCGACAGGACAAGAAATATGTTTTAGGGTGTTATTTTATTAACTTCATAGCAGTTATGTAAAGATTAAATCATTTATTAAATTTTACAAATTAGTAAAATATTTAAATATACTCCACTAATATGGTGATTTAGTTATGAATTTTTAATTATCATTCATGAGCCATTGCTAATCATTAGAGTTTATCTAGTCATGTGGTAATTTAAGGAAACTTTTATTCTCTGCAAAAGTGCAATATAAAGACCTTTATAAAACAAGTACACATGGCTTTTTTTTAATTAGCCATGAAGCTTGTTTTTATTTATAAATTATCTGGTGAAGCTGGGTAGAAATTCAACTTCTCAGCCTGATTTTTCTTTTTCAAAAGCAACCTGGGAGCTTGGGTGGCTGCTTCTAGCAAGCATGAATAAAAAATGCATTCCAAATTTCAATGCTACCTCCTTAACTGCCATGAGTCTTATCTAAGTCTTAATTCAGAAAGCTCTTTAGGTTATAAGGCTGGTGATTCAAACCTGCAGGTTCTAGGACTTAGGAGCAAATGCTTCTTTTAAGTTTCATGCCAAGCATCAAAGGATTTGCTGCCTTCTCCACTTCAAAACAGCCTACTGCTGGATCAGGGCTTTGCTGTGCCTGCAACCTAGAGAAAGCTACCCAAGGAGCTTTTATACCCTGGGGTGACTTATACCCCTGGGGTGATTCCCTAGGGAATCTGAAAGCCAAACTTGTTGAACAAGCTCAGTTTGCTAAATATGCTACTCTCTGTGAACATTCAACAAGACAAGTCAACCTCAGAAAGACATTAAACAGACTTAACGGAAGGATGGAAGAAGATACTCAACGAATTTTGGAGGTCAGGGTCTCAGGGAGGGAGAGCGCCCTCTTGGATTCCACAGGCCCTTTCACACTGTCCCTCAGGGAGCGCACACTCTTCTGGCGGTTTCTTGCAAAGCGAGCCCTCTTGATCTTCCACAAGGCTGCGTCACTGAGGTTAGCAACGTTGGTCCTCACAGCAGTGATGGCTTTGCAAAAGGAATTAAAGAGATTATCATTTTCCTTTACTGGCTATGTAATACAGCTAGTTTGAAACAATCCATCCATGTTCCAATATTAAAATGCATCTTTCATGGATGCATATCTCCCTCTATGATGTGTCTTATATTTTAAAATCATGACTATTGCCCATCATGACTATCACCAATTATTTTTCTGTTGAGACCATAAGATTAAATTATCTAATTTTGTTAACTGACTAAGTAGTTGCATAAGAAAATCTTTCCCCTCTCACTTTAGAACTATAGGTAAACAGATTAATAAGTATGCAAGAGTGAGTTTGCAAGGTACAAATATATTTCATAAAATTGCTTGTCAATGTTATAAACATAATGATTGAATAATATTTAGGGAATACACAGTCACAAATGCTTATCATAGATCCTCAAGGAAATGAGAAGAATTCTGATTTTTGGAACATCAGAATATCCTTAAATCTATGCATTCATTACTATAGTAAATATTCAATAAACGTTTGATGAATGGAGCACATGAAGTCAAGGCATCCTTCATATGAGAAATTAAACTACATGCTGAGTATCTTTGGTTTATTTAAGCAAGCACAATAGGAACTGTGACTGTTTACAGCAAGTTCTTTGTTTTACTCACTTGTAGGAAAAGGAAATTCTTTGTTACAATCCAAATGCAGCTGAGCTTCCAAAGAAAGCGTCTCAAATCTATTGACAAAGAATTCCCAGCTCAAAGCAGGAATATCCTGCTTAAGAAAGTGCAAGAGCAATAGCTTGCTCAAAATTGTGGGTCGGTCCTTAACCACTGTGTCAAACTGGAAGTCAAGACAAAGACACAGACCCTGGGAAAGAGGAAGAAAAAAAAGTTAGATATAAACATAAATTACTTCAAAGCCAGTACGTTTAATACCAGGCTAAGTCGATGAAACAAAGCAACCTCCTCAATCCATACTTATAATGTAGAATGACCTGACCAAAATCTTTTTTGATTGGAAATTTGGGTAGGAAAGAAACATGTAGAAGAGGAGCTTCTCCTAATCGTAGAATATCTCTTCAATTTTGATTCAGAAATCTGAACTAAATATGTATGTTATTGACTTTACAATGCATTAAATCACAACCACTTAATCCAAATACTCTCAAATCAATGTATCTTTTTTCAATGGCTATAGTTTTTATTGAGAAGCACACTTTCAAAGCAACATTTTAGAATACACCAGAAGACCGTGGAATTTCTAATTCCCATTCAATCCTATATTTTGTGATTCTCAAGGAAAGTAAAGTCACCTGGTCTTGGAATTTGTGGGAAATACAGAATGTTAAAAATCAAAGTTGGACTGGATTGAGTATCCATTTCTCTAGTATATGAGTTTACCATTCCCCTCTTTTTAACTGAATGAAATTTAAAGATTATAATTCATCCAACCATCCCATTCATTCATTCAACTGCCATCTAATGAGTGTGTCCTATGTTCCAGGCTCTGAGCAAGGGTAGGAGGACATAGAACTACCTAGTAACACCAGCAGAAAAGGACTATCTAGAAGACAACTGGGGATTTGACAAGGGAGGATGCCCCACAGGCAGCATAACCCTATAATTTTTCAGATCCTGCACAATTTGCCCTTACTTGTGGTCTTAAAATGCAGGAAGAACTCTTACACTGGATTGGGAGGCAGTGCACATGTACACACACACACACACACACACACAGAGTTAAGCACATATGAGTCAGTCTTGAGTTTCCTATGCTGCTCACTAGCTATGTGACTCTGAAAAAGTAACTTAACCTTTCTAACCCTCAGCCTCTCTATCTGTAAAATGGCAACATGCAAAAGGTTATTGTGAAGATTAAGTGAGCCGATGCATAATGGGACACTTTTAATACACTGCCCTGACAACACAATACCTATTTGGCAAACGTGAGCTCTTGCCATTATTTTTAGTTTAGTAATAACAACAAAATAATAAATCAGATGTCAATATCGAAAAAGTAGAGCAGCATTTGAGAGGTTCTAGTCTTGGTTCTCTCACTAATTCACTTTGCACGCTTTGATAAGTCACGTTCTCTCTCTGAGACTTGGTTTCTCAGCTATAAAATAAGGTACAAAGTGGAATAAATAGCTCTCTCCAGGCCTCATATTCCATGTCTCTTTGGCTTTAATATGTGATGTTTCCTTTTGGTAGCATATTTACTTTCTCATGTTTTACTTTGATTGATATATTATAATTCATCTGATTTCTCTTAGCATCTCACCACTGACAACAGGGGCTTCCAGGCCAGCAGCCAGCTAAATGGTATAAGGTAAATCAACTTAGTTTAAAAATCTGCCCCCCCCCCACACACACACAAGTTACACAATGACTACATCTGTCCAAAAGTGATCTCAGCATACGGACAAAGACTAAAAAAAAAAGTATCAATGAATAAAAACAAGAGCTCTTTTAATAAGATGTGGTTCTTATGTTTATTCCAACTTTAAAAATTCCATCATCATCATTATAATATGTGTTTATGTGATGCTATGGTCTGAATGTTTGTGCCTCCACCCCCAAAAATTCATATGGTGAAACTTAATCACCACTGTGATTAGGAATATTAGGATGTGGAGCTTTGAGAGATGATTAGGTCATGTGGGCAGAGCCCTATTGAATGGAATTATTGCCCATATAAAAGAGACCCCAGACACAGCAAAAGGCACCATCTACAATCCAGAAAACCGGCCATCACCAGATACTGAATCTGCTGGTAACTTGATCTTGGACTTCCCAGCCTCCAGGACTGTGACACACAAATTTCTGTTGTTGATAAGCTACACGGTTTATGATATTTTGTCATAGCAGACCAAACAGACTAAGATATGTGACAAATAACTCAATGATTTAGTAGTGCTGACTCAGACCATCTGCAGAGCAGGTAACACACATCACACGTCACCTGCAATGCTGGCCTCTTTATGGTGTCAAGCAGGAGACCAGCCCTGGTAGCCACTGCTGGGTTGACATCCTCCACAGCTGTCAGAAAGCAGCAGAAGGCATGTGCCAAGGAGTACTTCAGCAGGTGGTTTTTGGTCACTGAGTGAATATCCAGAAATCTACAAATGACAGCTACTTTTTCCACTGCAATGTAAAATACAGAGGACAAAATATTACTACATATATATGCACACACATACATACACACATTTATTTAGACAGTCTGAGAACTGAACACACAGAGAAAAAGTTAACTCTGGGTCCCCCACTTGATTTAGTTTAAATACCAAAAGGAGATTCCAATGCCAGCTTCTTGAATGTTCCGTTTCATCTGTGCACCAGAGACTGTTGCTACTCAGGACAGTCCTTTCTTGGCAGGCAGCCTTAATTTGGCTCTGGGCTGTCCTTTATATTTTTTGAATGATCTTTCTCTTTGTTTGACTGTCAGCTACATTGCAAACTATTCAAAATGCCTCTCTGCCCATTTCTGTGGCCATTCTGTTGAAGCTCTGCTAACTACAGAGAGAGGTGGAAGGTGCTCACTAGGCCTGGCTCTAGGTTCTGGGCCCCTTACTCAGCTCTCAGTAGGCCATGATGCAAAATGACAGATCAAACAGACACTTCCCGGGGTTAAAGAAGCCACGTATCTCTTTCATGCTATAAATAATATACCCTTACTTAACAGATTTCTAATTATTCTGCAAATCTATGTTAAATGATTCCAGCTACTCTTAAAGCACAGCTTTATAGAAAGTTGTAATAGCTAGTAAAGCAATGTAGTGTGATGCAAATTAAGATGTTTCAGTATTTTGTTTATGTTGTTCCTGCAGCCTAGAATATTCTTTCTACTCTTTTTTGCTTACTGCATTCTCTCATCCTTGAAGGATCTACACCTGAAATTCTACCTATTCTGTAGAGTCCATACTGGCTTCCTGGAGTGACCTTTGCATCCCATGAGCTCCTGGAAAAATGCTACTCATTTACACACTGGCAATTTAATTGTGTGCTTATATGTAGCTATATAACATATCTTCTTTTGTGGACTTAAATTATATTTATGCCTTTCATAATGTGTTAACCTCTTACCTGTTTATATTTGGTCTCATCAATTAAATTCAGGCCTCTCGAGAGCAGCAAACAATCTGCTCTTTTTTTCTTTTTTTTTTTTTTTTTTTTTTTTGAGACAAAGTCTCACTCTGTTCCCCAGGCTAGAGGGCCACCGTGGCATCAGCCTAACTCATAGCAACCTCAAACTCTGGGACTCAAGCAATCCTCCTGCTTCAGCCTCCTGAGTAGCTGAGACTACAGGTGCGTACCACCATGCCCAGCTAATTGTTTGTTTCTATTTTTAGTTGGCTGGCTAATTTTTTCTATTTTTAGTAGAAACAGGGTGAAATTTCACTCTTGCTCAGGCTGGTCTTGAACTCCTGACCTCAAGCAATCCTTCTGCCGCGGCCGCCAGAGTGTTAGGCTTACAGGCGTGAGCCACCACGGCCAGCCTATACTTCTTTCTATTGCTGCCATAATGCCTAGCACATATAGTATTTATTCAACAAATTCACTGATTCACCTATTTTAAAAATACATATTAACCATGTATATATACACATATATGTAAACTAAAAAGCTATCTTAGGCACTTGGGGGAGATGGAAGTCAATGGAAAGAATGAATCACATTTGACTTCTAAGTCAAGTCGACTAAAGGATACAAGATAGGTACAACTACAACTGAAATGTAATATAAAAAGCTAGAAATGCCTCTAATGAGGTACAAATAAGATGCTATGGGAGGTCAGAAGATAAAGACACCACTTTCCACCAAGGGGACATAGAAGGTAGAAGTCAATGTTGGCACTGAAGGTGGAGGTGGCATTTGAGTAGGGCCTTGAAGGGAAGAAGATGGAAGACGCAGAGCACAGCACAGCCAACGCCTGGATGACGGAGAGTAGGAAGCGGAGGGAAAGTAGCAATGGCATGTGTGGAAAGGAGAGCAGGAAGTGAGACCGCCAACATCGGCAGGTTGCCTCTGAGAAGCTTTGAATGTCAGTTTATGGAATCTGAACTTCATTCTCTAGGCACTGAAAACCCATTAAAATTTTTTGAGGTAGAAAAGTAATATAAATCAGAGCTGTAGTTCAGAAGATTAATATGACAACAATCTAATCCTCAAATTGGAATGAAAGAGCATAGTTAAATATTGATCTGTTCTATTTGCATTTAAATATCTATAAATGTAGATATTTAATTTAGATTTTTGCTAGGAAATGTAGATTCGCCATGTAGATTTTCGCTAGGAAATTTTACCCTGATTCCCTACAACATCGTGTGCTATATCATATAAATACACTAACCCTGGGATTCACATGGGCATTAAAAAGCAAGACCTCTTTGAAGTGGCTAGATGATTAAGAAACTTTACTCTCTAAGGTATAATAGTTAACTTACCTAATAGAACTTCCATTTCTGTGCCAAACTTTTGAGACACTAAAATGTATGAAACTGCTCGGATAAGCCACGCTTAGGCATGCCGACCCTGCTTGCTACCCCAAGAATGGCAGTACCAGTAGATTAGGGTAGCAGTGTGCCAGCAGATTGGGGTGTCAGTATCCCAGCAGACTAGGTGGCACTGTACCAGCAGAATGGGGTGGCAGTGTGCCAGCAGACTGGGGTGGCAGTGTACCAGCAGACTGGGGTGGCAGTGTACCAGCAGACTGGGGTGGCAGTGTACCAACAGACTGGGGTGGCACTGTACTAGCAGATTGGGGTGGCAGTGTGTCAGCAGATTAGAGTGTCAGTATCACAGCAGACTGAGATGGCAGTGTGCCAGCAGATTGGGGTGGCAGTGTACCAACAGACTGGGGTGGCAGTGTACCAGCAGATTAGGGTGGCAGTGTACCAGCAGACTGGGGTGGCAGTGTACCAGCAGACTGGGGTGGCAGTGTACCAGCAGACTAGGATGGCAGTGTACGAGCATATTAGGGTGGCAGTGTGCTAGCAGGCTGGGGTGGCAGTGTACCAGCAGACTGGGGTGGCAGTGTGCCAGCAGGCTGGGGTGGCAGTGTACCAGCAGACTGGGGTGGCAGTGTACCAGCAGACAGGGGTGGCAGTGTACCAGCAGACTGGGGTGGCAGTGTACCAGCAGACTGGGGGGCAGTGCACCAGCAGACTGGGGTGGCAGTGTACCAGCAGACTGGGGGGCAGTGCGCCAGCAGACTGGGGGGGCAGTGTACCAGCAGACTGAGGTGGCAGTGTACCAGCAGACGGGTGGCAGTGTACCAGCAGACTGGGGTGGCAGTGTACCAGCAGACTGGGGTGGCAGTGTACCAGCAGACTGGGGGGCAGTGCACCAGCAGACTGGGTGGCAGTGTACCAGCAGACTGGGGGGCAGTGCGCCAGCAGACTGGGGGGCAGTGTGCCAGCAGGCTGGGGTGGCAGTGTACCAGCAGACTGGGGTGGCAGTGTACCAGCAGACTGGGGTGGCAGTGTACCAGCAGACTGGGGTGGCAGTGTGCCCGCAGACTGGGGTGGCAGTGTGCCAGCAGACTGGGGGGCAGTGTGCCAGCAGACTGGGGGGCAGTGTACCAGCAGACTGGGGGGCAGTGTACCAGCAGACTGGGGTGGCAATGTGCCAGCAGATGGGAGGCTAAGGGAACACATCTGACTTCCTTCCTTGCCACGCCGCTCTGAGTATTCACCATTCCATGCACTAGGAAATTACACCGTCACTGCACCAGCCTAGTCCCTGATGCCCCAGGAGCATACACCAGAGATTCTCACACTTCTTATTAAAAATCTAGATGCCTGGCTCACCCCCACCCCGCCAAGAGTCTGACTCAGTAGGTCTAGGGTGTACCCTGATAATCTACATTTTAACAAACATTCCCAGTAATTCTGATGCAAATAACCTAATAGGTTGATCACATGACTTATCATCTAAGCTGGGACACATTTGACGGTAAACAAGGGGGCAGTTAATAATGACACCTGGATAATAGGTGTGCACTGGGTCTACCCAAGGCACACCTGGACAGGGGCACCCCACCTAAGGACCACTCTACAAAATACTTCCGCTTTTGAGACGAAGCTCAGCTATGTAGAACCCCCAAAGAATGCCCTATAGAAAGAAAAGAAGAGAAAGGAGGTCCAAAAACAGATGTCACGACTGGAGCCCTGGTTCACCTTGCGACCTAGACAGAACTTTCAAGCTAACACAAAGGTACCTGCTTCAAACCGCATCTTCCAGTCTTTGCTGTTGAAGTTGCCGTTTATGATTGTCCAGAAGATGTCAGCACCATGAGGAAGTGACAGGGCGTGGAGCAGGAGAGGGACGGCCAGTGAAGACAGCTGGGAGAACTCGGACTTGACGACTCTCCACAGGCTGGAACCAAGAGGAAGCAAAGTAGTTACGGCATCGCAGCCTTTCCAGAAAAAATTAAAAAAAAAATCCTATGCTCTTAATTTATGGGAGTGTAGTTAACAGACGGATGGTGCTGACGCTTCTGGTCAAACTACTCATCCACGAGATCATAATCCTCTGATAAACTTTTCCTGTGCTCTATCCTGCTAATGTTTTAGAGAAAACACTTTCATGTAACACTATAGAAAAACACTTTCTACGTGACATTGCACTCTTTAACATAAAAATTAAAAATAAACCCATATTATAAATTTAGCTTTAAAAATGAACGACTGTTAAATTACAGACAAAGCTGATATTAGCTATGTTAAGATGATGGGGGTGATACGTGATTTTTAAAAGTTTTCTCTTTTAAATTTATTTTTATTTTATTTTAGTTTTAGAGACAGGGTCTCACTCTGTGACCCAGGCTGTTAAAATTTTCTTACAGTGGAACATCTGGGAAGTTGTGTTGGTTTGGCCCGCCCAGCAGCCCTTTCCCCTTATTATGGCAGAAAACAACTTCTTTTCTGTTAATAACAGCCCCTGCAAGAACCGGCAGGTTGTCAGTCAAGCTCACCAACTTTCCCTATCATAAAGGTGGGCACGAAACATAGGCTGATCAAAGAGCTTCAGCACCCTGAATAGAGTGGCTAGTCTGGGAGTGGGCGTGCGACCCAAGCGCAGGAATGCCAGAACCCTTTCTGCAGGGACTGATACGGACTGTAGGAGAGAAAGGTTCTCTTTCCTTCTGAAGTCTCAGGAATGAAGGGCAATATCGGTGGAGGACTGCAGGTGACCCTCTTCACCGCTGCACAGGGGTAACCTGCACTCAACCAAGAAGCCAATACTCAGGTTCATCTAAGAAGCCAAGACAGAACTGGGCTACAAGATGGGGAGGGAGGAGAAGCAGGAGGATGAAAAGACGGATAGAGCTGTCAACCTTGACGACAGCTTGCACCTGAGCAAGTTTAAGCTAAATCCCTATCAAGTTCTACCACAAAAATTCTGAATATATTTTTAGTAACAATATATTACTGGTTTCAAAGTTGTTTTTCAATTACTTAAAATATGCCTTTTGGTTGTTCTTGTTGTTTTGTTTTGTTTTCTATCTGGCTCCAGAGTTAATATCAGAGTCAAACGATTTGTGTCTCTGCAACGCTCATCACACACCACTAAGAGATGGGAGAGTGGCACACGCCATCTCCATTTTACAGACAGCATGTTGAGGCTCAAGTCACCAGAGTTGGTTATTTCTCAGAAGACGTATCAGAGCCACAGAATGAAAAGGAGCAATTTTCAAACACCAGATGCTTAGTCTGAACAGTGGAAGTCAGAAAAATACAGATCTAATCCCAGCCCCACCATTAATGAGCTGCACAACCACGAGCAAAGTTTCAACTGCTCTGAACTTGCGTTTCCTCCGAATGTGTCAAACAAGATGATGCGGAGCGCTTGGCACACAGTGGGTGTTCAGAAGCTCTGAGCTACTATCATCCCACCAGCATAAAAGTGGTGACGCTTCCACATCACAACCATAGCCCCTATGAAGGAAGCAAAGGAAGAAGACACTATTTGTGCCTCAGGGAAGTGTCAATTTAGTTGAAGGAAGCAAACCATGTACGATGCTGCTAGAAAACCATCTCAGTGACAAAAACCCTGAATTGGGCCTGTCTCGGTTCTCCAAGGCAGATTTGTTTGAAAAGGGAAAGAGACCCACAGACCCTTTCGGGATCCGTCATGGTTTCTGTGTTAGGGTGGTACTTTGAGAAGAAAACCCAGTACTTTACGGAGAAAACTTCAGATTATGTGCCCCTACGGCAGAGATGGTATTCCCATGGCACTAGCAATCCATTCGGTGTGGGTACATTTTCATGGGGGTTGCATTAACAACAACAACAAAAATGCCCATTTAGGACTCCCACGCTGAATTAATGGAGCGTCTGCCGAACTCCTGTCCCTGTTCGTGCTTCTGCTGGCATTTGCTGCTTGGCTCATCCCTCTCACTGATCCTTCCAGATCATTCCTGCTCTTCCCCACATCCAGGTCAGCCATGTCTAGCTTCTACCAGCTCCTTCCTCCCACCGCACCTGTGGAATCTCTGTCCTACTGTGAAGAGACTCCTGCAGCCCCCATCATCCCCATGGTTTGCTTCTGTAGCGGGTTCAATAGTGTCCCCCAAAATTCATGTCCACCCAGAGCCTCAGCATGTCACCTCATTTGAAAATAGAGTCTTTGTAGATGTAGTTGAGTTCATATTAGATTAGGGTGGGCCCTAAATAGAATGAGGGGTGCCCTTACAGGAAGAGGAGGGGACACACAAAGAGACACAGGGAAGAAGGCCACGTGGCAGAGACTGGAGTGACACCGCTACACGCCAAGGAGCACCAAGAATCTGGGAGCGAGGCACGGAAGCCTCCTCCCCAAGAGCCTGCAGAGGGAGCACGGCCCGGCCAACACCTTGATTTCTGACTTCTGGCCTCTAGAACTGCAAGACAATAAACTTCTGTTATTTTAAGCCCCTCCGTTTGTAGCAGTTTGTTGCAGCGGCCTAGGGAACTAGGACAGCTTCTCTGTCCTCCCTTAGCTGAAACCTGACGTTTTCCTGGTAACACACTTTCCCCTCGACCCTGAGAGTAAGTCTTCGCATGCTCCAGACAACCCTTGCCTCCCACTGCTTCCTCCAGGTCTTCTCCTGCCAACCTCTTTCTTTTGAAGCCCGTGACACCTAGGCACAGGGCCCTCTCCCCATTCCTTGGGGAACCGAGCACCCGGCTCAGTCTCGCTCCTCACCCAGCCGCTGCTGACTCCGGCAGTGGACCAAGCAAGCCCTGGTCCCGCAGACCTCCCACCTCTACACACAAGGTGGCCTCCGCCCCGCTGGACGAGCCGCTGCGCTCACTCGCTAAGACTGGCAGCCTCAGCTCCCCCCTCTCTGACCCTGACTGACGCCCCTTTGCCCTTGTTTCTCCTCTTCTCCCAAACATCAATTCTTCTTCCGGCTTCACCTTTCTCTGGTCATAGACCGGACCCCGGAATCCACTGCTTCATCACTCTGGAATTCCTCGTGCCTCCCAACTTCCACCATAACCAAATAGCTCATCCCCAACCCATAATAAACCCCTTACCCATTTTCTCTCATCCACTCCCAGCCCTGAGCAATGGTGGAAAAGAAACCTCAGCTTCTACTAACTTGGTCCACTGCAAGCAGGTGCTGGCTAACGCCATCTGGGCCCTGGAGCTGGCAATCCTTTGATTATTCCTTGTTAACTCCCTGCTGCTTTCTTCTGGGCTGTCCCACACTTTTTTCCATTTTCCTGAGGCTCCCAACCCAATCCCTGGCCTTCCCTCTCTCAGGAGAAGACATCAACACCTACAAAGGTTTAAGTCACCCGTTATGAACTTCCCTTAACACTTTCTTTCTCTTTTCCTCAAAATTTATCTCCTTTCAAAGGAAAGAGCATCCCCCTTGTTTTCCACCCAAGCCTTTGTCCTTGATTACACCCTCTGCTTCCAGAACCCGGCTCCACTAACCGTTCGCTTTTTCTGGCCCTTTCTGAAGGTCTTTCCCCACTGACCACAAATACATTCAGATTTTCTTTATCCTAAAAATCCTTTATGTCCACTCCCTTTCCCCTCTGAGTATCTGAGAGTTCCCTTCCTTTTCTAACACACTTTTCAGAAGAAAGTTCTGTATTATATCTTTACATTCCTTACGCTCTTGCAACATGTTTCTTGCACTTCCTTGAACCTGGGTCATTTCCTAGGACCTCCCTTTTTCTCCGTTCTATTAAAGCACAACTCTGACTCTGTTCTAAGATTTTCCATGGACCTCCAAACATCATTAAATAAAGTCTCAATCATCAAGCCCCATCATAGTTGGGTCCCAACCTATTTTTCCAGCCTCATTTTCCATCACTCCCCTAAATCCGCACCACCCAGCAAAACATAAAGCCTTGGTGTCACCTACATATGCCCTGCTCATTTCTCTTCCCTCCTTTCCAACTCTGCTGTGTGTTTGCTCTTGACATTTCTGCTTTTCCCAATATCCCCTACCCATCTCAAATCTCTACCCATCCAAATTCCACCATTCTTTTAATGCCTGTTCAAATGGAATCTGCTCCTGACCCTTTGTCATTTGTTACCCATCCAGAAATGACCTCTCCCACCTCTGAGCTATTCACACAGTCCTTTATCACGTCCCCTGGGACTGGCAGTGACTTATATATGCATAGACTGGCCATGAATCCTATTTTATCCATGACTAGCCATTTTGCACTTATTGTTTTGGGGTTATTAATATTATGAAGACCGCCTCTCTTCACTCTTAGACATAGACCAATTTGAATAATAAATTGTATGTCACCTTCTGCATATATAGTAATCACTGCTTCCAAACTAGACTGCAAATTCCCTAAGTACCTGGAACAATAATGGATATTATAAGCCCTCATAATATTTGTTGAATGAATGAATAAATAAATGAACAAAATGACAGATAGAGCCTTGACTTGATTATGTCACCAAGTTAACCTGAACCAATCTTTTCCCTTTTTACCGACTCATTCTCTTACACATAAAATAAGGATAATATTTCTCTGATTTACTTCTAGGAAGACCGCAAGAGTTATTTTAAGATTGTCGGGAAGAAAAGCACTATAAATTATAGAGTAATGTTTTATTATTATTCTCAAAGTGCTTCAGCAGTTTCTAAAAAATAACTTAGCAAATAATATATAGAGAGATTTTAGACATCTATTAGTAGTTTATTTCAAGTAAGAAAGCAGGTAAGTCCTTACTTACTTACACTCGTAAAGATTAACTTATTGTCTGCTAACATTTTTCTTATTTTCTATATTCTTAAGCCCTCTAACAAGTGAAAACCATAAGATAAGTTTTATTAAGCCTTTCCTTTTCTTTTTGAGACAAAGTCTCACTTTGTTGCCCAGGCTAGAGTGAGTGCCGTGGCGTCAGCCTAGCTCACAGCAACTTCAAATTCCTGGGCTCAAGCGATCCTCCTGCCTCAGCCTCCTGAGTAGCTGAGACTACAGGCACGCACCACCATGCCCGGCTAATTTTTTCTATATATATATATATATATTAGTTGGCCAATTAATTTCTTTCTATTTATAGTAGAGACGGGCTGGTTTCAAACTCCTGACCTCGAACAATCCACCCACCTCGGCCTCCCAGAGTGCTAGGATTATAGCCACTCTTGCTCAGGCTGGTTTCAAACTCTTGACCTGGAGCAATCCGCCCGCCTCGGCCTCCCAGAGTGCTAGGATTATAGGCGTGAGCCACCGCGTCCGGCCTTAAACCTTTTCTATTTCGACAGTATCTGGCAAATGAAAACTACTATGCCTCATACTGACATACTTAAAAATCAGACTAAATAAAAGTGGTTCCCACAGGCAATCAGGCTGTCCTGGCTAAGAAAAATAACCCATATGAGCTAGTCATTTTTAGTCTAATTTTAATGTTCACAACTAAAGCCTGAAATATAAACAAAGGCAATAAACCATTAGGCAGACATACCTTGCAATCAACATATGATCCTGAATGTAGGCTAGAAATTGAGGGTGATCTTTTCTAGCGATGTATAAACACTCTCCATGCAGGCAGAGAATCTTTAGGCAATTGAGCATATTAAAAAGGATGTCTGGCTCTTCAAACTTAGCCATTTCCTATGCAAAGAACCACATGGTCACTGAGTTACCTAAAACAGCAATGCTCTCAAACCAAACGTTCAAAATTTCTGAAAATATACCTGGAAAATTGTATATATTAGTCTCAACGTCACTGGAAGCTGTTGGTAGCAAAATTTTCTCTCAGTATCATTCTTTATTGCTGCGAAGAAATAATTAGACAAAGGTTAGGCTAACTCCTTCTTTCCCTCCCCATTCACCCGTTGATCAAGATTATAAAACCAAGAGGAGTTAAAAATAGATACAGAATGCATTTAAAAGTATTTGTGTAATGTTTTTATTTGTTCTCCAAATTAGCATATATCCCTTCTATGGTGCAAATACAGGAAAGTTTCCTATAAATTTTAGTTTCCTAAATCTGGGATTCTCAGCTTCTGTTTTCCACTGTGCAGTCTGCATGTGTTCAGATGTCTCTGGAGCCCCAGAGCTGCGCCAGCCCAGCCCTGTGCTACATGGGCTCCTAATTCTGCAGCTCCCAGAGGGACCTGGAGCCTGGCTGGGCATGCCTCCCTAACTGCAAGGGACATACACGATGTGAAAGAGAGGTGTCCAAGTTGTATTAGCACCTAAAGACGTTTAGCCCATGGACTCTCAGAAAAGGGGGTGTTTTGAAGAAGCTGAGCAGATTCAGATGAGAATGACTACTCATGGTATCATCTTCTTGTAAGGCTCTCTAAAGCCTCTGCCCCCATAGTGGGGGCAGCAATAGATCGTACATGAGGCAAGCTAGAGAAAAGAACTCACAAGTTAGCCAGACGCAGAAACTAGTGTAAAATGTGTCAAAATCACCATTTAAAGTTTTGATCATTCCTAGGATTGGAGCCAACGGCAGTCAAACCCTCTCGGCTTATATACTAGATAGTTCACTATGAATCTTCCCACTTGAACATATTTTAAACACTTCTTATGGGCACTTGGTTGTGTTTCATTCGACATGAAAATTTTAAGTACATTTTTAGTGACAGACATATCTGACTGCTATAGGAAATAGGAGACAGGCCCCAAAATACAGAAAAAGGAAATGCTCTAGAAGGAAAAAGAAACCCCTGAACATAGGCCAACAGAACACCCCTTATCTCTAGGATGGGGGAGCCCCAGGAGCCCCGCCTGAAGCTCACAGAGCAGAGGCAGGACCCAGGCTGTGAGCAGCAGAGGACACTGGTCTGGGAAGAAAGTTACCAGGGCTCCCTCAGAAGACAAGTCACAACCGTGTCCTGCAAGACAGCAGAGACCAAAGCAGGAAGACAGGCCGGAGCCGTGACAGGAGTCTGAAGCAGTGTTTGGAGGAGAAAAATAGAGCAAATGGAAGAAGAAGAGCAAGAAAAAGAGTAATGTATGAAAAGAAACTGCTTGATTTTAGCCATTATTCGAGTAAAATGTTACATACAAATAAAAGTGTCAGTTAATTGATTTCTGTGCTATCTTAGGTCTAAAAAATCCGGCCAGGAGCAGTGGCTCACGCCTATAAACCTAGCACTTTAGGAGGCCAAGGCGGGCGGATTGCTCGAGGTCAGCAGTTCCAAACCAGCCTGAGCAAGAGCGAGACCCCGTCTCTACTATAAATAGAAAGAAATTAATTGGCCAACTAATATATATAGAAAAAATTAGCCGGGCATGGTGGTACATGCCTGTAGTCCCAGCTACTTGGAAGGCTAACGCAGGAGGATCGCTTGAGCCCAGGAGTTTGAGGTTGCTGTGAGCTAGGCTGACGCCATGGCACTCTAGCTTCGGCAACAGAGTCTCAAAAAAAATAAATAAATAAATCCATTTACATGGAAAGAGTACAGGTTGCTGGATTGTAAGTGAAGTTCGTGCTTCCTTTAGGCATCAATGACAGATAAAACACAGCCATGTGCCTGGGCTGGGGCCACGGCAGCACCTAAAGCAAGTCAGTCGATCCTAAGTAAATCAGGAGATGTGGGCTCTGGTCACAATCCTGCCACTAGCTAGTTGTGCAATATTTGGATTTCCAATTCCTAGCTTCCCACCCCAGAGATACCAGTATAGCAGGTGGGAGAGTGGAGCGCCTTTACTTCGTGTTTCAGCTCCTCAGATGATTCTGATGCTCCTTTACAGCTTCCTAACCAGGGCAGATAGCATCCATCGGGAATGTATAATATGAGCTACGTGACCAGGGCATGGCATTGAACCCATCGCGGAAACACTGCTTTGGCCAAATGTCCTGACTTGACATTGTCGGTACCAAGTCTCAGTTCTCAGACTTGTCCACAGGGAACACCATGCATGGTGAGAAGGAAGGTGAGGTGTTTACTGAAAACAAGGTCCTGCTGCCAGAAGGATGCTCAGCGAACTGTGTTCCACTAGAACCATAATGGATCTGCTCACTTCATAATCTTATGGGAAATAGTTCTTCTGCACAAATCTATACTAGAAGTTACGTCTGAGCTTGCCCAAGTCGACAGTAACAAAAGAAAGCAAGGATCTGAACCTTAGGTCCTGTGCTCACGGCAACCCTCCCTGCCTGCTCTCAGCGCCCACCTACCAGCATGTTCCGCGGGCTCAGTGCGGTTGCCTGGGTTCTCCCCTTGCTTGGTGGCTGGGTTCTCCTCCTCCTCTCCCTCAGTGCCTATGATGAACTCTGGTCTGGAAGAAAGGAGGCTATCCTCGAGGCTGTCTGTAGGCTCCTAGAACAGACGGGACAAGAAGTTGGTTGAGCAGCACTGGAGGGGTGAAGCAACAGCTGGGCTCAGCCCAGCACAGATGGATGGCATGGCCGCTGCACCCCGCACCCCACGAGAGCCTGCAGCTTGTATCCAGAACGGTGAAAGGAAATCTACACCAGCTATTGCCAATACATTTTCTTTCACTTGAAATAAATATGGAAAGGTGTCAAAAACATTGTCAGATCTTCCTGGGCCTGCTCACCGCCCTCTGCTCTCATCCCCAAGATCAGTGTCCCGCTTACCAAGCGACTCCCACCCATGCACGTTTTGCTCAATAACAGGACTTAATTAGGAAGGAATAACAAGGTGTTCACAGAGCTCTATTATGTTGCAAATACTGTTTGTCCAGGGAAGTCAAATTTTTAGGAGTAAGAAATTGCTGTAATACGTCAGTTAAAGAGGGCAAAGTATGGCAACTCAAGTGTCCATCCACACAGGGCTGAATAAGCAAAATGTGGAGTATACATACAACAGAATACCACTCAGCCTTGAAAAGGAAGGTGATTCTCACACATGCTACATGAGCCTTGAGGACATTATGCTAAGTGAAATAAGCCAGACATAGATAAATACTGGGCCGTGTGTGGTGGCTCACGCCTGTAATCCTAGCACTCTGGGAGGCCGAGGCAGGCGGATTGCTCGAGGTCAGGAGTTCGAAACCAGCCTGAGCAAGAGCGAGACCCTGTCTCTACTATAAATAGAAAGAAATTAATGGGCCAACTAATATATATATAGAAAAAATTAGCCGGGCATGGTGGCGCATGCCTGTAGCCCCAGCTACTCAGGAGGCTGAGGCAGGAGGATTGCTTGAGCCCAGGAGTTGGAGGTTGCTGTGAGCTAGGCTGACACCAGGGCACTCACTCTAGCCTGGGCAACAAAGTGATACTCTGTCTCAAAAAAAAAAAAAAGAAAGAAAGATAAATACTACATATTCTAACTTGTATGTGGACTCTACAACCATCGAATTCAGAGTAGTAGAAAGTAGAATGGTGGTTACCAGAGGCTGGGAAGTGAGGGGAATGGAGACATGTGACTGTTTTATATTACAGTAAGTAACCAACGGCTGTGTTACAGACCACTCTATAGGGATGTTATGTTGAACAGTAGGACTAATGAGTTAAACAGGCTAAAATAGAAGATATACTTCATTGCTTTTTGTATGTTATACTTCAAAACATTTTTTTTAAAGAAGTCACTGCCTACCTAGACAAACATTAAGGAAAAGAAAAGATGGCAAATACTGGCTCAAATAATTCAGATTCAACTGCCTACGGTGGTATGAGGGTATTTTGTGATGTGTATACATTAGATTTAAAAACAGGCTAAACAGGGGATAGCTAATGTATGGAGGAGCCAGAATATGGCATATAGTAGCTGTTCTCTCTTTGGACAATTTTCCTGGAAAGCAGAAAATGAAAGTACCAGAAAAAGAAATGAAAGTTTTATTGATTGCTGATGAGTCAACGGGTTTTACAAAGTGAGGTTACCTAGTCATTCTTTGTGTCCATGTACAATCTACTTGCTTAATATTTCATATGTATACTCTGTAGTATTCCTTGTTATATAAACTTTGTGATAAAACTTCTTCCAAGAATACCAATAATGCTTTATGTTCATGAAACTGTACGAATGGAGATACCACAGCCCTAATCCAGCCACTTAGGATTTTTTATGGTGTGGCTCTATCTCATAGCCCTTTCCAGGAACATGAGTTGGCAGAAGCAATAGGAAAACTTTCTTTTAATACAGTCTCACACATAACCCAGCATGCAGCATAAAATAATAATAGAGGAAGACTCGATTATACCAGCTACTGCCATCTTTCTTACTATTATCCATGAGTCATCTCATTTCTTCAACTGCTTACCACCAGCCGGCTTTCTTCTTTGGGAGCTAGTCTCTCCAGGAGTTCACAAGCAAGCTGATAGCAGAGAATGCTAGACTGACATAAGTTGCACTCGATTGCTTTTTCTTCCTTCTGGCAGGTGTGGGAACCCCCCCAGGGGGCTTGGAAGACATTGTTTATAATAGAAATAATATCCTTTGACAAGCTGTGCTCGAAACCCATCGTGATCCCATCATCCTGTAACTCCATCTAAAAGACACCAAAAAAGGGACAGGATAAAAAAAAAAAAGAAGGGGTTTGATCCTTTTGTCCAATATTCCATTGACACACTCTTTGGAGATAATTTTTACTAACTTACAGCAATATTAAATTATTTAAAGACAATTTAGGATTCAAGACCATGAATATACATTGCTTTCCATGATTTTTCTAAAAAGAATATAAACACAAGACAAAGTAATGGGAATTATTTTAAATATCATGTAGGACATTTAAAAGAGTTGTTTTTTAAACTCATCATTTTGTTAGATTTTACACATTTTTAAAATGCTGCTCCTCACCTAGTATCCGGATCTTGGTTTCTAAATACCATTTTCCACTAAAAGGAACCAGGGCTCCTTTGAGAAATGCCTGACTCCAGAGCTGGGGCTAGGAAAATATAAGATATGCCTGGAACATCTCGTCATGCCAGAAATTAAGGAAGTGTTCAAAGAATAATGCAGACATGTCAAAAGAACATAAGAGCCAGCTCGAAGGGATTCCCACTGGCCATATATGGAAAATATGAGCATCAAAATATATAATCATAATAACAGATTATAACCCACTGAATAAAATTAAAAGCCATGGGTACACGTGGGAATAAGTAGATAAGTAAATAAATACATGAATGAGAGAGAAGGGGAAACTGTTGCATCAGTAGAATACCAGCTAATAAATTTAGAAGAAATGATGGAATTAGAAAATTATCATTTGGCAGCCATCAAAGCACTCAGGCATGAATCATCCATTGATGCTAAAACCAGTGAATGAAAGTCTGACTAGAGACAGGAAATCTCATAGCCTTAAAGTATTTCCCCACAAGTCACTTATTAACTACAAAAGGGAAAATGGTGACCTTATAGTAGAGAAACCTGCCAGAAATCACCTTAACCAAGTCACCAAAGTTATCATCACCAGTAATGGGACATTATTATATCTTGTCCCTCCTAATACAAAGGACATAACATCATGTTTGTGGTCTTCCTGTCAAAAATGCATGACCCAAACTAATTCATAAGGAAATATCAGATTGAGGAACTCAAATTGAGGGACAGTCTAAAAAATAACTGGACTGACTATACTCTTCAAAAATGTCAAGGACATGAAAGATAAAAGACTAAGAAATTATCTTGAATTAAAGAAAACTAAGGAGACAGGAAAAATAATTACAGTGAGTGATCCTAGATTATTTCTAGATCAAAACCAGTTTTTGTTCTCCTGCTATAATGGTGATATTATTATATCTATTTTAAAAAAATGAATAATTTCTGTAAGTTAGATAATAGTATTATAACAATATTAATTTCTTGATTTTAATAACATACTGTAGTTATGTAAGAGAATGTCCTTATTTTTTAGAAAATATGTTCTGAAGTATTGAGATATAAAGGGATATCATATTTATAACTTACTCTAAAATGATTTATTAAAAAATTCATGCATAAACACAGAGATAGAGAATAGTATATATGGTAAATGTTAACATCTGGAGAATTTGGGGGAGGAGTTCTTTGTACTAGTCTTGTAACTTTTCTGCAAATCTGAAACTATCTCAAAATAAAAAATTAAGAAGAAATGTTCTCCTAATCAAAATCTTTTTAATTTCTCTTTTTAAATTACCTTCTAAAATCAATTTATAAAAAATAGTAAAATTAGCCCATCACTATAGAGCTGTACCTTGCTCTTCCAAACAATAGTATTATCCAGTTTGTTCATCCAATTAATTCAACAGAATCAATTCTAATGGTGCTAGGGTGTTTTTAAAATTCAAATCCATTCTCATATGTCAACATCATTGCAGATATTCACACAAGTAGTTTTCAGACTCTTTAGGAAATCCCCAAACGAGTTTGCAAAAGGTCTTGAGTGATGTGGCATCATTTCAGTAAGTATGAAGATACCCAGCACATGGAAAGAATTATTACACAATGCTTTCCCTCAATCTTCACTTCTGAACTAAAGGAAGCTCATGCTTCAGCTACCTGCTTCAGGAGAAGATCAAACATGAGGATGAAACAATTTAGATTCATTTCATCATCTTCACAATCAAAGTCAATAGTCCTTCCTCCCGGGTGTCCAAAGTTCTTGAAAGGGCTACGAAATGGACTACGCATAGGACTCCGAAATGGACTCTGGAAAGGACTATGAAATGGACTGAGCATGTTGTGCGGAACTCGTCGACCAGGATCAGAGGCAACACTCACCTACGAGAAAGAATGTCGACACACACACGTGAACTCACAGAAGCTCAAATGGCTGCATCACATAGTTGGGGGCTCTATGGGAGGTATTTCCAGCTGTCACATGGATGTCCTTACTCGGTCAGTAGCATTAATAACTCCAAATACTATGGATCCTCTCAAAATATAAAAATAAGAAATAAAACCACCCACATTTTTGACTGATTGACAGGGAAGGAAACATCAGGGATGTTCACCCTGAAGAATGAAGGCATTTGCCATTATATGTTTCATCCCATCAAACATTTCCAATTAGACCAGATCGAATCTACTGAAAACCATAACCTGAAAAATGCAGATGTAAAAAGGTAAAATACTACAAGATTGTAGAATCCTAAGCACAGGATCTCAGATTGACATGATTAATTAAAGAATGGCCTCTAGGAATTATAATTATTAAAACATTATGGGAAAATAACATACATCAAACCTATTGTACTGGTTATTCTCCATTTGCCCACCCCAACCCCACCCCAGGCCCTGACTGCCCTGCTCTGCCCTGCTCTATGCCCAGGGATGCTGTGGACGAGTCTCCTCTGGCTCCCTTGCTGCCTGGCTTCCCGCTGGGGTCAGTCAGTGGGAGGCACCAGCAGAAGAGCTGAAGCTGGAGCAGAGAGAGGCAGAAACATTTCTCCCCACCCTGCCTGCTCCGGTGCTGTATCTCTGGGATTATCTCCATCACGCCACATACAGCTTCTCTTGCCAGTCCTTTCTCGTAATTTCAGCTCCCAAATGGCTCCAAGAGCTCTTTTCCTTGTTCCTTCAGCCCTAGGGGTACAGTGGCTTCCTGCTGGACTGTCGCTGGTCCCTGGGTGCCTCTTCAACCCCTACCGCTCCTTTAACCTTCCCCATTACGCTATAGGCAGCCTCTCCATTAAAGTCTCTTCATTTTAACCATCTGGGATAAATTCTGAATCAGGACACCAATGGACATGTCTGTACATCACTCTCAAATCATAGTTTTCTCTCTTAAAGATTTTTATAATAAATAGAAAGCTACTCCAACACCATTTTTAAAGTAAAGAGAAAAAGTATCCCATTAAGAATCTGAATACCTAGACACTGACAGTGTTTCTCTATGGGAAGTCACTTTACTGAGCATCAGGTTAGGCAGTTGCAAAGTGAAGATAATGAGTTCCTCCCTGACTGCCTCACGCAATTCTGTGATATTGTTCATTGTGAACACATCACATAGAGTACAGTGCTACACAAAGTAATGTCATTTTAAAGGTTATAGAAGAAAAAAATAAAATGCAAATGGTTGGCAGCTGGTTCCTATCAAGGCAGAAGAGAAGAGAAGTAGTGATATATTTTTTAAAACACTAAATACGAACTATGATCCCATGATCATGTCATATTTTCTAATCCTTAGATATCAAGTGGGATACAGTGAGGAATATTTTGTAGAGAATTGAAAACATTTTTTGCCAACCATTACATGAGAGTCAACCTTTCCAAAACTGATCATGGTCTGAGAATGTCAGTATATCAACAGAAACTCTATCAGGTCCTCCACAGGAAAATTATCAAAACCAGCACTTTTTATATACTTCAGACCAGACTATATGGACTTTTCTCATCTCCAAAGGTGCAAAGGGATCCACAAAGTGGGCTTAGTTTGTTCACAGTGACAGCATCATTTATAGTCACCATCAGTTGATCATGTCTTCCCAAAACTCAATGGCAAAAAAAAAAAAAAAAAAAAAATCATCTAAACTCCTCACCCCCAAAGTGAAGCAGTGATCTGCACAGTAGCTGGTAAGAAATTCTATTCACTAGAATACCAAAAAATTGAAATGTTACCAAAAAAAACCTACTGATTTTCTTTTCATTAAGGGTGAGAGAGAACTAAAATTCAAACAGCTTAAAAGGAAATGAAAACTCGGTAACTTACTGATTACAGACTATAACAAACATATCTTAGGTAAATGTGTTCTTACTTGGTGTGACTAAAAGAGGAAAAGAGTGAGATAGGATGCAAGAGCATTTTTAGAGAACCTTCTTATGATACCACTTTCAGGCCTAGTGTAACTGACAAGGGTTTTCAAAATCTTAACCAGGAAGACAGGAACAGTGTGGCAATAATTACCCTTCGAGATGCAAGGTTCCCTGCCAGTTCACTGACTCTTGATTTTCTTTGATTTGCCAGTTCTTTGACAGAATTAACTCCATCAGAAAACATGCTTATTAATAGTTGAAGTGGAACCATGATATCTAACTCCGATAATACCTAGGGAAAAAGAGGCACATATCCCCCCCAAAAAAAACACGTAAACTTTAAAACTCAAAAAAACTACATTTTTTTCCCAAAGCAAACTATCGAACACAAGGACATTTAGCCCTATGCATATTCTATCAGCACAATCATCTTCAAATTGTTGTACTAGCAAAATCAAATTTATCATTGAACCTTCCCTTTTCCCCACCCCCAATACCCAGGAGGCCACCATGTTCTATCTATGAAAACCTGTAAGTTTCTCTTGCTGCTGTCTCCTCTCCACACCCACTGCTAGTGCCTCCGTTTACCACCTTTCTCCTGGATTAGCACAATCTGTGAGCAACCTTCCTCCAGCCCATTCTCACTCTGATCTGAACGCCCCATCCCATCTTGCTCTCTGGTACAAGCTAGATGTCCTTCTGGGTCAAAATCAAGCCACCTTGTGTGTAATGAATTTCTGGAAATCGATGTCTCCTTCTTTCAGAACATAATTAATGCATCCCTCTTCTCTGCCTTCTGATCATTTTAATGCATAGCTTTATTAGAGCAATTATCACTTTTTGTTATATTTAATTATCTAACACTATTCTTCCCACTGTGAGCTGCTTGAAGAAAGGAAGTACGAGGAAAGGACCATTTCCAATCCCATTTACTCCAGTGCCAATTATAGTTCCTGGCAGATAGGAAGGAGCTCTGTACATGTTTCCGCAATTAATTAATAAATAAGTCAACGCCAACCACTACAGAGTCCACTCTAGCCCCCGAATGGTTAGGCCAGGGCAGGGGTCCTCAACCTTTTTAAACAGGGGGCCAGTTCACTGTCCCTCAGACCATTGGAGGGCCGGACTATAGTTTAAAAAAAAACTATGGACAAATTCCTATACACACTGCACATATCTTATTTTGAAGTAAAAAAAAAAAACAAACGGACAAAAACACCCGCATGTGGCCCACGAGCCGTAGTTTGAGGACACCTGGGCCAGGGCTTTAAAACCTCCTTTGACTGCAGCATTCGGACTTACAAACCAAAGCTATAGCAAAGCCTGGTGTGTAAAACGTGTAAACTGTCACTGCTCTGGCTACGGCAGGAACAGAGTTTTACAGCCCTGCTCATTCATCCCCAGGTGGCACAGCAAAGGGGCATGAAACTTGGGCAACGTCTAGCCATCTCTAGAAAGACTGGCTTTCTGAAAATGAGAATTATCTTATTGAGATCAATTTGGGGATTTAAAAAATTAAAATTCTGGATCCCAAAAGTGACTTTAAAAAAAAAAAAAACAGTCCATTTTCACTTGTCAATTGTGAAAAATATCGTTCCTTAGTTTCCAACCCAGAAAGGCATCTTCTCAGTGTGAAGAGCTTATAGCATCCCATCCTTGCATGATATAGAAATGCAGTTGTACCCACAGTTGATCTAAACATTGATTCTATCTATATTTCTGAAACTGCCCAAATTTTATATCAGGTACTCAACTGAATTTTAACAACTTTTATTGAACATCCACTAAATACAAAGCATGTGTCAGATGCTGGTGGAAGGATGAAGAGGGCTGTAAACTCAAAAATGAGACCTGGCCCCTGCATTCAAGAACCTTATAATCAGAGAAAGAAACAGACAAAACTAACTATAAGACCGAAATAGAACAGAATTCACACAGAAAACCTGAATAAATCCTGGAGGAAGGAACTCTAATGGCAAGATGGGAGTGTGAAGTAGTGGACAGCTTCACAGAGGAGATGATTTTGGAGTTGGGCTTTAAAGGGTAGGTTGGGAATTCACAAATGGAGACAGGACAGAAAGTCATTCTCAGCTCAGGGAACAGCATGAACTACTCTCTAAATTAGCAGTTCCCAGCCTTTCCAAGTGAAGGGCCTGTTTCATATTAAAGATTTATCAGAATCCCACAAGATAGCTATTATATTACCCTTCTAGTACCCACTGATGGAAAACTACATAAGGACCAAAAGCTACTATGAATTCAGTACTACTATTAGATAAATTTGTATTCTATTAACCACGACTAGAGCTACATATAACTGAAATTTAGTCATTTATCTATGTATACAAGATAATTAGTCTACAGACAGTCCTCAACAAACACAGGGACTTACAGACTCTGCAATAACTTCCTCCCACTCTACCCAAGGATCTAAACTCATAGGCTAAGAACTATTGTCCAAAATGATCAAAAGTATCATTCACTTACATGAAGCCATAGTAAAGCTTGCTCCTGTACAGAGGAGGGGTATCCTGTAAACCGACAACTAATAAAGCCAAACATCTCTTCCATTGAGAAAGGCAGAGGACAGAGCTCAATGTCAAACATTTTGCTAGAAAGCAGAGTAATAACAGTAAATGACCAATGTGCATAGATTAGGATTTACTGATGCCACCAAAGTATCTCTAACTATGCCCTGTTTGGGGAGTCAAACCCTTTAGATTAGCTTGTGTTCTGAACTGTTACTAGTATGTCTCATTTTACTGTAAGAGAATAGTTTATGTCATTGAAATAGGTATTTTATAAATAATTAGTATCCAGCCTCCTGTTAGGTTTAACAGAAGGAATTGCATTTCTAAGGAATTGGAGTTGCCCCCCAGCACCTAAAACCATTTCTCCTTTGTACTTTCCCACCATAAACCCCCAATCACAATTATATTTGAAAATAAGCAAACATTATGGTATATCTATTATTCCATAGGAACAAAATCTTTTCTGGACAATGCCAAATCATCTTAGCTCAATGTGTGACAGTTATTTCATTTTGAGCCTTCAAATTTCTCCACAGGATTGTTAAAACAGTAAATGAGATTATATATAAAATGCTTAGCAGAGTGCTTGGTACACAGTACATTCTCAATAAATATTAGATACCATTATAATTACAGTGACTTCATTAAACTACTTACCCACCTTAATACTTCCCTGAATTCTTTTAACTGATTATCTGGGACTTCTGTTCTGATGGCTTCCAGCCATTCCGGCATGATACACTCCCACACAGATTGACTGATCACATTGTAGGGGATCAGGCAGAGGATTCGGTTGAGACCTTCCTTCAGCTGAGTCACTGTGCTGCAGGACTTATCCCAGTAGCCACCAACCTGATGGGGTTTCCATAGCCACAGGGAAAACGAATGAAACACACCTGTTAAAATTATACTCAAGGACTTCCTAAAAGAAATGGGTCCAAAGAAAGGCCACAGTCCGTTACATCTGAGTCCTGGGCCAAGAATCTTCCGAGTGAGATTTATTTGTAAGAATCTACAAACCATCAGCATCCATCACTTACAAAAAGGAAAATATAGTTACAAATACACCCAAATACTGGTCACAGATTGAAATTGAACTTTTACTGCAGACTTTCCAAATCGCACACGAATTAAAATTCCAAAGATTTGTTCCTAACAAGATGAGCATGTTATTGGAGCATCGTTATTCCTAAAGTGTGATAAACTTGTTATAATATATGCAGTTATACCTGTCCTTCAGAAGAACACAGTTTTCTACTACTGTACACTTGGCACTGGAGATTTTTCATTACGAAAAATACAGTAGTGTGGAGAACGATTTGTCCCTATGCTACATATTCTGCCATAATTTTTCTTCCCGAGAATGTTCTAAAGCTGGTTGGATCTATGAATAAAAAAGATTGGCTTTTTTACTAATTAAGACAATACATTAATTTTCTGGAGCAGGAAAAAAAAATTGAAACTATGAATTAAAAACTTTAGGTTGCTTATTAATCCTAATGTTAAAGATCCTATATTCTTATTGCAATCATAACAATGAAAAAAATCAAAATATTTAACCCTAAAATATATTTCTTTGACATATTTTGGGATGGCCATCAGAGAGCCAGCAAACAGAAGTAGCCCTGCAAAGCTGCCTTTTGCAGCAGGGATTTGCATTTGTAGAGGATATACATGATGCAGCCAGGCCTTTCCTTGTCCAGATCTAGTAAGGATTAACTGAGTCTGACACCCTGAAAGGTCTAAAAGAAATCATTTATCATCTATTCTCTCTGAAGCTACCACCTGTGAGGTTTCAGCTGCATAACAAGACCACCTCTGCCAGCCAAGCCTGCTCTTCTCTCCCTCCCATAACCACAGACTGTCTTGCCACCATAACCTGATTTACCACCTTAACGTGTTTTCAGCCATGCTCTGAGCCCCTATTCTTTCTAGAATCTCAAGATGCTATAAAAGCTTCTGCACCCCATTGAGGTTTGGGCAATCACCCTGTGGTTCTCTCCATGCACAAATTAATAAATTCTGTATGCCTTTTCTCCAATTGATCTGCCTTTGTTGAATTGATTTTTCGGCAAACCTTCAATGGGTAAAGGGGAAGTTTTCCCTTCGATCCAGCAGTAACAGAGGGTTCACTGGTTCTGAGTCTTGACCGTGTAATGCAAGATTTGTGGAAAACTACCTTATTTTAAATGAATTCAATTTTAAGTGTTTATTCAGATTCTGCAAAAAAAATCACTGAATTCTATTTCAAAGCTCGAATATCTATTTTCTGCCACACTGACCAAAATCCTAGATGATTGACTAGATATAGTTGAGGAAGTGACTATATTTCTGGGATTTCTGTTGTTGTTAGTTACAGGAAGAGAACATTGGTTAAGTTGAGATCCAGAAATGTATTGTGAACTAAATACAAAATCTTAACATCCCCAGCTGACTGAATGGACCCCCGCTTGGCAAAGGAGACCCCAGAAATCCTAAAGCTGAGTTGCTGGCCATGAGAAGGTAGGTCAGACATGCCTTGTCATGCCCCTCTCTTCTTGGAGATGATATTCTTTGTGACACGCTTAAGGCTTAAGACAAAACTCAAACCACACCTATTGCCCATCAATTTACTCAACAGATCACTTGAGTTTCCTAACTGTTCGATGGGTGGTCTCTGATTAACAGACATTATTTATCTTAAGTTAAAACATTCTAACCCTTTAAGCAAAGCTTCATTTCTTTAACTTTTTTAAACTTCATTTCTTTAACTTTTGTAAGTTATCAAAAAATCTGATAACTTACAAGAGTGGCTATAGCTTTCCATTGAAACATAAATTTAAGGTTTCCAAAGGCATACCTGTTCTAAATATGATTCAAAACCAAAAAGCTTTTCTCTCTACAATCACCTGCATTTTGATCAAAGATAATTAAAGTGAAATTACTTTTCTTTACAAAATGAGACTCATTAAATTAGTTTGATCATTTGCGCAAGGGCAGTAAAATTAGTGATTGATCACTTATGGATTTTTAAAGTTTGCATTGCCAGAACTTTTATAAGGAATCCTAGATTGTACTTTTAGAAGTCTCTTGATGCTAAAAAGCCAAGCTAAGAACTGTTCATCAGACTTTGTCTATGATATGTATAGGTTTGGGTTAATTCCTTTCTTCTTGAGGTCCCCAAAATATTCTAGGGTTCCTGGGCCTGACAGGAAATGATCCTCCTTACTCATCTGTAAGGCTGTGAACTCCATATGCCAGGACAGTATTTCCAAGAGGGCTTTGAAAGCACTGGCCCTATAAAGTTAATCTTAGTTCCTTAAAACTGTCTGATCATATCTGATCCTATACACATCCTCAGATATGACATTCTCCAAAGTCTTGACAATATAACAAAAATTTCCCAATTATTTCCTGTTACAAAGAGAACAGGTTCTTACTAAACTTATATAAATAACTATAATACTGTGAAAATAAGAATATTCAATAACAGTTTCTGAATTCTGGAGGAATCAGGAAGGGAGAAAAAAGATATATGTTTCATTTTTATTTACAAAGGTATAATCTACCAAATTGTCATTAGTTAGAGATAGCTTAGGAGAAAAGAGAACAAGATTCCTTATATTCGGAAAATAGAACGTTAAACAAACAGCAATATTCCAAACAAAAACCCATAAAGATTATAATTATTTTTAACAGTTCATTCGGTCCTATGTAATTCAATCTTGTTCTACTTGATTGAGTTAGCAGTTTTATAAATCCACCTGCTTCTCCACTTACAGATTTTTTGAGATAGCATCACTTTTGAGGTATTTTTCACCTCTTTGTAAACTGGATTCTGCCATTTGCACATTTTGTCAATAATTAACGTTTCCAATTTTTCACCCACCCTCCTGATGTGGTATCACTGAGAAACTGAAAGCTAACTGTACAGACCATTACTAAGACTCCAAGTTGCCTTGTCCCAAAGTCCTACAAGCTGAAGCTGGACAATTGGATATAAATTTCAAAGGACTTATTACTACAACAGGTTGGGCCACTTAGAAAGTTCACCAAACACCCACATCTTCCATGCTCTGCTCTGGGAAATAAGCACAACTGTGACAATGATGTTCTCACTCTACCAACTACACACACCTCGAGCCCAACATCTCAAACCCTTCTCAACTTCCTGCCTTCTGGACCCAGAAAGTAGGTTTATAATCTACCCCAACCATTAATCTTTGCTTTTCCTTTTGTTTCCTCATTCTAATCTATGCTGCTTTGCCCCTTTGCTGATCTGTTACCTCACAATTTCTAACCTAAATCTTCTCTCCATAGTAATCCACCTTGCTTCTTTTTTCTATGTGTGAAACTTCTTTGGATGTTTCACATGGGAGAAATGTTGGAATCTGCTCAAACCCTCAGAATTGGTATAAAGATTATTTTAAAGGGAAAACATTTGAGCTAAAGAAGATGCAGAAAGAGATCTACCTGATCTGAACTTCCATTATCTGACTAAAGCAGAGCCTCCAGAAAATACCTTCATTAAGCCCTCCTCAAAGGCAGTTTCCCATTAATTCAACTGCCATGGAGATAGTTCCTGCCCAGCTCCAACAGTATCAAAAAGCCCAATAGAACCTTCCATATCTTCTCCCTGAAGCTCTTAAAAAAAAAATACCCTTTGTTAAGTTTGATATCTTTTATCTCCAACTATTCAGGAAGTAATTCATCACTGAGATCTCCCATGTATACTCAAAAATAAACTTTGTGTTCTCTCCTGTTAATCCATCTATTATTAGTTAATCTGCAGGCCCCCAAACACTGGACCTAAGTTGGAAAAAGAAAAGTTATCCTCCCAACATAATCATTTCTTCTCATCTTCCAGAATCAGAACACACTAATTCTTTACTATGCCAAGAGAAATAATAATAGAAAGCATATCAACACAGTCAAAGAATGCCAGGAATTGGGAATTTTCCATTATGCAAAAATTCCGTTTTATAAGTGAGTCAGTAGGTGGCACCAAAGAAGGAAGAAGTATATCTTGATAAACACTCAGGCCACTCTGAGTCCTGGAAATCCAACAAGAGCTACTCCTCTAGATGATCTGTGTTCTGTTTTATCCTTAAATGTCCTATTTTAGCACAGCTTTAAGCTGAAAACTGCCTCAAGACCTCTTTGAAAGGAAACAAAATATCACAAATAAAAATAAAACTTAGAAAGTACTTTGAAAAAAATTTCATGTATTGCTACCAAACACTGATTCTGGACACCCACACCTTTCTGGATTAGGAACAAATTATAATATATCATATTCAAGAAAGATGGGGTCTTTCCAGCTGCAAACCACTGAGGCAGAAGCAAGAGGATAAGCACAGAGAAATCCGTTCTGTAAGCCAGAGGAATAGGAGCATTTTGGCAGTCCCTGAACCTTTTTGGCATTTTAAATGACAGGACAGGGACATTTACCATTCATCTCTGGAAATATATGCGAAAACACAGACATTTCCCCTGATTGAATGGTAGCCTCTCCACAGATTATAAGCCAGAAAAGGACTGAGCTCTAGCAGCCTCATAGAAAGGCACTTTTTTTTTTTGGTCATTGTTTCTTAATAAAAATATTCAGCTTTGCAGCTATTCAGAAGGCTAACACAGGAAGACTGCTTAAGCCCAGGAGTTTGAGGCCAGCCTGGGCAACATAGCAAGATCCCATCTCCAAAAAAAACAACAAAATTCAGCAATGTCAAGAAAGAATATTTCCTTAAATTCCTAGATAACTCACTCACAAATTCATCTTGCCATTCTTCTCTATCCCAAATCAACATCAAAGCAGCACATCACCCAAAATGTGGTTACTATACTAAACTCACTCAGGTATATTAACTAAAACAATCAGAGATGCTCCTCTTCTACAGACACTATAGCACTTCTTCCCAAGTCTTCCTCTCCAGCAAGATTCCAGCTGTGGCCCTCCACTTACCCTGGCAAATTCCATGGGTTTGGGAAGAAGGCACATGACCATGACATCAAAACGAACATCGCATACTGTCTTCAACCACTTGGTGACAAACTGCGGCTTCAGTTTTTCCACCAAACTTCCAACTTCATCATCCATCATGTATGCTGTAGAGTGAAACCACTGAAACACCATGGCCACCAGCCGGGCCAAGCTTTCTGTAGGCGTGTTCTCACTGGGTGTGCAGAGGCTCACCTGGAGGAAGGCAGATGAGACCCTTGTTCAGCCTGCATTCAAAGTTATTATATGTGCAGCCCCTCTTAAAAGACAGTTGAGGAGCAGCTGGGAGTGAGGGGACAAGGGGCAGGTCCCAGGAACTACACAGGTCCTTCCTCACTTGGGACTGCTGCTTCTCTTAGCTCTTCTGCCCGCTCTGCCTCTGAAAAGCTGCTGGGCAGGGATATTATTTATAAAACCCCTCCCCCAACAACTTCCCAGGGTTTTCTCATTGTCTTTTTGCATGAGGACTTTGTATTGGGATATTAAAGAGATTTATTGGGGGGAAAAATTATTATATATACATTTAAAGGCAAAAAAAAAAAATGTCCCAGATAATCCATTTGAAACAGGCAGTTTTATAAATGATCACTTATCCAGAAACTGTGTTCCCCTCTACAGGAATGGATGGATTGCAACAATAATTTTCCCTCACGATTTTACCTTCCAATAAACATTTTCTTTCATAGGAAATCTATTACATAACCTGCACTAGATGAATGCTTTTAAAAAGTTAGGTCCATGAAGTGATATTTCATCAACATCTTCGGTGAAAAATAGTCTGTTAATATTTTAGTTCTAAAATGATTATATTTAGCTAAGAAGTATGTATCAGTAATAATTCTGACACCTTGGAGCCCCCCAATTCAATGTTATAAATAGACTTTTTAAAACATCATTCATTCAGAAATAGTCTTTTATTGCGCACTGTAGCAGGGTCCAGGAATACAAAAAATAAATAAAACACAATTCCTGCCTCTAAGAAATTCACAGTAGTAGCCATTGTGTCATTAGATAATAAGCTCCAGGAAGCAAGACATGAAAAATTGACAATTAAATTCCAATTTGGTAAAGGCTTTTTCACGAAACTACATGCAACCATGAAAGAGGTACATCACTATGGAGACTTAATACATGTCTCCAATGGGCAAAAACAAAAGCCTGCTTCTCTGCAGAACTGGTAAATGAAGCCTGCTTGGGACTTTAGATCTGTGCGTCTGATCTCTACTGAATGAATCTTTCAGTAGAGAGTCAGTCAATAGCAATCACATTCCTTGTGTTAGGCTATAATTTCTCTGGTGTACACAGACTTGCCATAAACACACACAAAAAGCTCCACGGAGAGTGAACTCTCAAGAAAAATATTTGTGTATGTAGATGATGGGACATGAATTACCCGTAAATTATATTGAATCTAGTATTTGAGGACATACACTAGCAACTTTCCTGTTTCCTGTGAAAAAGGTGCATATCAACCATTCAAGACCCAGGCACTGACTATTTTGACACCTGGCTATTCATGAAAATCAACAACCAGGAGCTTTTTAAAAAAATTCCCAAGATTTTAGGGTGGAATCTGAACATTATTATTTTTTAAAACCTTTCTTAGGCAAATCTAATGTACATGCCAGGGTGAGAGCTACTGCCCTAGAGGAGACAGTCCATTGCTAAAGTTAATTTTTCATTATGTACTATTTTATTCCTTTCAAAAGAATAGGAGAAATTCCTCATCAGTGCAATTTTTGGAATGAGAAATCAGAAGATGGAGAATAGTTAACTTCTTTTTCTTACTAAGAACCATATTCCAAATTGACTGAGCAGCCTCTGGTCATGTTTATCATCGTCCTTGTTATCAAAGTCAGCGTTATCCAGGGAATGGTGGGAAGAGGAGAGGCCCAGCTGCCGCCGTCGATTCAGCTCATGCTCCCGCTGCTCAGCATGGAACTCGGCTTCCTTCAACAAGCTGCCAAAGAGAGATGATGTCAAGTTAGACTATGGACAAGCATGTTCTAGAACATGATCTGCAGAGAGCGAGTACTTTGAGTACTCATGCATCCCGATTCCTTTCCTTTAAACTGATAGGAGTTACTCAGGAAGCTTAATTCCACTTCCTTACTATTTTATACTCCACTCCCATTTCAAAGATAAACAAACCAAGGCACAAAGAGGCTACTTCCTCCAATCAAGTAGAATCAAGCAGAACGGATCCTTCTGACTCCTGGGTCATCAGCAATCCCACTAAAAGTCAGTGCTTCCCCTATATCTACCATGAAGCTATGTGAAAAAGCAAATGTATGATACAAGGAAAGATTGGGAAACCTGTACCCAAATGTCAAAATATTCAACATTTGGTATTCAAAGACATGGAAATGAAGCAATGACAACTCCTTTTTCAATTTGCTAAACAAATGACAATTTTAAAAAATACTACTCAATGTTGGCAAGGGTGAAGCAAAACCTAGCAACTTTATATGTGTTGTTGGCATTGTAAATTCATATACTCACTCTGAAAAGGAATTTGGTAATGTATAAAAAAGATTAAAATATTCATACCCTTTGAACCAGTCAGCCCACATCTGGTAATCTACCCTAAGAAAATAAAAAATATAGGCACAACACTATGCACAAAAATATTTATCAAAGAGTTAGTTATAAAAGGAAAAAACTGGAAGCAATCTAAATATATAATGATGCCGGAAAATAAATTATATCTAGATGAATATTAAATATCCACTAAAAATGATAAATATGGAAACTGCACAACATGGAAAAGGGCTAATAGTGTAGTGTTATATTGAAAAAATTATAGCTACATTGCGATTACAGTTATATAAATAAAACATGCATATGAATAAAACTAGAATATATGCAAAATTGATGATGATTGTAACAGTATGGATGATTAGTGGTTTTTTAATTTCCAAACTTTCCATAATGTTTGATATGTCTGATTTAACAAACATTTATTGCATTTCTACTATATGTCAACCACTGGGCTAAGAGCAACTGAAAAGACTTGGTCGCTATCCTTTAAAACCTACATTCTAATATTATTTCTTTAATTTAAAAAATTCTTGCATCAGTGAATACTAAACAAAAAGAGAGCAAGGCTAGAGGTTATCATGTCAAATGCTACTTTCTCTGTCATGTGATAGAAGGAGAAAAACCCAGCAGCCTTGCACCATCAGTACCTATCTGACTCCCCGGGCCATGGTTTACCCCAGGCCGCATCACCTGGAGTTCACTGCACCTTGTTGGAGGCAGGTAATTACTTTATGCAGCCTTTTCCCCTTCCTGACTGGCTAATGCTGCCGTCAGTCAAGCCAGCCCTATCCCCACCCCTCGCTCTGATGGGGTCCTTTACTTCATTTCCCAAAGAGGCCCTATTCGATCACTGCGTTCATCAAACTGGACCTCAGCGACATGCTTATGTTTTTCCAGTGCAGACGTGAGTAACTAGAGGGCAGAAACTATATTTGATTCCCTTCTCTCTCCCAAGCGCCTAGCACAGTGCCTGGTACATAACTGGCATTAGCAAAAATAGTCACTGAATTCGTGAATTAAAATAGCATCACCGCAACACTGCGGGAAGGTGAGCTGCTAGGCTAAGGGCATTCGAAGTTGCATTAAATATGCGCACTGTGCTGAGGTCTGCTCAAGGTGAAGGTGGTGTTTTCGGGGAAAGCTGCTAACAGACTGCGTGTTACCTGATCACGGCCTCCACGGCGCAGACCAGCTCCTCCGCGCCACATTCCCGCGTGTTGATGGGGGGCGGGGAGGTCTGGTAGAGGTGGGTCTCCGCGGAGGCCCCCACTTCACTACTGTGATGATTCGAGTGGCATCTCTTACAGTACCGAACGGGCCTGTTTCCGTGACGACCGCAGCACCCGGCCGAAAAGCAGGTGACAACTGCTCTTCGAACGTGGGAACTGCAGTTCTAGAAGAAGGAAAAAAAATGCAATCAATTAAAATTGGCTGCTGAGGTAAACTTGGCCAAGAATCGGAATAAAGGGAAACTTGAGGGGCCACCAGAAGTGACAGCACATTCCTGAAGGGCCACTAGTTTCCAAATTGCAAGTTATCCTCTAACAAGTTAGACTTCAGTCACAGGTAAAAATAAGGGTGGGAAGTGTTTTCCATTAGTAGAAAGTTCTAAGGGTCGGGGGAACCGTGCCGGGAAGCCCTCCGTGAAGCTCCCTCAGCCACGGGGGGCATGGAAGCGGGGCCACTTTCTGGATTCTTTTGAGTTAATCCAGTTTCGAGAGTTTTCAGCAGAAATACAAAGGAAAGAAAATTAGAGCTGTGGTCCAGGGAGAGAGCACACCACAGCACATCAGAGCGGGAAAGGAATCATTCTAACTCCCAGAATAAACTCTCACAATGATTTTATCCACCCCTCATAGAGCACATTGCCACTGCGGCTCATCTGTCCTTGCCGCAGCCAAGGACAGGCGGGCATTGTGCTGCGCCCAGGTGACGGCCTCCAGCAGGGGGTGTACCAAACACAACCAGAACCATCCACAGAACCCGCCGCCACCACCAGAGACAGGAAGGGAACGACACAGGAAGCGATGGCGATGGGAAAAGTGGTGCAGCGCCACAGAGACTCCAAGGTTCAGGGGGCGTATTGTTTGAGCTGACCTGCCAAGAGGCAAGGGAGTGAGTCAGCATCCCTAGGAAGTAATCTGAGGCCCTGTCAGGAACACCCTGATGGCTGGGAAAAAAAACAAAAAAACAAAAACTGCCCCAAGCCTGTCAGAGATGCCACCACAACAGTTTTAACATCTGTGTCCAAAGCACTTTCCAAGTCTTTCAATAGTGCTTGTGAAGATGTGAACACCTCCCCCCCCACCATTGGGTGGAGAACCAGCGGCCTTATGGCCACGTTGGCCTTCTAGGTCCTTAAGTGCCTCTAGGTCCTTAAGCCTTTTGACTGAATCCAAATTTTACAGAACAAATCCTAGATTTGTTTTAAAAATAAAATAAAAATATAAAAGACAAAAATGTATTAATAAAAATAAAAGGATTTGGTTAAAATAGAAGGCCATAGGCTCCCCACCCCTGTGCAAGCCTTTATGAACTCAGAGCCTGAGAGAGAGAGTGAGAGAGAGAGAAAGAGAAACAGAACAATGAATTAATCTATCTTCAACTAGAATTTAAAGGGAAAATATTGAGCTCAGGACAGCCTTTCTAGCCAGCACAGAATCTCAAGGTAAGAAAAAGTTTCAGGGCAAACATTAAATCCAGGGCCCTATCAGAAAAATGTGGTTTCAGGGAGGAAAATGATGACAAAGACTTGAATATAAAACATTTTGTTAAGAACTCAGAATTTTAATGTGGTATGCCATAGGTTCCTTTAGACACACAAAAGGCCTTCTAAGATCTTCAGAGCATGCTTCAACATCTTCTTCATTAAACATCAAGGGTTCTAAAATCTTAAAGGCAATGTTCCCAGCAGCCTCAGAGAGAGCACAAGGTTTGGAAAGACTTATCTCAAATAAGTTTGTGCATTTGACTTGTGTTTAATGATGTAGGTTTATAAGTTGATATATAAAAGCCCACAATGTTTTTAATGAAATATACCAATGTGAATTGAAAGAGACAAAGATAGACCACAAAGAAGATACTCTTGGACTTCCAAATTTCTATGAGCAAAAAGTAAGCTCACAAAACTACATAACTGTAAACAGCAGGCTACTTTTTATGAGAAAGAAAAGATGAGCATCTGCCAGATGGAACCAAAAGCCAAAGAGATCCACTCCCAGGAGACATGACTGACCCCTAACTAAGGAACAAGTGACATGTGCCCTGTTGAATTCCAGACTTTCCATGGATCAATGACTATGTGCCTCTCATTCCCTCACTTTTTACAGGTGTACCTACTGCAGTAATCCTATCCCTGTGTCACCATTGGATGTTGGCTGTGTGGGAGGAGATAACTTACCTCTTTCATTCACAGGTACTCACAGCAAGAGGAAGAATACCTAAGGAACCAAACCCAAAGAGCCTCATCTGCACCTGGACCTGATTTCAGACAAGATCAGGCGTATTCAGGGTGGTATGGCCATAGATGGCCTGGATCTGATTTCAATGAGACCTTGGACCTCTAGCCAGGATTTTCATGTGGGAAGAATGTAAATGATTTGTGACCAGAAGAGGGTTCTCCACACTCCTCCCATTAAGAAGTGGGCTTTAGTTTCCCTCCCCTTGAACCTGGATGAGCTTCAACCAATAGAGTATGGCAGAAGTTATGCTTATAGAAGGACAAGCTTCTATAAACTGGTTCAAGTCTGACAAAAAAATAAAAAAAAGAAAGAAAAAAAATAAGAAGGACAAGCAGCTTCCACCTGGCTGTCTTAGAATGTTCTCTCCTCAGAAACTTCCTCATAGGATACTCCTCCCAGAACTCTGCCATGATGTCTTGAGCAGGCCAAGCCACATGAAGAGGCCATGTTTAGGTCTCTAGTTAACAGTAACAGCTAAGCCTAAGCTTCAAGTCACCCCATCTCAGAGCCCAAATATATGATCTAAAATGCTCTAGATCATTCCCCAGTCATTCAAATCTTCCCAAATGAGATCCCAAACATAATCAAGCAGAGACAAGCTATCTCCACTATGCCCTGTCCAAATCTCTCATCCACAGAATCTGTGCACATAACTAAATGGTAGCTGTTTTATAAATCTGTGTTTTGAGTAATTTCTTATGGACTATCTAGATATGCTGCATGTAATATTATCTGGAATACCAACTATAAGTCAACCTGCTTTATTAACCATGTATCATCAATTCTAAACAATATGAGCAACAAAATAATTTCCAAAACAAATAATCTTTGGTTGGTCAAAGTTCTAAATAATTGCTATGGTTCCTACTGAGTTTTAATAATATATTTGAAAGTCCTTGAACTGGGTGGACTCAGCTATATTCATTTCCAAAACTAGAGAGATTTCCCTTGGATTCAGATTCAGTTGGGCATGCTTTTCAAATGTTCACTCCAGCCACTGTTATACTGCTTTGAATTTTAAACACATTTAAGTAATTCCAAGTAGCTTCATAGAATGACACAATTGAAATAAATCAAGGTCTTTCTCTTCATCTTTTCAATCATGATGCTGTCATTGCTTATTTTAAACCTACTGTTCAAATGTAAGAAATATAGTACCAAAAGAGGTAGAGACACCAACTGCCCAGAACAAGCTGAAACAATTCTGAACTGCTATGAACTTAATGGAAGTTCTCCAAATTAACTTGCATATAAAATATAATGTTTACTAAAGATAAGCAATAAAAATGTGTTAATTTGAACCTTATTACTGAAGATAATTTTTTCATATAAATGACAGAAGTGTTAAAAAAATGATCTACTCTGAGTGTCAAATATGTTAGGTATGTCAACAAAGCCAGGACATGCTGAGTTAGAAAATAAAAATGTTTCAAATCCTAGGCTCTCAAGCTTGTAAAAGCTTCTCAAAGTAAGAGGCCAGGCGCTATGGCTCATGCCTGTAATCCTAGCACTCTGGGAGGCCAAAGTAGGTGGATCATTCAAGGTCAGGAGTTTGAAACCAGCCTGAGCAAGAGTGAGACCCCATCTCTACTAAAAACAGAAAGAAATTAATTGGCCAACTAAAAATATATAGAAATTAGCTGGGCATGGTGGTGCATGCCTGTAGTCCCAGCTACTTTGGAGGCTGAGGCAGAAGGATTGCTTGAGCCCAGGAGTTTCAAGTTGCTGTGAGCTAGGTTGTTGTCATGGCACTCTGGCCTGAGCAACAAAGTGAGATTGTCTTGAAAAAAAAAAGGTTCTCAAAGTAACATATAGACTCAGGATAAAGATCAAATCAAGAATATGTTGTATGACTGTAAGATCCTTTGTTAAAACTTCACAAAGATATAAGGTAGTGCCTGATTGAGCCTCTTAGGTAGAACAAGGCTTCTAATAATTTTAAGGGCAGACTGAAATGCCCAAAGTATGGAAAGGACATCCTCAAAAATAATTATAGATTTGGCTTTGAGGGCACAGAACCCCAATGAGAGTCACTGAAAATCCACTTTAGCAAAATCTTACTAGCAAATGCACCACTAGCTAAAACCAAAGAGGACGGACACAGTTCACAATGAAAATAGGTCTGTGGGACTCCAACTTCCATATGCAGGAAGCAGACTGAGAAAGTCACTCAGCAGCAATATGGGCCATTTCTTTTTTCCTTTTTCTTTTCTAAGACAAGGTCTCACTCTGTTGTCCAGATTAGAGTGCAGAGGTATCATCATCGCTCACTGCAACCTCAAACTCCTGGGCTATAGCAAATCTCTCACCTCAGCCTTTGGAGTAGGGGGGACTACAGGGATGTGCCATCACACCTAGCTAATTTTTCTTTTTTTTTTTTTAGAGGTGGGGTCTGGTCTGGCTCTTCCTCAGGCTAAGGGCTATTTCTTATTGAAACAGAAAGAAGTCTCAGAAAGTGGAGCCAAAAGCTCAGGTGGACAATAATGAATCAGGGAACTACTCCTAGGAAGCAAACCAGACCCTAGTCAAGGTACATTTGTTATCCCTGGAAATGGAGGACCTATTGACTTGCTCATGCCTGGTGCTGCTACAGACCAATTACCACTCTCTGCTTACTCCTCCTCCTTTGGAACAGAGGTCTTTTGCTCTTACCCTGACCCTCTCTCACTATTGTGTCTTGGGTGCATAGGAGGCAGATAACTTTCCTTTTTAGTTAACAAATCTCTGAATCAAGAAAATTTGCAGGCCAGGTGCAGTGGCTCATGCCTGTAATTCTAGCACTCTGGGAGGCCGAGGCAGGTGGATTGCTCAAGGTTAGGAGTTCGAAACCAGCCTGAGCAAGAGCAAGACCCCATCTCTACTATACATGGAAACAAATTAATTGGCCAACTAATTATATATAGAAAAAATTAGCCGGGCATGGTGGCGCATGCCTGTAGTCCCAGCTACTCGGGAGGCTGAGGCAGAAGGATTGCTTGAGCCCAGGAATTTGAGGTTGCTGTGAGCTAGGCTGACGCCACGGCACTCACTCTAGCCTGGGCAACAAAGCAAGACTCTGTCTCAAAAATAAAAAAAATTATGTCCAAAGTGTGGATTTGGGCAGATTAAATATGACCACAAAATTCTTGCCACCTTTTCTATAACCAGGAAGATCCTATTTCTCTACTCTGGCCCTGGGACCTGCTTTGACCAATGTAATGCATCAGAAGTGATGCTGTGTGACTTCTGAGCTTCAGTCTCAAGGGGCCTTGCGACCTTCTCTCTTGCTCTCTCAAAACACTGCTGCCTTGTGAACAAGTCCGGCCTCTCCTCCTGGGGGATGAGATATTAATACCTGGTGGAAAGAAGGCGGTCCTGACATCTCCATCATCCCAACCATTGCAGCCATCCCAGCTGAGGCCCCAGATATGGGAATGAGACCATCTGGGACCAGCCAATCGCCAGCCTGCCCACAAACTGACTGCAAATACATGAGTGAGCCTAGAGTAGTGTATCAAAAGAACTGCCTAACTGAGCAAAGGACATAGGACAAATTGCCAATCCACAGAATCATGATCAAATAATTGGTTGCTGCTATTAGCCACTATGTTTTAGGATGGTTTGTTATGCATCAATAGATAACTGAGACAGCCTTCCAAATGTACCCACTCATGATCAATCTCCCAAAGAGTTTAAATGACTTGTGTAAAGACCACATAGGTAAAAGGAAACTGAGCTGGCCAGAACCCAAGTATCTCAACCAATTAGTCAAAGCTCTTTGTATGACACCATACTACCTTCTCTTATCCTTTTCAACTACTAGAACAAGAAGAGAAGATGGAAGTGGTTTAGAGAAACTTACTAAAAGTTGGCTAACGGAAATTTTAAAGGAGGAATCCTTAGCTAGATATATCCTTCAACTCACATATAAATGAATATTTGCCACATGTAGTCCATCTGGGAATGTTTTTCACACATATAAACTGGACTATTTGTACTCCACTTCAAAACAATAAAGATTTTTAGCATAGAAGATACATACTTTACTAAAGCTAAGTCCCATGAATTGCACTATCATTCAAACCTTTTCGTAATTAGATTCCTATCCCAGAATTACACATGGGCTTTGATTTCAGATTACTTAACCAAAACATTGTGCATAAGATGGGTTAGCAAAAGCAGAAATGGAAATAGAGACCATTTGGACATAGCAATCTTGCATGCTAAATTATTTCCTTTCCCCCTTCACAAACACAGTGACAAGTACATAGTGGGAAACCATGGTGCAGAAATGAGGCAAATGTCAATGAATGAATTTACATACAAACACAACAAATCATGCCCCACCACACAAATGGTTTGCTCTTACCTTTTTCTGACATATAGCAGATATTTCAGCTGTAAGGGGAAGGTACACAAAATATCAACAAAGAAAGAGAGCCTATTTTAAATAAGGGCAGCCACAAAGGGGAATGGAAAAAAAAAAACTTAGTAACGCAAACTCGGAACATGCCAAAACAGCTTTTAACTTGTCTCATAAATTGTCCACTACTTTTACTGGCTTCTAGTTTTCTCAGAAACCATGAAATATATTTCTTTTTCATCTGCTGGTGATTTTAGAGTTTATGTTTAAGGGAGTTTAAAACACCTGCATGCTGCAAATATTTTACTTATTCTCATAAGTGATTAAACCTTTTCAGACATGACTTAGAAATCAGACCATGTTAAAGCCAAACAACTTTAATCTTACCTCCCTATTTTACAGAGGACAAAATTAGGGGCCACTATGGTAAATGAGTTCTTTAAGATCCCACAGGCTATCGATGCTAGAGGCACAACTAGAGCTAAAGTCTCTGGACTCCTTGTTTGTTGCTCTTTCCATTATACTATGACACTGGGTTGATATGACATATTTAGAGCATCACCAGGGGATGGTTTGCTACATCAAAATTGTAGGGAAAACTTACTAACTTGTACTAATGAGACTTGAATTATCAATTTATACCACTCTTAAGTAGTATAAAATCAGTGGTAGGGTTATTTAAAACAAAGTAATTTTCAAAACCTTGGGTAGACCAGTTGGAGCAAGACTATCAAACTACTATCTATTTACGGGATTGACTTCAATGCATGGATAAGAATTCTATTTAGTGGGCACATCAATTATTTCCATGAAAATTGATACTTAAGGGTACTTGAAAGTAATTTTTCCAGGAATCATGTCTCCTAAATAGTAAGTACTCAAAAAGTAGTGTCCTTATTTACAATATAGTCTATGTTACAATTTATTTAAAAGATCAAAGTAAATGTCTCCCAAGCTCTGCCTGGATATTATGAATTAATGGATGCCAAATCAATGAAATTTACAGCTCAGTTTTAAAAACTGCTTTTGTATAATTAATGATTATTTGACAGTTTGATATCCTAGAGTTTATCGTAAATATTCTGAGGTTAGTGTCATGTTTCTAGATAAATGATGAAAAGGTATTACCAATTTTCTTCCAAAGATGAATATCTCTGGACATGAAGACCAGAATTAAGCAACATATCTGATATTTAAAGTGCATTTTCTAATGTGACTGTGGGCTTTACCTCAGAACACTGGAAGTTCACTAATAAAGTAGCCTAATTTAAAGGGAAAAAAGTTACCTTTACCCATACAAGCCCAAATCTTTTTACAGATATTATTACATAAATTTACAAAATGTCCCTCTGGCCTGAGCAAGAGCAAGACCCCGTCTCTACTATAAATAGAAAGAAATTAATTGGCCAACTGATATATATAAAAAAATTAGCCGGGCATGGTGGCGCATGCCTGTAGTCCCAGCTACTCGGGAGGCTGAGGCAGAAGGATCACTCGAGCCCAGGAGTTTGAGGTTGCTGTGAGCTAGGCTGACGCCACGGCACTCACTCTAGCCTGGACAACAAAGCGAGAACAAAAAAAACAAAAACAAAAAAAAAATGTCCCTCTGAAGGATATAGAGGCTGACATTATTGCTTCTTTTACAGATAGAGAGAACTCACTGAATTAATTTCTGTCTTAAGATTGAGATAACCTAATATGAAAAGTGAGGCTACAAAGAAATAGTGTAATTATCATCAAGCAAAGGTCTTCAGTTTAAAAAAAAATTCACAGAATTTAGTTAACATAAGGTTTTTACATACCCTTTTAAATGAGCTTCTCGTATCAACCCTTTTATTATCTACATCTGAAGTCATGTATCAGGTTCTACTCGTGTCCCTGATCTGTACCCAAACTCAGCGTGCCCGCAGCTTTTTCTATCTCTTGTCTTTCCTCTGCTTTCCTTGGTACTTTTCCTTGTCATTTCAGCCTCCGATTAATGACATGGCTGGAATACCTGCCTCTGCTGTGTGCAGAGGAATGCTGTCCGGGACCTACCAACTTATAGGGCATAGCTTTCAGAACTCTAACAGACTTCAAAAAGCACTGCAATCTCATCTTCCCATTGAGATGGGTTAGATACACTTTATCCCCATCTTACTGATGAACAGACGGAGTTTCAGAGTAACTAAATGATTTCTCCCAAAAACACAGTGCTAAAACAGTGGCAGGGAAAAGGCTCAGTATTCAATTCTCTTCCAGTTGGTGTTCCTTATTCCCTTTCTGACCTGGCACAGCAAAATATCATCAGCAATGCCTATTATAGATGCAGAAAATCCCTTAAGACGTAATTCAACAGGGCTTTAGTCACACAAAATCATAATTCCAACATCTACCCTTAATTTTGGTAGAGAAGATACCGCTTCCTTCATTATTAAATATGTAGGCATATTATAAGCAAGACATGGATACAATGCTTCATATCAATGAAAGTTCATAGAATATAATACTTTGGTTACTATCTTTATAAAATAAAATAGTACAAAAGGAAATAAATCAACCATGTCATTAGTCATGATTGTTCATTATTCATCCTCTCAGAAGTAAGCCATACCTTGCGGCAGAAGAACATCAATCAGCCACTCACTGTGGTCCCTATAAAAAAAAATTGATTTTTGAGCTTCGGGGAAATGTTACCCTTCCACATGAATGTTTATAAGCTGCATACTATTGCTGAAAGGCTTTTAATGGAAAGGAAGTATAATTAAGAGCACTATCATAATAAACCTTTAAAATGTCTAATGCATTCCAGCTAAATTATAAATTATAGGCACTTCATCATATTCGGTTATCGTTAAATGATACTTTCCAGATGTTAATTAAGCCAACCCAAATTCTGCATGATCTGCACAAAGCTGAGCGTGATTCTGTGTCACTAACAAGCAAAGAGAACCTACATGTCATGTTTGGAAACCACAGGTTTTTTTTTACATCTATCTTTCTCTGTGGCCTTTTAAACAGGGTTACTTCAAAATTAGAGCTGCTTTATTAAGTGGAAATGCTTTCTCATGTCACATAGAGAGAAATATTGCAACTTTTCAAAGCTGAAATTTTCCAAATGTTAAATATCAGACTTGCATAATGTAACCAATTTAAGTCCAAATTATTTTTCTTATTTTCTCACTGTTGCCCTATCTTGTTTTCTTTGAGGACTCTTATACCTACCCTGCAATCCTCTCGCTGCATTCTTCACAGAGATACAATGGGGGTGGTTTATCCCCCAAAGCTACTGACAGGGAAGGGTCTATACACATCTGAAAAACATGAAAAGACAGAATGAACCCTCCTGTTCCTGTGTACCATGTTCCCTATATTCTAAGCACAAATGCTTCCATAATGACAGATTTTGAAAAGCAAAGTGGAATAAATATTTTTAGTAAAACCTTTCAACCTAGAACTGTTTTTCCTGAACTAGCTGATGAATCCACACTGGGGATTTAAATGTGGCTACTGTGGTTTTTTATTTCTCCTGTTATTTGCAATTCAAGTAACAAATGGTGTCAAGAAATCCCCCCTCATTCCATAAAGATCAAAAAAATCATCTTGTTCAATAGCTGCTCAAATTGGCTATAAATTACAGTGATTCCTTCTGTAAAGTGGTAAACACAGTAATCTCTCTTTAGGAAAAGGGAAATATATTATTATAATAAAATTTCAGACTCACAACTGATACCAAAATGTTGGCAGTAGAGAATTTTCCTTCCTAAGACATACCTCATTCAGAAAAGTTAGGGTTAAATCTAATACTGAGTGCTTCACTTTTCTTACTCTGAAATCTTAGTTCTATATCCATCACCTAACCTTTCCTTTTCACGTGTTTTTTTTTTCGCTACACGTGACATACAATTGTTTACCGCTTGCTGTGCCTTGTTTATGGCTGGACTTCACTAGTACGGAAATGAAAAGTATTAATTTCACAGATGATCATCAGGATATTTCAAATATCTGGATGCTTTACATCAAATGAACAAAACATTCAGATAACTAACTGCATTTTGTATTTTGCAAAAGGTTACATTTCTATGATTTATCAAAGCCATTTTGAAATCTGTTCTGCCCTTGAAAAAGTAATCAACCCATGCTATAGCTAAGTATACAGTTAATATGCCTACTATATAAATCCTCCCAGAACTTTACTCTGTCTTTTCTTCAGTTGTTTTCACTCATTTGAAATGGGGAAATGACCCAAACTTACAACTCTAACAGCCCATAATTCAAAGTTAAAAGCCCGAGCAGTTTCAGTGATTGGGGAACAAGAGTTAGAACTGCTAAGTTTAAATGATTACATCATCAAAATTTGTAAATTATATATCTCCTGAGGCTAAAGGCCCAGTGTGAAAGTTTTCCTTATGTAAGTTTCATGCTTCCTTAGATGCAATGAATAACTACTTTTTGGTGTGTTAAATCACGGATTAGCAAACGTTTTCTATAAATACTTTGGGCTTTATAGACCTGTGGGCCACCAGGTCTCTGTCACAACTACTCACCTCTATTATTGTAGCATGAAAGCAGCCATAGACAGTATGTAAGTAAATGATCGTAGCTGTGTTCCAATAAAACTTTATTTACGAAAAACAGGCAGCAGGCCAGATTTGGCTATAGGCCATAATTTGCCAAGCCCTGTCTTAGATAATTATCTGGGCTCTGAAATATTTCATATAGTGGACTTCAAATAGAACCAAGTAAAACCAAAAGCAGAGTGTTATATAATAAACTATAAGTTCCAACATATTTTCATCTTTAATCCTATCGCAACTCTTGGCTCTTGTCTAAAATGTACTTTTTTACAGCCTATTGCAACACAAATAGATAATATTTTTCTACTTAGCAAATCACTAGTGCCTAGTGGTATAGCTCACCATTTTGGAGATATTAGGCTTTTGGTGAGGACTAATCCACTTCCCCTGAGTCTTTCCCATGGACCCAATGTATCTTCTCTCAGTATCTTTGCCTTATCCTCTTTTCTAATGAGTGATTGATATCTCTCCCAGGTAAAAGTATGTTTTCACTCCACTCAAAAGGAGAAACTCCTAGAATGTTAGAACTATGAAGAGTCATTAGAGATTTGCTATTTGATCTCTGACCTGTTAAATTATTTAATTAACATAACCTGTCAGATTTGTAGCTAGTCTAGTCAACTCTGTTCTGTTCTGAACAGGTCAATTTACATCCACACTAATGTGTTCATATCTGACTGTCACATTAAAAATTATTATTTTTCTGTTTATAAATATAACATATGCCTCATGTAGAGGCTTAGGAAAGTGGAGAATGGGAAAGAAGAAAATTCAAATAACTTAATTAACCCTCCATCTTGATGCAATCCCTGGTAGCATTCTGATGAGTATCACTGGTTGTTTTTCACTATGAATATGAATATAAGTCATTTTTAAACTAAATTAGCATTATACCATACAATTTCATAACTTCGCTTTTCACTTAACATCATTCTGTAAACTTAGGGTGTTGGATACCCTTGGTTCGCATGCCACATGGTGCTGGTGTGGATTTGGAAGCCCTCACATAGTAAAGAAAGAAAACTACTGAGCCAGACCTGTTGCAGCTCAAAAACAGCCCCAGTACAGGAAGCATTGGCAAAAACGTTATCTTTCTAGAAAGTGTAGACTGAAAATAGAAAAGGAAAACTGGAGTTCAGAAAGTAAGATTTCGGGAGTGATGAAAATGTCTTGGAACTTGATAGAGGTGCTGTTGGCAAATATCATGAATACACTAAATGCCACTGAATCATTCACTTTAAAATGGTCCATTTTATGTTATGTGAATTTCCCCTCAATAAATTTAAAAAATGACAGAAAGTAGGATGGTTTGGCCTATCCAGGAAGACTGGCTATTGGGAAAAAATTGAGGCCAAACCCAGAGGAGTGGACTGGGCTGTTTGCCTAGAATAGAAAGAGAAAATCTATGTCATGATGATTTCTACGAGTAGCAGGCCACAAAGCATTACTAACCAACCAGGATGTCAGAGGACTCCTGAGAATGCAGCCAAAAATAAAATTCAAAAATAATAATAATAAATGGAGAAACCAGAGAGAAAGGACCTCCTTCCTGTTGAAATCTGGGTCAACCAAAAAAGGGAGCCATAACTTAGGCAGAAAGGACAAAGGAAGGACATAGAAACAGAAGTAAGTGGGAACCACAAAAGTCTCACCCCTGTGAAGAGTCAAGCTGAACTCTGTGAATAACATCTGAACTCGTCGTGTGTAGCTCGAAATATTCTCACACCAAAGAAAAGTACCATGGAACCCCAAATGTTTACTGACATTCAGAATGGGAGGGGCCTGTGCTCCCATTTGTGGGTGACTGCCACCTGCTATTTCTCAACATAAATTCATTCGATTTGCCTTTATAGAAGCAGAGATTGAATATAATAATACAAAGATGCCCTCTGTTAGTAAGATATATCTAGATGATAATGTTATTATTGGCACTCCTCTGCCAGTTTTGGCATTTGAAACACAATTTTGGTTTCTTTTATATTTATTAGATCACATTTTACCTTTCCTATTTTGTTTCTATAAAGTGATAGTGTTTGTTTTCTATTATTGGGTAACCTGTACAGTCTGTCTCTCTAAAGAACAAGGGAAGCAAACTTCCATGACACCAGGTTCACAATAGTAACTGTGAACTCTACTAACTTCACCTGATTCCCACTCTTCATAATATAAAAATTAACCCTTGCAACCTAGACAAGGGTTGCATCCAGCCAAGTGTTTAATAGCCAACAAATATACCATAAGCAATTTTGTTAAAAGGTGTGATTATTTTTCTTAACATTTAACTTCCAAGATTCAGGGTTATAGCAGGACAGAACCAATTTGATGTGGTAGAAAGAGAATAAGGCTGGGAGTCAGAACACGTGATTCTATTTCCAGTCTGGCGCTAACTGGCGATGCAACCTTAGTAAAGTGACTTGACTCTCTGAACCCCTGTTTCCTTACCTCTAATGTAACTTTACAGATGTATGCTGTCCAAATACCTCCCAGTCTTTTCAACTAAGTCACATTTGTGGTATGATCAAAGAATTAACAATTTCATCTATTTTTGCCTTGAATTCGCATTAGCATTCCTGATTCATACCCTACCCATGAAAACAGAAGGAAAATATACTTCCCTGAGTTCATTAGCTAAGATGGAAGCTAGTTAAGGATTATGTAATTATTTAACCAGAATTCCTCTGATATTTATCTCAGTTCCACATAGCACTCAGCTTTGAACTCATAGCCAAAACGTGCAGACACCACTATTCATTGCTCTCTCTTGACTAGTCTGCCAAAGCACAGTCAGAGTTAACGTAGAGGTGTTTGAGATTACTACAGGCTGCTTTACAGAGGAGGATGCAATCTGCTCCACTTTATTCAGCAATTTGCTCCTGATAATTTGACCACTGACAATTCAGTATGGCACCAGACCTAATAAAACAGTACCTTCACAGCTGGTTTGTTGATTGCGTTGTGGCATTCTATGTGCTGGCAGTGGATGGGATTCCAAGCTGTAAAGCAAAGCACAGCTGATGAATATTTTTCATTGAAATTCTTCATGCCCAATAAAAACAGATACTTCACTATTTTCTTTTTTCTAAATAGAACCATCATCAGAAAGCATCCTAATAGAATCATTTTCTAATCTGTGAAAAATTTTTAAAAATCAGGCAAGGATATCACAGCTCCATCCATTTTCCCAGGGGAGAGACAAGCCAATGTAAAGGCCATACACAGTACCATATTACCTCACACTGGTATACCATTAACAAGTTCTCAAAGGTTTTTACAACCATGGTTTCACTCGATCCTCCAACAACTCTGTGGGGCAGGTACAGCAGATTATTAATCTCATTTCATATTAGGATAAATTAAATTTAAAAAGGTTAAGTAGCTTGATATGATCACAGAGTTAGTAAATGATAAGCTAGGACTGGAACCTGTATCTCTGGGTTCCTGACAATCTGCTCTTTCCATGATAGTATACTATGCTAAACATCTTTTGGCTCCAGGAAGCGTTTCAAATTGATACCTGAAAGGAATGGTCAGACACCCTTCCATTTCCTACCCCATCCCCATCACATGTAGAGAAGGGAAAGATGACTTTCTTGCCCACATGAAATGCATGTCTCTCACACATGTGACCCACATACTAGATCTCTGCTAGTTCACTAATACCAACTCTTTAACTCAGTATACACAGAGAATGAGGACAAGAACCAAGCAACCTGGAATAAATCAGATCTAGAATCACAATGAGAATTATCATCATCCAGATGATTCCGTAGCCCAAAGCACTTAGCTAACAATATTCCATCATAAATATATTACAGGTTTATACACTTGAAAGTAGAACATTTTTCTAACATGCCATATTCCAAACTTATAGGGCTATGATTGGCCTGTTCTTAATACATAGGAATTTGCAGATAAGAGGATACTCTTAGTTACATATTCAATTATAATTCAAAAATTTTATCATTAATGATTGAGAGCTAATTTATGCTCCAAACATTTTAGAAAATTTTCTATCTAGGAGTGTTCCAACTTTAAATCTTCTATCCAATCGTTAGACCATAAGATTATGTGTCTGGTTGGGGATTCAGGAAAATATGATTACCAGAGCCATGGACCTTTAAAAATATACAATAGATCTATTTCTTTTAAAAAGTACACACCAGAGACCACTACTCTAATAACATAGTATCATATTGATTATATTGTTAGAGAGAGAAGGAAGAAGAAATGAATGAGTAAATGAAAGAATGAGGCCGGGCGCGGTGGCTCACGCCTATAATCCTAGCACTTTGGGAGGCCGAGGCAGGCGGATTGCTCAAGGTCAGGAGTTCGAAACCAGCCTGAGCAAGACCTCGTCTCTACCAAAAATAGAAAGAAATTAATTGACCAACTAAAAAATATATATACAAAAAATTAGCCAGGCATGGTGGCACATGCCTGTAGTCCCAGCTACTCGGGAGGCTGAGGCAGAAGGATCGCTGAGCCCTGGAGACTGAGGTTGCTGTGAGCCAGGCTGATGCCACGGCACTCACTCTAGCCTGGGCAACAAAGTGAGACTCTGTCTCAAAAAAAAAAAAAAAAATGAAAGAATGAATGAAGACACAATTTGGGCACAGGTACTTTATAACTATTAGATCTATTTCCTATATGTGGTAAAGTCAAGATGAATATAAAGAGTGGCAACAAGTTTTCTTATGCAATTAGAGACACTTAGAGAAACTTTGACCAGTACATGAACTGCAAATGCATGGGACATCTGCCCCATTCTTCTAATTCCAAACTCATGACAGACATTACTAATCCATTACAGCATTCCCTCCTGCTGAGTCTAGAATTGGCCTTAGAATCCTTCTTACTGTCATGCTCCAAGCAGTCACCACTGACCAAAACAGAATTGACACACAAGATGAAATCTGCTAACCATCTCTGAATCAATGTATTATAAGAATGTTTGCAGATTGTTTTATAAGTATAAAGAAGTTCTTGACATTTCAGGCAGAAGTAATATTCAAAATACATAACAACTGCTATGGCACAGGCAAAACAAATCAGAATACGCGCAAGCCATAGTACTTGATCAGAGCTCTAAAGACTCCTGCTCTGCCATAAATTGTTTTTTATGCGGATAGTGAAGATATCCAGGAGGTCTTCATTTTTCATTCCATTTTTACTGAGTGTCACTGAATTAAGAATAAGTCATAGGATAATCCATTTAAGTTCATCAAAGCCACACTGGATTTAAGTTTACTAGAACAGTGATTCTTAGCTTTTGCTGTATATCAAAAATCACCTGTCAAGGTTTTTAAAATATGATGCCTGGAACATTATGTTAAATCTCCTGAATCAAAATGTCTGAGGATAGAACATAGGTACTTGTAATTGGGAAAAGTACTATAATTTTTTCTGATGTAAGGACAATCAACATACCTTATCTTGTGGCAAATACAGTTATACCATCATTCAAAAATAATTTTTAGAATATAGCAGACACAGCAGACAAGAATTATCCTTTCAACTATGATGGAATAATCGGTGTTAGACTTGCCCTCCCATAATAAACAGCTAGAAAACTAAAAAATATATATGAAACACTATTTCCAGAAATTGGACTATAGGTAGTATAGGACATTGATCCTTGAGAGAAGAGAAATAATGCAGTGAGCCCCACAATCACCTGGCTTTCTTCCTGGAAGCAATTTCCAGACCTTGGCCATAGAAGGGGAAAGATGAGCAGAGTAGGGTGGTTTTGTTGAGTTAAGGAGACATAAACTGGAGTTTGCAGAGGCATAGTCACTAGAATTTGCTGACTACAGTACTGAGGAAGAGGCTATACAAAGAAAAAGCCCCAGTAATCCAAGTAGGAGTCCTTTTGGGTCTTAAGTTTTATACTAAGCAAAGCATGTGTAAGCTAAAACTCTCCATAAGGCTGGACAGAGAAAAACTTTAGGAGTTCTGTAAGCTACACAATTCCTAGAGCTCATACAGGACTGGAAGATATTCAAGTTTCAATTGGCCAGAGTAAAGGAAATTCAGTGAACACTTGAAGCAATCAATAGAGATACTAGGAGAGTCATAACTTAGTAATAGGGATAAATTGGCATTAGAGAAAAGGCTACTCTAACCTCATCCTAATAAAGCTTAAGAACAAGCTTTGAAAAGGTCAAGCTGATCCACAAGTAACTTGACTGACAAAACAAACTTTAACACACAGTAATGGAAGACAACAAAAGCCAGGCATTCAATAATGTAATATTCATGAAATCCAGCATCCAGTCAAAAATTACTTGATATTTGAAAAGGAAGGAAAATTTTACTCATAACCAAGGAAAACACTGATCAACAGAAACAAACTCAGAAATTACAGTGATAAGGTAGTTAGCAAACAATACTTTAAAACAGCTATTATAAACATACTCAAAGGAAAACATAAACAAAAGCATAATGAAGATAGGAATGGAAAATATAATTTAAAATGAAATGAGACTTCCAAAAATGAAAAATATAATATTTGGAATTAAAACTCACTGAGTGGGCTTAATAGCACAATAGACAATGCAAAAGAAAAGATCAGTGAATTAGGAGATATAACAACAGAAACTACCCAAACTGAACTACTGGAAGAAAAATAAACAGAGCTTCAGTGAACTGTGGAAAAATTTCAGGCAGTATAAAATACATGTGATTTAAAGCACAAAAGAAGCAGAAAGGGGAAATATTTGAAGAAACAATGGCCAAAATTTTTCAAGTTTGATGAAAACTATCAACCCACAGATCCAAGAAGCTCAATGAATCCTAGTAAGATAAAAAGCAAAGAAAATCACACCAAAATTCATTATAATCAAACTGATGAAAACCAATGATAAGGAGAAAATCTTAAAAGCAGCCAAGAAAAAAATAGACACATTACTTACAGGGGAACAAAGATAAGAATGATCGCTGATTTCTCGTCAGAAACAATGCAAGCCAGAAGACAATGGAACGACATCTTTAAAAGGCTGAAAGAAAAAAACTGTCAACCTAGAATTCTATACCCAGTGAAAATATCCTTCAAAAATGAATATGAAATAAAGACTATTTGAAGACAAACACTAGATGAAATAAGAGAATTAATTGCCAACTGAGCTCCACTACAAGAAATGTTAAAGGAATTTCTTCAAGCTGAAGGAAAATTATATCCGATAGAAGCTCAGATTTACACAAAGGCATAAAGAATGTTGGACATGGTAAGTGTGGTGACTAACTATAAAAGACATTTTTTACTCATAATAACATGTTGTTAAAAGATGATTATTTAAAACAAAAAACAATAGTAATGAAATGAGGCAAATAACATATACAGAAGTAAAATGTTTAATAACTAAAACAAAAAGGATGAAAGAGGGAAAATAAAAATGCATAAGGTTCTTATATTACATGTAAACTAGTATAATTTTATTTGAAGGTAGATTGCAATGTTAAAGGTACATATTGTAAACCCTAGGGCAATCTTTTTTAAAAAAGTGGTATATATATAACAATCCAATACAGAAATAAAATGGAATACTACAAATATTTAATCCAAAAAAGAAGGCAAGATATCAAAAAGAAAGGAAAAAAGAAGATGGAACAAATAGAAAACAAGTACAAAATGATAGACTTAAGTCCAATCATATCAATAATTACATTAAATGCAAATGGTCTAAACAATAATTACACTAATATAAATAGTCTAAAAGACAGGGATTGTCAAATAGGATTTAAGTTTTAAAAAACTGTAACTAAAGTATATGCTGCCTGTGAAAAATACACTTGAAATATGAAGACATAAATAACTTAAAAATAAACAGGAAAAGTTATACCATGCAAACACTAATTATAAGAAAGCTGGAGTGTCTATATAAATATCAGAAAAGTAGATCCAGAATAAAGAACATTGCCAGAAATAAAGAAGGATATTTCACAATGATGAAAGGGTCAATTCAGAAAACATAATCATAAATATGCACACATCTAT